AACAAATGGATATGATTTGTTGATTTAAAAAAAAAAGGTTACTTTCACTGTCTGATATATTTAGAAAAAAAAATTCAGAGTTTTTGTTTGATATAGGTACAAACATTTAGTGAAGCCTGAAAGGAGGGGGGGCTAAAACGGAATATTTATCTCTCTCTCTCTCTCTCTCTCTCTCTCTCTCTCTCTCTCTCTCATTTGTCTGTTTAATAAACACTATAACAGCATATTACTTAAATATAAAGATTTGAAAATTGAATTTATAACAAATAATATGAATATGCATCTTTGTATTATCTTGTCCGAGTATAATCACGGCCATCTACAGATACATGTAGAAGTCTGCTCAATAAATCATCATGAAAAATAGAAATGATACACAATATATTATTGTATTAAACATTCAAATACGAGCGTATAAATGCAAAACGTCCACTGACCTTTGTGATTAATTTTTTTTCATTACTTTACACGAAATCGCCTTAACATGGAGATATATGAATGGATGTTACAACCGCTTTAATTCATTCTGTAAGTCGGAAGTTTTCTCTGATTTGTTATCAAATAAGAATAAACATTTTTATTTTCCAACTAAAAAAACATCTTTTATACTTCAGCGTTCGGCAACAATTACAATGTTTTAATGCGATAAAAATCGTGTGATTAAAAACTTATTGTGCATGCATCGTCTTTCTTAGGACAATTTTGGAGAATTTATTTTATTGAATTATTTATTCATTCATTTATTGGTTTACCTATTTATTAATATTTATTTATTTATTTATTTTTTGGCACCTGACATTATAATACAATAAAATAGTTTCAATGCAAGGAAAAGATCAGAGGCATTCCGAAAATATCGTTCATCTTGCGTTCACCGTTCGTTCACCGTTCACTTTGCGTTCGCGTTTGCGCTCCGTTCGCGTTCTGCGTTCGCTCACCGTTCACCGTTCACACATCGTTCACCAAGTTGCGTTCAGCGTTCACACATCGTTCACTCACCGTTCGCTCTGCGTTCGTTCAGCGTTCGTTCAGCGTTCGTTCAGCGTTCGCTCACCGTTCAAGTGGGAAAGTAGAACGTTTCAGGGACTGTACCATTAATAACAATGGTAAGATTTATGGCATTCTGCAAATTATTATCGACGGATCTTTTATTCCATTCAACTGGTTCTATTTCGTATTTTGGTTGAAAAAATCTTTTTGGAAATTGGCCAAGAACTATAACCCTGTCATTGGTTTGAAATATCCAATCGACTGAAGCATTTGAGGAATCAAAGAAGTGTAGATCAGGTATTCCATACAGAATGCATCGGATGAAAAAATTTTCTCCCTCTGTTACTTGTGTTATATTAGTTACCACTTCAACTGAAATGAGAACAAAATTAGAAACATATATATATATATATATATATATATATATATATATATATATATATATATATATATATATATATATATATATATATATATATATATATATATATATATATATATATCATAAATCATTGGGAGACTACAATTATATATTCGACGATTTGACATTCAATATTTTATGACATGAATACAATTACAAATGTATTTAAATGTACAAAATGACAGATTTGTAATGACGATAAAGGAGAATGAAAAAAGGGAAAGTAAAGAAAAGAGAAATCCGTAATAGATAATTTTAACTAACTGACCTCAACATTGATAATGAAGAAATCTTGGGTTTTTGAAATCACTGACGGCTGCTTTTTCAATAAAAATGGAACTCGTAAATTTACTTACCTTGTCATTGGCCATTTTCAAAATTATTTTTTTAAAGACATTCTGATTCTCCATATATCATTGTTTTTATACAAAGAGCAGGTCGATCTTTATGTTCTCTTACTTGCAAAATTATAATGAAACATTGAAAAACATACTGGAGTATGCCAAGCAGCCTAACAATACAGTGTCATCTTATGCAAAACTGTGTTTAATTGTACATTCTCAAGCACCTTTAAATAAATATTTGTCTGAACATGACAAGGAGCACACGGCGGTGTGACCTGTCGGCAGGGGATACTCACTCTCCTCCATCGTACCTGATGAAGTATATGGAGATAACGAACAATATTCGAGCTCAAATGTCCATTAAACATTACAAAATAGGAGCAGAGCAAACACGGACCTCTAAGACATCGGAGGTGGGATCAGGTGCCATGGAGGAGTAAGCATCCCCTGCCGACCGGTCACACCCGCCGGGTGCTCCCTGTCATGATCAGGATATAACGGAGAAATCCGTCGACAATTCTGTGTGTAAATAATGGCCTAACAATTAGTATGATAAATGTGAGTCAGCATTTGACTTAATGAAAGATTGTATTTGCTGACAAAGTCATTGTATCGACCATAGAACTTACGAAATGATTACTTTAAACGAGACTGCTGATATTCTTGTTTCATCAACTTGTTTGTCAATAACTTACCTCGTTTTAGGAATTGTTCATACGTACAGCATGCTCTGAATCAACTGAGAGATATAAACCCCGTATGCAGGTGATAAGGGTATATTGCTGCATCAGTAAGTGAAGTTGACGATCCCACCACTGATCTTTATGGAGGTCCGTGTTTCCTATGCTCCCGATTTGTATTGGATTAATGGACTTTGAGCTTGAATACTGTTCGTTATCTCCATATTCCATGTGTAAGATACTTGAAGATACTTGTAATAAACAACATAAAGGATGTATATTTTTGTAGAGGAGAAGATAAAGTATAGAGACAGATGGGACAAGCACGGGTTAAACATTAATTTATAAATTTCCAACTCTTGCTGCCAATAAACTTAACTAAAATGCAAATAATTCTCAAAAGAATATACATTCATTTCTTCGAAAACCCACGGAATACATAAAGAGAAAAAGGATAATTCAAATGCTTAAATTAAAATATTTTTCCTTATTTCTGATGAGTTGTCAAAAAACGCAATATTGAATAAAAAAAAATGTCAAAGCATTCAATGTTTTGGAGCAAGTTGTCAAGACATTTACAAAATTTATACTACATAAATCCAGATAGCAGTAATTTAAATAACAATACCAAGGGCTTACCATTAAAACTACCCGCTGGTGTGACGATAGGTAGCAAAGCAGACAATACACATAGACACGGTATCATTTTTCTACACACTTTCTTCACTCTGAAGCTTCTTATACGTTTCATTGTTCACTTTGAAGTACGGCAGATTCCTTTACATGGAAAATACAGCGGACGTTTGAAAAAAAAGAATATGCTTCTCGTTCCTGTATCGGAGATTTGTATTTCCCATGGTAAATCCAGATTTCTTATTTCCTGTTTCCTTTCCTATTTGAATCTTCCTTATTGTTTAGATTTATTTTAAGTTTCTTTATATCTAGATATGTTTGATATTTTGTGTCATGTAAGTCTGTCATGCAAGAGACAACTACATCCTGTTTGTATTGCTCTATCATTACATCATTACAAAGACAATAGATTCATTTTTGCAAATATATTAATGAAAAAAGGGAATTCATGAAAACTGCGCGATATCAATGATTACAAGGATTAAAAAAATTACACCTAGATTTTAAAATATCTTATTATTTTCACTTTTTAAAGTACATAAAATGTTTTACAGTAAGGAAACGCACATGTGAATAATTTGTACTTAATAAGTAGGTCATTTGTGTGGCTTTTTTTATAGGGATATATATACTCAACATTGAAGGTTTATTTTCCTACATCTATATCTACCATCAGCCTTACACTGTTTAGCGTAAATATTGAGGACACGTAAACTGTAGTGCACTGAAATACACTGTTTTTATTCAGTTAATTTTATAAGTACATATACATTAAGAGGATAAGCTTCTCTTAATTTGATCCAAGATTTTTATTCTTCACAGGATCTTCGAACATGAATCTTCTTCCTGGGCGTGCGAATCAAACATGCGAAAAGAAATCTAGCTTATACCTCTCCAAAAATGTCTCCTATAATAGCAAACATTTGGATTTTCTCGTCAGAAACACACACACGCTCAAATTATGTACCTTTGCTAACATCTTATGATAGATTATATATCAAAATTAGAAAATCTGAAATCTTATATTAGGCCATCTTTAAAAAATTGTTTGGTTGCCCTCTCCTGACCGAATGGCTAAAAATGGCCCGACTCAAAACTTTTTTTAACCTACAGGAAGCAATTATTTTTTAATGCATTCCAGAAAAGATTTTGAAAATTCAGCATTGATTTTGAAATTTTCTTTGAAAAAAAATCTCTCCTACCTATCGACTCAATTTTTTCATCCTGAATCGGGAGAGGGAAAGCAAACATTATTTTAAAGTTGGCCTTAATAACACATTTTTAGCAATTTGGCAATGCGCCAAAACGCCCACCTTCGTAATCTAGGCGCTCTTGTTCACCTGTAAAACTGTAATCCTCTATTGAGAACACCCCTTGTCCTAGGACCATTGACTTTATCAAACTTGATTCAACAATATAAAGAGATGATTAGACATCAATATAATTAAATGTTCCCAAATGATTCATCGAATTTCTGAAAAAAATCTCTTCTTATTTCTTTCCTAAAGGAAAAAAAATGATCCTCATTGTAGCCATACTTTAGCCCTGGAATCAATATTTTGACCATACTTAAATATATACATGGCAATTGCCCGGCAGGTTTTTCAAATATATATTTATAAAGATTGTATAGTTCAAAGGAGCAACATTTGAACAAACTTGAATTTTCAAGACATGGGGATGTTTATTATTTATATAAATCGATATTATGTTCAATTATTTTTAACGGATAGGGCTATTTGTCACCAGTCTAATCTTCAGATGATTAAAATAAATAAGTTAATTTTGACATTTAAAATAAACTAGACTCATTGGCTCTCAGTAGATATATGTTCAATGTACGGTAAAAGTACAAACAGCTAAGAACACGGGTGTCGATGTCTATTAAAAAACTTTTATTTAATTTAAAATATATTTCATGATATACAGCTCATTCATGCATAAAAAAGAATCTAGAAGTCTGACATTCATAAAACATGTAATAATCTCTGTTGAAAAAATGATAAATTTTCAATACGACAAAATTCTACACAAGAGTTTGTAATACCTTACAAATCAGCAATAAAACTTTTAATCTTCGGCAATTCTCTGAAACAATCTATATGTATTTTCTCTTATCTTTTTTCACTGTAGAGAGGTATTTACATGTTAATGAATGTTTCTGAATTAGTTTGAAATTAATTTGCTGTTTTATGTGGGTAGCACCACAGATTTTCGTATAAGAAATTTGAATTTGAGCAAAAGAAATGTCCGTCTTTATGATACATCTTTATATCCCCAATAATATATCTCTTTATACAAAAATCTCAAAAAGCATAACAAAAGTGCATGTCTTTCTCACAATAACGAAATATGAAACAAACGCTAAAAGACTGATTATATAAGCCATGTGATGACAACAAACATTGCGTTCCATTTAAGTAAATATGATTCATTTATACACTCTGCAATTATCAATTAGAGCAAGAAAAACAATCAAAATTTCTTACATATGACAATAAGTACTTCATGTTTTTCTAATATACATCTGTTTTAGTCAAATAAAAGCAAACAAAATGTTTTACTAAAATCTGTCATTCAATATAAAATGAAATAAATATGTATTATTCTAGATCTAGAGACAGCAAGTAAGTTAAAAGGTTGATCAGAATTTGGCACATTATAAAATCATCAGTTATAAAACATATACAACTGCTAATCTAGACGAAATATTTTATAGTCAGACACGTTTATAGCGAATTATCAGAAACGGTTGTATCCGATTCACAATCCCTTTTTTTGTTATACAGTTAATTTACTCATAAATTGAAAGTACTGGGTGAAAAAAAATATTTTAACTTCATTGTCCATGACTTTTCAATGCCAGTGTGCGCTATGAACTTGTTTCACTGTATACATTACATGTCTGGACTTTTTTTACTGTATATGTCTAGACTTTCCTTAGTTCCATATTGCGTCTGTTATTCCCTACTGCTCCCCTCCCACCTTCTCTTCCTTTATTATAACCTCCTATGTAGTATGGACCTGGATTTTTCACTGGCCCTCTTTCCTTTTTATTCTAAAATGTATAGCTATTATCTTTATTAACGCTCATTTTATGATCAAATAAATGTATGCAATTTTTTTCATTGTAACTTTCACCATCATAAACTTTTCATTACTAGTGTTATTATTTTTCTTATGAAGAGACATTTTTGTTTGTCAGCAAATACAATCCATCATTAAATCAAATGCTGACTTCACACTGAATTTTCTAGGGATTTTTCAGGGGTTTTTTTCCAGATCATGACAAGGAGCACACGGTGGGTGTGACCGGTCGGCAGGGGATGCTTACTCCTCCATGGCACCTGATCCCACCTCTGATGTTTTAGAGGTCCGTGTTTACTCTGCTCCTGATTTGTATTGTTTTTATGAACTATTGAGTTTGAATACTGTTTGTTATCTCCATATTTCATTTTCTGAAACTATCTAGCTTATTTTTTTAAAAACAGATTTGTATTGCATCTGATTTTCTGAAATTTCTCTGTTGATTTTATACGTTAAGATTACACATAAATGTTAAGATACCAACCTTTTTCCTGAATTTCTTTAGCTTTGGGTCTTCGCTCGGTGTGTTAACAGAGCAAACTTTGATGAAGACGCCCATCACAATCACAACCCCGACTACAATTAGCATTACACCCCACCAATGTTCCTGTAAAAATAAAGAGAATCACGACTCCGACTACAATAAGCATCACACATCACCAGTGTTCCTGTAAAAATAAACAGAATCATGACCCCGACTACAGTTAGCATCACACCCACCACTGCTAACACTAACCCTAACACTGACGCCCCCGACTACAATAAGCATCAAACCCAAACTATGTTCCTGTAAAAAATTAACAGAAAACAGTAAGCATCACACCCCACCAATGCTCCGGTAAAAACAAACAGACTGTGTAGATATGTCAGATGGAGACACTGTTCTTCCTGTAAAAATAAACACAAGTTCTTTGGAAAATGCTACTGTTTTTGCTTCAATATATAGTTTAGTATCATAAATACGAGGGTTGTTCGGAAAGTTCGCGGACTTCTGTCATATCTTTTTTACGTAACGTCATATTATATCAAGATTTGGTAGAAATGTTTTTACATTAAATTCAAATGATTTTTATTATAAATTTTAGAGATATTATAACTTATTTCAAACTTATTCAGAGTTAAAAACTGTAAAAATCGGGTCGCGGAGCTTGTCAAAACCTTGTAATTTACAAACAATACCCTAAATAATGTCTGTAGTCATATCCTCTAAAAATGATACAAAAATGCAAAAACTTCTAGACGAAAGAATAAAAAAATTGTTACATCGTTTCATATTTCAAATTATGAATTAATAGATTGCTTCGTGGAAAAGAAACAATTTCAGAAGATAGGTAGTCCTCGGTGAAGAAGGCAAAAAAAAGTGACGTAGAACGTCACGGAGCAGCAGTTTACGATACAATTTCGTGTTGTAATCGGGAAAACTCCAAAATAAACTCTGAAAATGCTGGAGGAAGGGAAATATATCAAAAGCCTGTCGTGCATATGTGTGTAAATGGCTCAGGGGGCATTTGAATGATACAGACTCTGTATGAGACGAGGACAATTTGTGAGGAAATGGATTATCTGTAAAAATCTTTCCAAATACTTTAAGTTGGTTAGGTCATAGAAAGAGAAAGGCACTTCACAGTTGCTGATTTTGTGAAAGCACATTTACGCGCTACAAAAGTAAAACATTGATAAACAAAATTATGCTACTGGAAGGATTGTTAGCAAAATAAATTTCAATTGATAGAGAAACGTTTTTAGTAAGTGGATATTGGGCCAGACTATGTGAAATATATAGGGAGATTATTTTGAGAACCTCATGATGCAATGTTTTTAACGTTATAATGTTGCTCCGGGGTTACCAAACATGTTGATTTTAAAATTAAGTAAATTAATTTCTATTGAATCGAATGGAATGAAACTTCATACACCAACAAAATGACATATGATAATGTGCTCATTTTTAATTTCTTGGAAATAGTATAACGAAGATTGAAACGGTCCGTGAACTTTCCGAACAACCCTCGTAAAGTGTTCACAAATTATGACAAATACAGGAATATAAAAAAAATGCAGAAGGGAGTGGGGATTAAGATTTATAGTTATTCCAATTTACAAGTGTATGATGGGATAATTGGGCTTCAAAAAAACTCTGCAAAACAATATAGTTTCACAATAACTATTACAAAGAAAGCGTTAAAAATCTCTTGTTTCAATTTTATTGACTTTTCTAGAACTTCAGTGCTTCACATATAAGCATGTCTTATTTTTGCAAATACTAAATACATTTACATTATCGTAGAAATTTGTAAATTTTGTAAACATTCTTGGTAAAATTAAGTTTGGGATAAATCTATAGAGAACAGTCAAGCCAAAGAAGTCTAACACATCTTAGCTTAATTGCAAAATAAATAAATGGATAGATAAAAAAAAATATAATAAATAACTGTTGAAAAATAAGAAAGTTTTAAGTCTTATCTATCTGAACCACGTACACATTATCTACTTAATTCACGGAACAATGGCATATCGCCAACATATTCAACGTTTTTAATGCGCGTTTAATGGGGTTTATTTTTTTAGAATGTTTAAAATTCTTATGTTTATCGTGTTTAATTCCTCTTATATTTTCATCTTCTCTGCCAAAGTGTTTGACATTGAAGTAAACAGATTTTATTTTAATGTATGACTTTTTTTTTATTTATTTACTAGTAATCATTAATGACAATAACATTAATGAATTAAAATAGATTTATTTTAATATTGCTGTTCTGAAAAAAATATAAATAATCAGAAAACTACGCATTGAGTATTCTTACTATTACATGAATAGGACATAAAGCCAGAATGTCATTAAATTACCCATTCCAGATAAAGAGGAGTAATATCTAAATATATATTAAAGATCTGTAGACCTTTCCACAAAAGATATTAGAACTAAGACAAAACCATTTCAAATCTCTAAAATGTAGTTAAGCTATATATGACCTAACAACCTTGCACCATTGTTAGGCCATTATTTACACACTGAATTGTCGACGGATTTTTCCGTGATTTCTAGATCATGTCAAGGAGCACACGGCGGGTAACCGGTTGGCAGGGGATGCTCACTCTTCCATGACACCTGATCCCACCTCTGATGTTTTAGTGGTCCGTGTTTGCTCCAAAAATTGTATTGATTAATGGACTTTTGATCTTGAATACTGTTCGTTATCTCCATATATTTCATCCCTATAATATTTTAATTTGTTGTGAATAACCTTTTACAATGAATTGATATCCTTATAAAGCTAGGAAATTAAAATAATCTTAGTCTTAAGAACTGTTATAAACAAGAAAAAAATGATTTGACGCAATTGTGAAGATTGATTAAATTTGTTTTGTTATAACACATAATCACTAAGTTATGACGTCATTACATACAATGATCCAGTCTTTAATTGTGGTAAGAGTTTCTTCTCCAAAGATCAAATTTTTCAGTCGTTCCAGAGGTCCCTCGTTATCCACGCCTCTACATCTGTGGAATACGTCACAATAGCCCTGATAGTTGTTACAGGGTGTGCCTAATATATGCATAAAATACGTCAAAATACCTTCAATAGCTGTTATATATTGTATCTAAGATATACACAAACATAAAAAAAAATAACTAACAATATGTCACAATACCCTTTATACTTGTTACAGAAAAGTTACACAAAAAATTACTTATTCATAGTCGTAAATAAATACATATGTTTGTTGATAATTACATCAGTAAACAAGTAAATAGTTAAATAAATAAAAAAATTAAATTAAATATAATCGTTAAATACACAAAATAATTAAGTTAAATATAATTCTATATAGAAAATATGTATTATTATCATTTTTAATGGTCATGTGCATATTTTTCTTAATTACTTTAATGAAATAAATATATTTTTACCTACAGAATATTAAATTTATTAGTTTTAATATTACTTTGATCGCTCAATCGCTAACCTCATTTGCTCTGGACGTAGTATATAGTTGAAATATTTGCATTTTTGTTAAAGTTATTTGAATTTTATAATTGTTACCGCTACTTTGTACTAGATTTGCGCTAGAGAGTGTTTTATAAATGATATAAAACTCTTAAGATTATTATCAATACCGTATGATGGGATTTAAGCTACCATACCATTTTGGGATTACTAGCAAAAGTCTTGGCAGGGCTAATAATAATGCAGCCTATAATTAAATAAAAAAATATTTCCCAAGAACAATGAATAAATTTATTCCTGAAATTGCTAAGATTGATAACGTTATTTATAAATTGGATAAAATTGTTATATTTGGCCAATCCCTAAAAACACATAAAACGGTATCTTTTATAATTATATCCGATTCCCGGTATACCGGCCAGTCCTATAAACCTAAGCAGGTCTTGAATCGGATGTGTTGAACTTTGTTGAAGTTTTCTAGCACTATTTATATCCATATGAAAATTTGAACCTATACTGATATATGTGTATCTAAAAGCTTTTTCAGATTATCTGGCTATAAATAAAAATTAAATTTTCTCTTCTGCTGTATATTTGATAAATTTATTTTCTGTAATAAAAACATAATAAATAACGTTTACTAGATCCTTTTAATTGTGATATCTTAAGTTTGTGACTTCCATAGAAAACATTAATGAATTGGTGAGTAGCTTTTCGTAAATATGTGTTTAATCTTTTTTTTTTCTTTTTTTCTTTTTTTTTTTTTGTAAAAAAATGTGTTTTGATTATATAGATAGTTTACTTGTTCTTTTGTGTTTGTTATGGCCTTGTCTTTGTAGCTGTGTTTAATATATCTGATGTTTGTTTGTATATGTGTTTCTAAATCATAAACTATATTCATACCTGAAGCTACAGAAATAGGTGAATTATCTCTTCTCTTATTCTTTACTTCCTGAACAAGGTTACTGAATATATCTGGAATTCCTTTTTGGTCTTCCGAGACATAACACGTGTCATTGGCATCTTAAAGAATAGAAATAATGATTATTATCATATTCTTACTTCATATTAATGAAAAAAAAAAGAAAAAAGTTCCATTCTATTCTGATTGGACAGAGTTAGCGAAATAAAGGAGTAAGTCATTAAGTTTTGAGTCACAGGTAAACTTAACGAGGTTCGCTCCTGAGCTTTTGAGCAGATTCTTATATTAACCTATATTTAAAAAATTCTGCATAATGTTTTAATTCTTACAATAAATTTTGATTCTACAGTGCCAATTTAACTATATTCAGTTAAAACTCCATGAATAAATTCCATACCAAAAGCATTAAGTGAGGAACTATATTTTGTGGCGGAAGGTTTTTTTAGAAGAAAATGATCATTTTTTTCTCTTTCGAAGTATTTAAAGTATGTTAAGTTTGGATTCCTATTTTTACATGCAGTCTGCACACATAGTTATTTTGTGCAGTTGACTGTTTTATACTGGTCCTAAATTATATATTAAATAAATTGTCATGGGTTCTATCATCATATTTGATAAATATAGCAAATATATTGTGGAAATGAAGAAAAAAAAATGGCCCTAATTTAAGCTTAAAATTAGCACTATTTTAGTAATATCTTAAAATTAACATCACAGACCCCCACTTTTAATTTTCTTTTCTGAATATATACGATACTTTTAACCATTCTTCTTAAATTCAGTATGTTGTCATTACTTTCAAATGATTTTTTGGCTTGTTAAATTTTAATGCCAGAAAAATGAAAATGTTTGAGTGCAAAAAGGTCAAATAATTGAACATGCGCAGTTATTCGAAAATTTCTTCGTTGTTACAAATTTTAATGTATCTATTTAAGATGAAATAAGACTGTGTTTTTTCACCATAATTTATTTGAACAAAAAATATTGAAGGAAAAACTTTAAAAATTGGTTTATGTGTAAGACGTATTTACAGTGCAAAAAGGTCAAACTAAATGCTCTGTAGCGCCAAAAGAAGCGCATTGACCCACATTTTTTGTTTTGATTTTTAAAAAAGCTATGTGTATAAATTCTAAAAATATACTTGATAAAAAATTCTCATTTACTTTTGATGGCAGGATCCAACCTCCTTAAATAAGGATAGATTTTGCTTTCAAACTGAGAATAATATAGATGCATGTATGAAAACGCTGAAGATGAAAACCTTGAGTGTCGTTTCTCGCCTCGCCACTTTCATATCGTGAGGCCGGATAACGGTATTGCAATTAGATAAATCAAACATCTTAATTTTGTGTTCCTGAATTTCAGAATGAAATAAAACTACAAACCTGGTTTACAAGATAGGTAACACAAATTTTCTTTCTGTTCAACAGAGAGAGACCCCGACATTCCAATGTAACATTCATCCCACGTAGAATTCCAGTGAGCATGTGAAGAATGGTTATAACCTATTCTTTTACAGAGGGACCCTTCACATACCTAAGGGAAAAATGTGGTGTATTAAAAATCATTATAAAAAGTAGACTGCATTTACAGGAGGTCCTTTTAAGCGCTTAGGGACAAAATGGTGGTTTATTACAAATTACTGGAACGGGAGAGGCTGAATATCAGGACTTATATACATGCATATATATATATATATATATATATATATATATATATATATATATATATATATATATATATATATATATATATATATATATATAAGATTTATAAAATAAATACAAGTTTTGATGACAAATAAGGTTTTTTTTTCTAATAAGGAGGCTTTATATACTTTTAATGTATTGCTTTTAAACTTGGCTATTTTCTAAACCCTGGAACATGTAATTTTTTTTTGAACAGGTAGGTCAGGAAATCCAACGATTCAATTATCTCACTTTATATTGTACGGATTGAGATAGTCTATTACCTTATATACAATCTGGAGTTCTACTCATTTTGAAAACTGGCTTTATTCTTAATAGATATTTGAATTTTTCATAATTTCAGTTTAATTACAATGTATAAAACTACGTTTGTAAAAATTTAGCTTGTCCATTCTTACCCCCTTTATGCAGACTTGAGTATAATCGTTACAATACGTCATATCCTCTTTATTTTTAGGAATTGGGCACTTTGCGCTACTTCCGGTGAAGAAGTTAAGGATCAATACTCACAAATTTTTATAGTTTAATATGAACAACCAAATCTACTAAAATATACTTTTTTGCATGCACTATCTAATAGTAATTTTTTTTCACACGTTTTTAAAAAAACATTGTACGAATAAACACTTAAGGAAATATAAATTTGTTGTGAGATATATTCAACTAAAACACATGAATTTGAATACCAAAAAATTTAGTTTCATTTTTGCTTGTTCTTTTAAATTTCAGCACTTCATCAGGCATGTTTTCTTTTAGTATAATTTTCTCGTGTTTGTTCTTTTTTATTTTTTCCCAAAAATTATAACTAATGCATTGAAAAATTCCTGATTAAATTTGTAATAATATTTTTCTTAAACAAAAACATTTAACGTAAATTACAGAAAAGTTTGATTTTTGTTTTTTTATGTAGAAAAGGATATTTGCATTTTTGCTCTTCGCTACAGTCCGTGGCAGCTCGACAAATCGTCATATTTGCTGGTTTATAATCACATTTGTCTGTACAACATGGGCCTTCAGTTGGACTAAAAATACACATCTTATTGTATTAATCCTTCTAAAATAGAGGCTGTTTGTGATATATAGAGAGTGGAAATTAATTACAGTAAGATAAAAGATGAGAATTTGATAATTTTAAAATGATGATGAAATTTAAAACGAAAGAATATCCTTTTTTATAACAGAGACTCATTGTGAAAGTCCTTATTAACTTATTTCAATTATGATCTTGCGGATTTTGGTACTTATTTGTAAGGTACAATGTGATCTACAATGATAAAAATTTCCTATAACTGGGCCCCACCTGCATTTAATTGAAGGATCTTTATATTTACACATCTGTTTGTCGTTTGGATCGCTGCTCCGAGGGTGGCAGCACTTGTCTGTACAGTCATCTTTATAACCGCAATCACACTGCTCCCCTTTCTCTACTATACCGTTACCACAGAATGCCGCGCCCGACGCTAAAAGGAAAAATCATTCTTATATATTTAGTATTTTACTTTTCTTAATCAATGCAATTCAAACCTCAAAGGTCACTAAATGAAATAGATTAGAATAATTATATATGTTTCTTTACTTTGACTGACAAATGTAATTATAAACTTAAATATTACTTTTCTGCATCAAGAGAAAAAAATGTGAAAGGATTAGAAGTTGCAAAACAAATGACAGCTAAACGTTGTTGTATTTCCAGTTTCTGATTATTGCTACGGCGTCTAACTCTTACGTTTCCTTTACTGCTAGAGAGAAGATAAGGTATCACTTACATTTGAAGCAGTTGTATTTCCCGTTCCTGCCGTTCACTACCGCGTCTAAGACTAACGTTATGTTTCCCTTACTACACTTAGAGAAATGATCGTTGTTAGGACGGTTACCCTTGGTTGCACTTGGATACATGATAAAGTTACCCGGATCTCCTCCTGGAGCACAAATAGTTCCACTGTCATGCTGAAAATAAAAATAAAGTAATGTATAAATTAATCCATCAATTAGTTGATAAATAAATTAATAAATCATTAATAAATCAATAAATACAGTCAGCAAATAAATAAATGTATTTTAAAAATTGCAATGAATACAAGATAGCAAAATTTCGAACATGATAGAAATATATGTATAAAAAATAATGATTGTACTTATGTGAAAGATGAACTGCGTACTCCTTTCGACTTAGATCAAGTATTATGTAGTATTCGATATATTTGTATTCTATATAGAGAGATTCAAATGTAGTTCAATGATTAAAAGAGTTTCTATTTTTCGCGTTAGTCCTCTTAACCCCAAAATGCACATTTCAAAGCTTAAAACTCCATGTATATTTCTTTTAATATCAAAGCTTTCCCCTCCATTGTGTGTCAAAAGATTTTCTTCTGTTATGCTTGACATAAATCAAAGATAACTGGAGAACCAAATGTATTTCCCACTTTTTGTACCACTTCATGAGAACGTGTTAGCTGGAAGACCCAAGGGACAACGCGTTTGTACTTGTTATGCCATACTTTCTGAAGAACCAAAGTTCTGTCCCATTTCCTGAGGGAATGTAAAATGTGAGACCCGCGGTGGAACACGGCGGATTTAGTTGTAATGTCATACTTACTGGAGAGCCAAAGTTATGTCCCACTTCGTGGGCGAACGTCAGATGTGAAACCCGCGGTGGAACACGGCGGGCGTAATTGATGAGTGTTACTATCCCGGTATTCAGGCTCTTCTGTATACTTCTTCCCTGCTCTCGTACTGTCTTGTAGCGCTCACATACGCCTCCCGCGGCAGCTGCACGAAAAAGTGAAATATCCATAAAATGTGAAGATAAGGAACAGTAACCATAGTTAAATACAACAATACAAAACCAATATAAGAGATTGGATCAGGTGTCATGTGGGAGTAAACAATCCTGTCAAACTGACACGCCCACCGTGAGCCATTTATAAAGCATGACAGTATACAGGATCTCTAAAGAATCTTATATTTTAATTTCTCTACATAGATATCCAATAAATCCAATTAATTTTTTTATCTTCGTTATAGGCATATCCCTTTGAAGTGCAGACATTTCTAGAGCCGCACGGCCGTAACGTAATAAAATTTCATATTCATAAAGCCAAGTGTGATTTCCTGAAGGACAACCGTACTTTATAAAACGAATACATATATAAACAGCATAAAAACGAGTAATAATTTTATTTTATTTCACTAAATATTCCATATAAACTTTCATACTTTTACGCATTAATACGGCATAGATGTTCTTTATGCAAAATCCGTTCTACATCAACACACCCTTAGATATATGAACCTGGAATTTCATAACTCTGACATATCCATTTTTTTTATATTGAGGCTGTCTTCCAGGGAATCAATTTTGGCTATATGAATCCGTTTTTTTACGTTTCTGTCGACGAATGAACATATATGTATATGTTTCTTTGTGTAATTTGATAATTTTGAAAAAAAAAAAATAAAATGTGCCAAGATCAGGGAAAATTTGATTCTTAAAAGATTTTTTTTTAAGTGATTATTTTCAGAGGAGCTAAGTGAAGTTATTTTTAGTATCTCATATACGAAGTCAATATAAAAAAAGAAAAAGGTTTGAAAGAGACTGTAACAGTTAGAAGATAATTTTTACCCGTGGGTGATCCAACCCAGGCCAGTCCGAGAGTCCCTCCCGAGAAATCCCGATAGGTGAAAGCAAACGCCAGACAGAAAGGATCATGATTGTCCAAGGAATTCAGATTCAAAAAATTACTGACGTCGATGTTCGGATTACAGAAGCTCAAAGCGTTGGTTCGTAGATACGTGTTACACTGTAGGGATTCGTCCGTCATGATCTGTTATGAGTTATAAAAAATCCGAAATTAAAAATCTTTATTTAGGGAGATGTAAAATCATATAACTATGACACAAGGACAATATTTGCAAGTAAACTGAAACATATTCGAGACGTCTGTATAATGTAAACTGTTATATATTCCAGATGTCTGTACAATGTAAACTGTAATATATTCCAGATGTCTGTACAATATTAACTGTAATGTGTTCCAGATATCAGTACAATGTTAACTGTAATATATTCCAGATGTCTGTACAATGTAAACTGTTATATATTCCAGATCTCGGTACAATGTAAACTGAAACATGTTATTGATGTCTGTACAATGTAAACTGTATGGATATCTGTACAATGTAAACTGTAACATGTTATAGATGTCTGTACAATGGCGTCTTACTGTTGTTCTCTGTATTCTGAAATTCATTCCTTCAAAGCATGGCGTCCCTGGAGGTGTGACCCAATAAGTCTCAAACTTAGTTTTACTGTAGATTTGGTTAATAGCGGACACGTGGGTAGAGAACAAGGCCAGAATCTCATCCTTAGCGGCCGCAACATTCTGTTTAATAAATAACATTTACATTAACAGTAAAACAATATCATTCCTTATAATAATAGTCGCAATAGGCAACTCACCCCTCCGAGTCTGTCTCTTGTATCATTAAACAACACAGGATCGGCTCTAAGATAGAGGTTACATGTTCGCTCAGGTTTAGAATAACAACTGCTCCCAGGGGGCGCTCTCTTTATACGGTGGGGTTTACTGTTGGAATCCCGGCTGTACATGTTACTCGACCGGTGGTGATCTTGGACATCACTCTACAATTAAAAATGTACAAGAACAGGAAACAAGGTTAAAAATGCGTTACAAATACTTAAAGATTATAGGTGCATACACTCTTCAGAGTTTGCTTGATTATTTTTCCGACTTTAAGTCACATAATGTATATAGTTCTTGTGCCATTCGGCTTTCAGTGTTTTTATTGTAAAGATTAAATTAATAACTATATAAATCTGTCTTACATATAAATCTCTGTCTGTGTGGCTTCTTTCTACCACCCAGTCCCGATGTTTGTCTAGACCAAAACTTACATATAAATCTCTGTGTGACTTCTTTCTAACACCCAGACCCAATATTTGTCTAGACCACAACTTACATGTAAATGTCTCTCTGTGTGACTTCTTTCTAACATCCAGTCCCGATATTTGTCTAGACCACAGCTTCCATCATGTCCCGTACTGGCACGTTTGTGTCTGAGAATATCAAATAAGCTACATGTATTTAAAAGGAAATTGAGCTACTTGTTTGGCGCCGGGAATCATTTTTTTGTTTGGCGCCGGGAATCATTTTTCTAATGAACGAAAAAGTAGAAAATAATGAACAATGATCATTTTCATAAATCTAATATTAGCATCAAATTCGCAAAAAAGGGCAAAAACTGGGACATGGAAACAACAGATGTAGGATCAGGTGCTTAGGAGGAGTAAACATCCCCTTTCAACTGGTCAACCCACCATGAGCCCTTGTTCTTGATCAGATTAAAGCATTGTACCGTAATCAAATGAGTATAAAAAGAATGCTTTAACAATTTTTATAAAATTTGCTAGTCAAAACTCGATCCAACTGAAGGTTTTAATTGCAAACTGGGTCATTGGACCCATAAAATTTCCGAATTGCTTATATACACAAGTTATGTTGAAAGCCCTATAAGATATCTTTAACAAATATTTACTATATATGTAGTTAATATGTAAATATACAAGTAATATTATCATTCAACATCAAAAATGTGTATGTATGAATTAGAGAACATAAAACATAACCATCTGAAATCCATAGTAAAAATAATTTGATTTTCTATAATAAAAATATTTGATTTTAAATTTTTTTTTATAAAAATAAAAACTTTGATTTACTTTAGTAAAAACTTTGATACTGTAGTAAATTCTAGTTTACTATAGTATTTTGGGGGACATCAACGTATTTGTCAGTAGCCTGCCTCGGTTTACTTTTACTTATTATTAATCGGAAATACTCAGAACATGCTCTTGTGTGCCAAATCCGTTAGGAGATATAAAAAATCATATGTAGGTAATAATGAAATATTACTACTGTATAACATTTAAAATAGTAATATTTTATATAGTAACATTTAAAATCGGAAGATAAGGATTGCAAACCAAAAGTCATCCTGTTTGTCTACTCTATTGTTTGTTATCAATATCTATAAACACAATATTTTATAAATATTTTATAAATCCAAAACTGCAACGGTTGTAGTGAGCTATGTTTTGTCTTTTATTTCGAGTTTTATGGGATATGTGGAGGCGATATATGAATGAAAAATAACTATTGTTCATCGATGATATGTTGTCACAAGATATATAAATGTCTGATTGAGGCTGCACAAATAATTTTCTTCTTCTAATACAGATAATTTTGAATATATTCTGCTTCATAGGAATTTAAAAAAGACAACAGAAGAATAGCACAATTCGTGCTTATTGGAATAATGAGAGATTATTTTACAAAAGGTATGTTCTCCATAAACTAATTTAGTACATCTATTGTCAACGAGGACCTCTAACTTTTTTATACTTACTTCAGAGTACATTCATATAGAATCTGAATGATTTTTAACACCAAAATTTCGTCGAAAATCAACCACAAGATATAAAAATTGTCGAGTTCCTTTTCCCCGCAGAAGGCCTGGAACAGTTTTCGAGGTAGGGTTGGGGGTGGGGGTTGGTCCGTGTTTTGTCCTGTTTAGGATTTCCATTCTTTACCTGGAACAGTTATGGAGGGAGGGTTGGGGGTGGGGGTGGGTGGTGGGTCCGTGTCAGGATTTGTATCTTTAACTGGATACATGAGATTAATCACTGTTTATCTTCAGTCTTTACATGAAATATGAAGATAACGAACAGTAATCCAGCTCAAAAGTCGATCGAAATAATACGAATTGATAGCAGAACAAACATGCAAAAACATCAGAGGCAGGATCAGATGAAGGAATGAGCATTCCCGCCGTGAGCTCCTTGTCATGATCGGGCAAACGGAAAAATCATTATAGTGAATTCAGTGTGAAAATAATGGCCTAGCAATTTATATGAAAAACGCCAGTGTCATAAAATATTGAAAAGTGTTAATGTCGATGATTTTTTAACAAAAAAAAAATGTGATTTTAAATTTTATTGAAGCTTTTGAGAACACAGAGATGTTTACAGAACTCCTGTATATGATGCATAGAGCGTCTGAAGTTTCTTCTTCACAGCAGCTACACAGGCAACTTTGCCACATATGATCCACATATGTGTATCATATGTGAATCATATGATTGGTTTCATATGAGAATCATAAAAAAAGGGCATCATATGTGAATCATATGAAGCAAATCATATGAGTCACATATGATTCACATATGTGAATCATATGAAAAGAATTTCATATGATTTGCACATGAAAAGTTTTAGTGTGTTTCAAGTCATTTACATATGAGAATCATATGAAATGGGCATCATATGTATATCATATGAAACATTTATGTTTTTTTTTTCATATTTATCAAAAGGAAATACACACTTGTACACATTGAAAATCAGGTATTTCTGCTTTAGATGAAATTTCAGTACATTCCAATGATCTATTAAATACCTGTAAATATTTGATAATGCTTGCACAATTTTCCAAAAGTATCTTCATCAACAGAAATAACTAATATCACACAGTGCACACTTTAAACAAGAAAGTATACAAACAAGTCAGTAGCATTTGTCGATACATGTATTTTACATATTCTAAAACGAGTACAAATTATTTGAAAGGATTTCAGCAAAATGATCAAGGAGATGAACATGTATACATGTACCCATGAATAAAATAATTAGATCATGAACTTGTATAAAAATACTATATGACATGGAAGTGTCCTTAGCAAAATTGAAATATCTGCAACAACATTTGTCAATATATGTAATCTCTATTGTAAATTTATGACAAATCATAAGTAATTCAGATTACATGTACCTACAGCATATTTAACACATAAATGAGTATGAAATCACAAAGGATGATGTCTCGATTGAACAAAGATACATATATATATATATATATATATATAGTTTTTCATAAAAATGTTTATGTATTTATGCATAAAGCATGAAATATAAAATGTGAATACATTAGAATGAGATTTTACAATCAAAATGATATTCCAGTATACAAATAAATAGAAAGCCTTGCATGTCAAAGTCTGACAAAATTAAGTACATCCTTCTCATTCATATTTATTCAAGTTATTTCCTAATTCTTTTCTTTCTCTGTCAACTTTTCCCATTTGTTCTCCCTCTGATCTTCCATCATCATATTGAAAATTCTTTGAACTGTACCCAAAATGCAAATCCACCAATGTCCCCTATCTGAACAATTTGTTTGTGGCACAGAATAATCTCTAAAAATTATTTTTAAAATAATTAGCATTAATAATAATAACAAGAGGTCCATGGACCACATTGTTCACCTGAGCAAACAATGGCAAACTCACTTAACTCTGACACAAGTGGCTTTTGTGAAATGTGTGTCAATACAAAAAAAGTGCTGGAATAAATTGCAAAAGTATTTTTTTGATATTTGTTCCATACTGATCAAATTTACTCAAGATTCCCTCCTTAGGCCCCACTATTGTAGCAATGTAGAAATTGTTAAAAAGACTTAATTTTTTCCTATACACAAGTATAAATTACTATGTAAAACTTTGCAACCCTTCAGGGGCCCCACTGGTGGTTTAGTGGTCATTGTTTCAACAAACTTGAAACAACACTGCATAGGGATGTTTGCAAAATAATATCACAAATTGTAGTGTGGTAGTTCTTGAAAAGCAGATTTTTAAAGACTTTATCCTATATAATCTGTAGATTGAACTTTGAACCCCTACTGGTACCTTACTATTGGTCCTCTTTGCCAAGTTCAGTTGAAATTAGTCCAGTGGTTCTGGAGAAGAAGACATAAATGTGAAAAGTTTATGCCAACAACGATGATGATGGACAATGGACAATTTTGATCAGAAAACTTCACGTGAGCCTTTGGCTCAGATGAGCTAAAAACAAGTACTTTCATTTAAAATGAAAGTACTTGTTTTTAGCTCATCTGAGCTGAAGGCTCAAGTGATTCTAAAGATGAATATGATTGGAAAAATTGTTTGTGACATTCAACAAACATGAACTAATTTTCTATCATTGTATCATTGATCATATTTACTAGCAAAGATGTCCTTCCAATAAACAAATATATATCTCAAAATTTTAACATTAAAGTTTAACTTCAATATTTTTACAATTTAAAATGTTGACTCTTACTGTTTTCATACTAGCATCATACTAGCATCGGTGTGAAGTATTCCCTCTCTGGATTTGTTAGCATAATTGTAGGAGGAAGGAAACATTTTCATCGATAATTATGTAGAGACTTAATGGAGGGACCCTCTACATCAACTTCTTTGTTACCCATCAGCTAAAACATTTTTTTCTAAACAATTCAATTCACAATGTATAGCTTAAATGGAATGCAGTGCAAAATTTTGTTTTGACAAGGTAATTCAATTTAGCAATAGACTTTGATACTTCTTAGGATGATATGTAACATATATAAATAAAATGTGTGCACACCTTTGCTCTGATCTGATTTCTGTAATATGTGAATTCAGTGGATCCAAAGCTAGACATAACTCCCATAACATTTCATGTCCAGCAAGCCTTCTATGCCAGATTGCTGAGCATCTCCTGAATGAATAAAGCAATGCATTTTTCACTTATTTTTCTATACATCAAACACATACTAAGATTCTTCAAGAAAAAATGCTTCACTATTATACATATTGACTATAAACTTTATTAGTTTCATATAACATGACATACATGCTCAGTGCATCTACTTAAATGCTCAGTGCATCTACTTAAATGCACAATTCTTGCAAAATACATGTAGTTAGCTAGCATTTATATTCATCATACCTGTACTTCTGTATCCTTAAAAGAAATCCAGGGGTTGATGTTAAATCTTTTTTTAAGCCAATTGACATTCTCTCTGCAAATTTTTAATCTATATAAAAAAATAATAGATATAATATATATAATCCATTTCTGCTTGATGCAGACCCCCAAATCATTAACCAAAGTACATGAAAATGTATACAATGTACTTTCAATGCACATGTAATAGTACCTTGAATGTCTGATTAAGCTAAAAGTCATTATCCCCCAGAAGATAATGTATAGTTTTATAGTTCTTCATAGTTTTTATAGCCAGCAAGTTCTATAATATATGACTTACATATTTTCATATGTTTTCATACTTATACATGTATATATATTTTATTAGGGTGCTGGATTTGTTCTATAGAAAAAGAGTTGGATTTATTTAGTTTTTGATATATGTTTAAGTCATTACTTATATATACTGTGATGATTAATGTATTTATTTATTTATTTTTACCTGCATTGTGATCATGCATCGTCTGCCAAACCAGCTTTGGGTTTAAATCGTCAGTCAAATCAGCTTTGTGTTCAATCGTCAGTCTAATCAGCTTTGGGGTTCTTTGAACAAAAAAAAAAAAAATACAAAAACAGCACTGTGACACTGAACTCAGTTCCTAAATACATTATTTAAAACACGTTTCTCATTCATTTGATGAAAGAACCGAATGAATAACGATCTCAACAAACATTTTATGTTAACTGCTTTACAAAGTTTCTACTTTCACTTTCATATCGAATATAAATATCAAGCGTAGCTATTAACAAAAGGGAAATAAATCTGAAAAATAAGTGATGCTAAATGGCCTAAACATTCGTCGTTAACAAACAAAATTACCGTACTCATTCAATAAGTAATTTATTGATCACTAGGTTTATCGGCTTTTTACGAACTGCATTAATTTAACAATTATATACAAGTGATGAGAGTACTAGAAAGTTTATACGGATCTGTTACCGTAATGAAATGATCTAAACACAATGAACTGGCCTTTAAAAAGTCTTTTAAAACGTATCCGAAATCACTTACTTTTTTCAACACCCAATTCTTCTGCTGCAGAAGTGACGTCAAACATGACGTACACTTTCATCTGATAAAAACCGAAACCGGTCCGTAAATAAAATGTGGAATGATTTTAATTTTACTCATAAAATAAAACCAACCATAACGGTTTTTGGATAAAATACAAATCAATTTATTCTTGATGAATTTTGTTTTTCAAGAAAACAAATTTTGAATTTTATGAAAGGATTTTTTTTTGGGGGGGGGGGGGGGTAACAGAGTACTTATTCCCTTTTTATCCAAGCTTCTTAAGGAAATGAACATCTTGATTCTTTTGAATAAATATACATTTAAATTTACACATCTTGATATATGTTATTGAAATTATTTTTTAATCATGCAGTCTACTTGTTAAAATATAACACCAACTTATTCATATTAAGCTTAATATGAAATTACTCAAGTGTTAACTGATGAACAGTTAATAAACGTATTTTTTTTTATCTCATTGAATTAAAATAAAAATGAATTTTACCTGCTTATAACAAGGACAAATAAATAAACACACACAGATCTGTTTCATATGATTCTCATATGATAATTCTCAAAGTATGCATATGATTCTCATATGCAGAACTTTTCATATGTGTATCATATGTATATTGCTTCATATGATTTACATATGCGTATTCATATGATCCACATATGATTTGCCACATATGATACTCATATGATTGAATATACATATGATTCTCATATGATCCTCATATGATCTTCATATGAAAAGCAATGCATATGTGGATCATATGTGGCGAAATTGCCTATGTATTATTAATGTAAGGAATAAATATTGGTAAGACATTTAATGACCCTTTTATATATTATTGTTCGTAAGTCTTTTTATGGTTTTGGAATCCAGTAGGCACGGTAAATGAATTCTACTTCTTTTGACTGGGATATTATAAGTATTTCAAAATGAAGCGAGATTTTGAAGAGAGTTTCATCCTGTAGATCACCAAATATTCGCTATACCCTATTTCCGCGAGATGGGTAACTAGTATTTATAAGCAAGACAAAATTTTGATGAATTCTAACTATTATCCAGTATAATCTTTAGTTCTAAAAATATACAAGAGAAGGAAATTTTCGCGAGGAGACAGTCTCGCGTAATTACGCCAAAATAAAGTTCTCGCGAATAAAAAGTGATTTACGGTACTTTGGTTATATGCTATATTATATTGCTTACAGGAGGTTTAAATTGTGCAATAGTTTAATATTAATATTGTGTAATAGTTTTTTCTGTTCGTTTTTCCTGTGATTATTGGTAGATGCCTAATAATTATAACTCACCTGTAATGCTTATTGGTAGATCCCTATGTAACTCACCTGTAATGCTTTTTGGTGGATGCCTATATAACTCACCTGTAAGGGTCAAGATTCATATGATCCTCCCTGTAGATAATGGAGTGAAAATCTAGGAGTTGGGGAGAATTCCGGAAGTACCGGTCCGCCGGCTCGATGAAGTAAATTTCCTCTGGTGAAAGCATTATGGTGCCCTGAAATATACCACGCAGTACCGCCCCATGGACAGTGCTGCCTGGGACTCCTATAAATAAAATCAAAGTACTGAGAGTACTGATAGGCGGAAGTAAATAAACGGCATTAAAGTACACATTTAAATATTGATCTGAGACAGCTAAATGGTTCTCTTCGAATCGTGTTGACCTCATAATAAAATACAATTTTCTAATGATTTTAAACAATAAACATTAAAAAAAAATCTCTTTGGAAATATTTTATTTTTCCAATATAACAAAAATTCTAAGCCGTTTTCATATACCGATATATATATTAATTTAAGAATTTTAAAGAATCTTTCTCCTTTGGGAAAAAGGCTGGAAACTTTTAAATATTCCAAAAATATTTTTGTTGTTGTTGTTTACAAATAATCAATTAAATAAAAAAAAATCTTAAAAATTTCTAAAAATGTAATCATCCTACAAATACTTTATTTTTCTGTTCAGTTTTCTCTACTAAATGTTACATAAAAAATACATTAAAAATTAAAATAATTGAAAAAGAAAGTGGAGACCAATCAAAATTCTAATGCCTCGATATGAAATTTAATTGAACTCGTAGGTTTTTTACTACCAAATAAAGGTATGATCTCAAAATAAAATGTGACAAAATTATGTTCATAAATGGCTTCATGATTAGGAAGGTATTTGGAAACTTTATACATTATTTACACACTGAATTGTCGACGGATTTTTCCGTTATTTCCCGATCATGACAAGGAGCACACGGCGGGTGTGACAGGTCGGCAGGGGATGCTCACTCTTCCATGGCACCTGATCCCACCTCTGATGTTTTGGAGGTCCGTGTTTGCTCTGCTCCTATTTTGTATTGTTTAATGGACTTTTGAGCTTGAATACTGTTCGTTATCTCCATATATTTCATACAAGAATATTGTTTAATTCAAAATCACACGCACTCAAGAAATTACCTCGAACTTCACCATCATATATAAAGGATGTATCCACGTGTTCTTCGGAGCCGTCTGGTTGGCGGGATTTGTGATCAGCTGAGAAAACGCTGTCAGAAGGATGGAGATCTAGATGGAAGTTTCTATAAATAGAAAATAAAGATTGAAGAGTAACCCTAACCCTAAAATAGAAAACAAAGAGTGATGACTAACCTTTATCCTAAAATAGAAAACAAAGAGTGAAGACTGACCCTTATCCTAAAATAGAAAACAAAGAGTGAAGACTGGCCCTTATCCTAAAATAGAAAACAAAGAGTGAAGACTGACCTTATCCTAAAATAGAAAACAAAGAGTGAAGACTGACCTTTATCCTAAAATAGAAAACAAAAAGTGAAGACTGGCCCTTATCCTAAAATAGAAAACAAAGAGTGAAGACTGACCCTTATCCTAAAATAGAAAACAAAGAGTGAAGACTGGCCCTTATTCTAAAATAGAAAACAAAGAGTGAAGACTGACCCTTATCCTAAAATAGAAAACAAAGAGTGAAGACTGGCCCTTATCCTAAAATAGAAAACAAAGAATGAAGACTGACCCTTATCCTGAAATAGAAAACAAAGAGTGAAGACTGGCCCTTATCCTAAAATAGAAAACAAAGAATGAAGACTGACCCTTATCCTAAAATAGAAAACAAAGAGTGAAGACTGACCCTTATCCTAAAATAGAAAACAAAGAGTGAAGAGTAACCCTTATCCTAAAATAGAAAACAAAGAGTGAAGAGTAACCCTTATCCTAAAATAGAAAACAAAGAGTGAAGACTTGCCCTTATCCTAAAATAGAAAACAAAGAATGAAGACTGACCCTTATCCTAAAATAGAAAACAAAGAGTGAAGAGTAACACTTATCCTAAAATAGAAAACAAAGAGTGAAGACTGACCCTTATCCTAAAATAGAAAACAAAGAGTGAAGACTGACCCTTATCCTAAAATAGAAAACAAAGAGTGAAGAGTAACCCTTATCCTAAAATAGAAAACAAAGAGTGAAGACTGACCCTTATCCTAAGATAGAAAACAAAGAGTGAAGACTGACCCTTATCCTAAAATAGAAAACAAAGAGTGAAGAGTAACACTTATCCTAAAATAGAAAACAAAGAATGAAGAGTAACCCTTATCCTAAAATAGAAAACAAAGAGTGAAGACTGACCCTTATCCTAAGATAGAAAACAAAGAGTGAAGACTGACCCTTATCCTAAAATAGAAAACAAAGAGTGAAGAGTAACACTTATCCTAAAATAGAAAACAAAGAATGAAGAGTAACCCTTATCCTAAAATAGAAAACAAAGAGTGAAGACTGACCCTTATCCTAAGATAGAAAACAAAGAGTGAAGAGTAACACTTATCCTAAAATAGAAAACAAAGAATGAAGAGTAACCCTTATCCTAAAATAGAAAACAAAGAGTGAAGACTGACCTTTATCCTAAAATAGAAAACAAAAAGTGAAGACTGGCCCTTATCCTAAAATAGAAAACAAAGAGTGAAGACTGACCCTTATCCTAAAATAGAAAACAAAGAGTGAAGACTGGCCCTTATCCTAAAATAGAAAACAAAGAGTGAAGACTGACCCTTATCCTAAAATAGAAAATAAAGATTGAAGAGTAATCCTAACCCTAAAATAGAAAACAAAGAATGAAGAGTAACCCTTATCCTAAAATAGAAAACAAAGAGTGAAGACTGACCCTTATCCTAAAATAGAAAACAAAGAGTGAAGACTGACCCTTATCCTAAGATAGAAAACAAAGAGTGAAGACTGACCCTTATCCTAAAATAGAAAACAAAGAGTGAAGAGTAACACTTATCGTAAAATAGAAAACAAAGAATGAAGACTGACCCTTATCCTAAAATAGAAAACAAAGAGTGAAGACTGACCCTTATCCTAAGATAGAAAACAAAGAGTGAAGACTGACCCTTATCCTAAAATAGAAAACAAAGAGTGAAGACTGGCCCTTATCCTAAAATAGAAAACAAAGAATGAAGACTGACCCTTATCCTAAAATAGAAAACAAAGAGTGAAGAGTAACCCTTATCCTAAAATAGAAAACAAAGAGTGAAGACTGACCCTTATCCTAAAATAGAAAACAAAGAGTGAAGAGTAACCCTTATCCTAAAATAGAAAACAAAGAGTGAAGACTGACCCTTATCCTAAAATAGAAAACAAAGAGTGAAGAGTAACCCTTATCCTAAAATAGAAAACAAAGAGTGAAGACTGACCCTTAATCTAAAATAGAAAACAAAGAGTGAATAGTAACCCTTATCCTAAAATAGAAAACAAAGAATGAAGAGTAACCCTTATCCTAAAATAGAAAACAAAGAGTGAAGACCGACCCTTATCCTAAAATAGAAAACAAAGAGTGAAGACTGGCCCTTATCCTAAAATAGAAAACAAAGAGTGAAGAGTAACCCTTATCCTAAAATAGAAAACAAAGAGTGAAGAGTAACACTTATCCTAAAATAGAAAACAAAGAGTGAAGACTGACCCTTATCCTAAAATAGAAAACAAAGAGTGAAGAGTAACCCTTATCCTAAAATAGAAAACAAAGAGTGAAGACTGACCCTTATCCTAAAATAGAAAACAAAAAATGAAGACTGACCCTTATCCTAAAATAGAAACAAAGAGTGAAGACTGACCCTTATCCTAAAATAGAAAACAAAGAATGAAGACTGACCCTTATCCTAAAATAGAAAACAAAGAGTGAAGACTGACCCTTATCCTAAAATAGAAAACAAAGAGTGAAGACTGACCCTTATCCTAAAATAGAAAACAAAAAATGAAGAGTAACCCTTATCCTAAAATAGAAAACAAAGAATGAAGACTGACCCTTATCCTAAAATAGAAAACAAAGAGTGAAGAGTAACCCTTATCCTAAAATAGAAAACAAAGAGTGAAGAGTAACCCTTATCCTAAAATAGAAAACAAAGAGTGAAGACTGACCCTTATCCTAAAATAGAAAACAAAGAATGAAGACTGACCCTTATCCTAAAATAGAAAACAAAGAGTGAAGAGTAACCCTTATCCTAAAATAGAAAACAAAGAGTGAATAGTAACCCTTATCCTAAAATAGAAAACAAAGAGTGAAGACTGACCCTTATCCTAAAATAGAAAACAAAGAGTGAAGAGTAACCGTAATCCTAAAATAGAAAACAAAGAGTGAAGACTGACCCTTATCCTAAAATAGAAAACAAAGAATGAAGACTGACCCTTATCCTAAAATAGAAAACAAAGAGTGAAGAGTAACACTTATCCTAAAATAGAAAACAAAGAGTGAAGACTGACCCTTATCCTAAAATAGAAAACAAAGAGTGAAGACTGACCCTTATCCTAAAATAGAAAACAAAGAGTGAAGAGTAACCCTAATCCTAAAATAGAAAACAAAGAGTGAAGAGTAACCCTTATCCTAAAATAGAAAATAAAGATTGAAGAGTAATCCTAACCCTAAAATAGAAAACAAAGAGTGATGACTAACCCTTATCCTAAAATATACAGCAAAAAGTGGAGAGCTTCACATATACAATACAGAGAAGTAAAGACACAAAGGATAAATCAAACAAATCAAACAAACAAGAAACTTCTTCTTTTTTTTTTTTTTATAAATTTCTCATATGTTTCCACATTACATATTAAATACCTTCTACGAGCTTAGAACATAAGTGCGTTCCATGAACCCAGAAAATTCTTACTTACTTTTCAGGAGATGTGAACGTTACAACGTACCTTCCAAGAGATGAGAATTTGAGTTCCAGATATTTACTTGTTGACCTTTTTGCTCTGAGGTGGTCATTATGGAATTGTTCTGAATCATATCGTAGTTCTTCGTAATGTCGTATATAATCATTTAAAATCCGATGTTCTGTTGTAAAAAAAATTATCTCTTTAAAATGAATCAACAATGCAAGATGATGACTTATTCGATGGATGCATTAAAAAATTTTGTAAGATAATTATATATTCTATGGATGCATTTTATCAGAATCCATGTTATTTATTCTATGGAGAATTATATATGGATGTACTATATTTATTCTATGGATGTATTATACAGGCACGTATAGTATCGATATCGTTTTCGAAAATGGGGGTGGGGGTGGGCAGCTAGACAAAAAATATCTTACCTGAATAAAACAAAACAGACAAGGGAAAAAAATCCTATTCTGGGGGCGTGGATAGGTTCCCACTTTTTTCATGACCAAATACCATGTTACCCTGATTTAACTACATCAAAAACTGGGGGCAGGGGGGGGGGGGCAACCAGTCTTTTAATGTTTATTTATGAACAGAATAAATAAAGTATATCTTGATATAACAAACATGTAGTATCAGGGAGAGCCCCCTCCCCCGACTTTTTTCCAAACATTATTTTTACTATTGAGACTACTGATACTACCTGCCTGTTATATCAGGAGGTACTTTATTATTTATTCTGTTAATATAATATATAACGATGTACGTTATTTATTATATGGATGTATTCTATGAGGCTATAAGTTACTTATTCTATAGATGTATTCGTTACATGTATATATGGATAAAAGTTATTTATTCTATGTATATAGATGTAATTTATTTTACTATGTTTGTACAGTGTTTTATATATAGATGTAAGTTATTTATTGTATGTATGTATTAAATATAGATGTAAGTTATTTATTGTGTGTATGTATTAAATATAGATGTAAGTTATTTATTGTATGTATGTATTATATATAGATATAAATTAATTATACTATGTATGGTTATATATAGATGCAAGTTTTTTATTCTATATATGTATGTATTATATTTACATTGCACATCTTTATAAAGTAAATTTTACTAAAACTTTACTATCGGTAAATTATTTTAATTTTTATTTCCATATCTTCTATATTATTTCTATATTTTTGACTGATTATGATAAATAAGTTTAAGAAAACTGATATTTGACTTAGTTACATAGACATCATACAAAAGTTTCATTACCTTTTACTGGAAATATAAAATATTATATATATAATGACTCTTTATATAAGGCTTACTTGTGTAAATTTAAGAAAGCAAATGTTTAAATAAGAAGGCATTTCTTTACACAAATCAGGACAGGTTTGCTGAATGTATTAGTATGTGCAATATTTGATTTGATTGGCTCTTGCAAAATCCTCCATTTATATTAGGATATTTAAATGCCCTAAACGTACACGAAATAAGATTCTCGATTCACGTTAAGTCAATGTTGTTTTTTTCACCAATGAATGTAAATACATGCATTTTAAGATATACTTGAAGTTTTGATATGAGTCCCTTTTTAATGTCCTAACAGTAAGATATAATCACAAAAACTTCAAACTTGATTTTGTAGTAGACGTATAAGGCCCTTTTTCCAATGTTTGTAAAACCTTTTTTAAATGTAATTGTTCCTTTTCTATCCTTGCGATTTTATTCAATTACGTCAGGCTTGATAAAAGTGATTTTAGATTACGTAACAGGATCGTTTCTATATTACATACTGCTTAACAACAGTTTGATAAACAAAAAAAATCATTTAAAAAAATTGCTGTAAAAATTCATACTGTAATATAAACAAATTATGAACCAGGATCATGTACATAACTATATTTTTTTAGAAAATGTCTTTTGAATTGATTCTTAGTTAAATGCAGCAATTTGAATTTGAAGATAAATTTAACTTAAATTGTTTTTTTTACTAACCAGCATTTGTAATATGGATAAGAATCACAGCTGACAAAATACCGAGTCTCATGACTATTCCGGGGACAATAACATCCTGTATAATAATGGCGCTAGAGGACTTCCGGGATCTGATAACGGGGGAGAGAGCGAACGATAACAGATAACACAGCATGTAAGGATAGGTGACAATGATTTATACAGGTGAGATAAGTAAATACAGGTAAAAATAGAGCTCAATGCCTGACAACCCAAGACTGTAGATTCTTAATCAATATATTTGTGGTATCATCGAAAATATTTACATGACTTTTAAACGATTATTTTTTTAGATTCTGAGCCAAGGAAATATCATCATGTTGAATATACATTTTTTTAATAACAAAAAAATTAAAATCTGGATTTAAATTTAAAGTTGTGAAATGTAATAAATATATAATGAAAAAAAGCAAAAAGAACGCTAAATCTGTGGAACGAAATGCAAACATTAAGAACAAAATAATGCTCAAATGTTTCTTATATTTCTGAAAAAATAAATAAATAAATAAATCTCACGAAATGAAATCTACCATCAATAAACTTGATTATACTTAATTAGATGAAATAGAGAATTTTAGGTTCTAATAGGATCAAAACAATACGAGCGCTCGAGCAGAATTAACACTGTTCACAGACAATCGTAAAGAGTAAACTACAAATATCTGAATATTTTATCTAATGATTTTCAAAAATGAATACAGTAAGGTAAAACTTAATTTAAAAACTTCAGAGATTTGATAAAATTGTTGAATGTTATCTTTTAACTTTTGAAAGTAACACATAACTGTTTAACCCCCACCCCCAATCCCGCCAATGGCGTGGAAGTCCGCCATGCACAACATTTGCAGCTCGATTTCTACGATGCATTAAGTTAATCAATCTCTTGATCTGAGCTAAAGAAATATTCTTTGGCATTTTTAAGTGCCTGTTTTCAGATGCTGAGGTTGAATTCCTCAAATCTAGCGCAGTGTAGTAACCCTATATATAATGGGTTCCGCAACTTCATAAAAATTCTTACAAACAAAGATATATATGGCGGGTTCCAGTAAATGTTCTACCTAGCTTCTTTCTTTACTCCTCACTAAAATATTAACAGTAGTGAAGGAGAAACATAAGGAGTACTGTGCAACAATATATTCTAGAAGTGGTGTAAATCAGACGTGAATACTTAAAAATTCCAAGGAACTTTTGGAAAATTTGAAATCACAAAATTTTACCAAAATCAACAACATAAAAACTTATGTCTTTCCAACTTTATATACAACCATTCCCCACGATAAATTGAAGTCCAGCCTTTTTGATATCATTGACAGCTGCTTTTTCAATAAAAATGGAACTCGTAAATTTAATTACCTAGTCATTGGTCATTTGCAGAATTATCTTGTTAAAAACATTCTGAGTGTACACACAAGTACTCTAATGTTGATATTATACAAAAAAAAGATGCTTGAGTTTCTGATTGACAATATCTATGTGGTTTTCGGAGACCAGGTCTTTCAACAATCTATTGGAATTCCCATGGGTACCAATTGCGCCCCGTTATTAGCAGACCTATCTTTGTATTCATATGAAGCATAATTTGTTCAAAATCTTATACGTGGAAAGAAGAAAACACTTGCTGTGGCCTTAAACTCGACATTTAGATATATCGACGACGTATTGTCAATTAACAATGGTTATTTCCATTCTTATGTCGATACGATATACCCCAGTGAGCTTGAAATAAAAGATACTATAGAGTCTGAGACATCTGTTTCATATTTGGATATTTTACAAGAAAAAGACGTTAATGGTATTCTAACAACAAAGCTTTATGATAAACGTGATGACGTAAACTTTTCAGTCGTCAACTTCCCTTACTTCTGCAGCAATATACCTCCAACACCTGCATACGGGGTTTATATCTCTCAGTTGATTCGATACGCAAGAGCATACTCTACGTATAAACAATTTCTAAAACTAGGTATGTTATTGACAAACAAGTTGATGAAACACGAATATCAGCAGTATAGTTTAAACTCGTCATTTCATAAGTTCTATGGTCGATACAATGGCCTTGTCAGCAAATACAATTAATCATTATAAGTCAAATGCTGACTGACGTGCTTCATACTAATCGTTAGGCCATTATTTACACACTGACGGTCGACGGTTTTTACCGTTATTTCCCGATTATGACAAGGAGCACACAGCGGGTGTGACAGGTCGGCAAGGGATGCTCACTGCTCCATGGCACATCCTATCTCTGATGCTTTAGAGGTCCGTGTTTGCTCTGCTCCATAATTTGTATTATTTAATGGACTTCTGAGCTTGAATACTGTTAGTTATCTCCATATATTTCATTGGACATCCGGTCCACGGACTGCCATTCATGCTAATGATAAGTACGAGCCTGATGAGGCGCAATGCAGTGAATATTCCTTCACCTTTATTTTGAGAATTTCCAGCTAGAAGAATGTAAATGCATACTTTTTGAGGAAGCCTTGGCATCACGTCAAGAAAATTGAGAACTTTTTTCCAGAATTTTTCTGCATTACTTATGATGAACAGAAACAAACCCTTAAAAACCCATTTTTGCCAAATATTTTGTTAAACATCCAATTTTTGATTACTGTTAAGCGGGCTCAAACTTAACTTCCGGTAATGATATGAAAATCTTTCAACAACTTAATAATATTATAAACCTTATTAAGATGATAAGGAATTATATTTCAGTGAGACTAAATTCACTCGAATTTCCTCATCTTTTATCAGCCTGAAACAATTCGATTTCAGTGAGCAGCAGGTGTGCTCTCTCCCTCCTTAGACATCCTCATAAAATATCATTCAAAATTCTTCCTCATGATCACATTGCATAGTGAAATATACAATAAAGATCTATAATATGTATAAATTTATTGATGTAAAAATAAGACCAATGACTGACAGCAAAACTTCTGAAGATTTTACTGTTAAGTTAAGGACTTGCTTGTTCTTTTTGAATGAATTCAGACGATGTTACATATGTGTGCTGTATCAACTTTTCACCTTTTTGAATCTACGATATTTCTGTACTTCAGGAAATGATGTAGTCTTATGAACTACTTCAAACTGATTAAAATTCAGCATCAAACTCGTAAAAAATGTTATAAAAAAAGTTATAAAGAACACAGATTTCAACATAATATTCCCCCATTCAAAGATAAAGTGACAAAATAATCTTGAGTGAGATTCAACTTGTAAATCTATAGAATGAGAATGTTGGTGTTACGACAGAATATTTCTCTTGTTTTTTTTTCTTTGTATGAACCTCATTATGAAAATAAATACACATCTAAACCATAATAGCAAGCATCAGATTATGTGTCAGCTATTACAATGACTTATCTAAGAAAACATTTAAAATCTGAATTAAGATTCACATTTCATAAACTAATGGTCACCATGTTATAACAGTAGGAGTAAAAACAAATTTAAGGACATATGCACCAGAACAAATTGCATTTTAAAGGATACACATACATTAAACAAAACTAATAAAGTAATGAAGTAGTGAGGGTTTGTGGGGACTGAAATTTAAAGTCATTCACTGTAGGTAAAAAATACACAATTGTAATGATGATAAACAATAAATACAAATGATAACAAATGCTCTGCATATATACATAATAAATACATTGGTAATACATTAATAACTGACAGAACATGATAAACAATTGTGTCTTAGTATGAAAATGGCTCATGAATCTCTCAACAAGCGGTAGTTTTTGGACTTGGATGTCAATGAAAACAAAATTCTATTTCACTATAGACAAATGCAGCTTAATTTTGCTGAAATGGTTTTCTTTAAACGCTTTTTTTTAATTCTAGAATCATTATAATACAATTTTTTTGATGAAAAGCTGGAATATATTAACATAATTCATTATAACAACACAACTATCATGCTCTCTACAACCGAACTAGTCTACCGGTAACCATGGTAACAAAGACATTTGCGTAAAAAACATTATTATAAGGTAATGCAAAATTTTTTGAATACAATAATGTTTGTTTATAATAATGAAATATAAATGATTAAAGACTCACATTGTTACAGATATCATTTTTACCAGAAAAAAACAAAAACATTACATGAAAACTTACAATGTCAAAGTCTAAATTCTGTTATAATGCAAAACAGCAGATATGTTTTATAAATAAACAAAGTATATAAATGGTACTAGAACTGGTACTTGTGTTAAGTTTACAATGTTTGTAACATGATAATAAAATTACATATATTCAGTCAACATTATACAGTTTAGGAACATAAGAAATATTTATATTAAATAAAAGATAACTAGGTTTTCAGCCTACAAAAAAAGAAATGAGAACGAATACAGCATAATCAATGATAAACCATCAAATTAAGTAAAGCATGTCTTCAGTTTAATCATGATTTTTGAGCAGATCTGAGATGTTGTCCTTGTAAATAAGCGAGTTGTTCAATATTCCAGTTCTGCAACTACAGGGGACACCTAAAGATAAGGCTCTTAATGTTTTGTAGCATTTAAATGACAAATATCAGATCTAAGTAGCTTGTTTATAATCCTTTCACATCGTATCAATGTACAAATACTTTTATAAACTTTTATATTACATAAATATACATGACATACACATTAAATTAATTTCTGTAGAAGATACATACATGTACACATTGAGTAAATACATAAAAAATGGAATCAATCAATCAAAAAGTCAAGTATAGCTATGTATCAAATAAAAGAACATGACTAAATAAAACTTCACTTAATCTCACACTTTGTTCAAACCTTCCGCATTTCTAAATTATTGTATCTGCCTCCTTTGGCCCCTCCCCCTTTCCGATGCCCCTGTGGGGGGCCTCCATGAGCTGAGTATGGTGGTGGGGGTCCTGAAGGGCCCTAGAAAATTTTTTAAAAAAAATATTAATCAATAGGGGGATTTGCAAAGTGACAAAACTACGAAAGCAATGTCTTATACATTATATATGATAATATTTTAAGTGAAAGTACCTACATATGCTTTGTGTAATCTTAGACTCTACACATGAACAATAAAACATTGTGAACAAATCAAAATAAAATCACCCATATAATCAATTTGTGTGTAACGCCATACAGAAGACAAAAAACCAAAAAAAAATGATTGTATCAAACAAGATGTTGAAATGCCAGAACTATTATTTATTTTAAATTAACTCCCTCCTTTCTTGTATTTTTATAGAACTTAATAAAAAGTGAAGTTGACAAAATGATCAACTTTAGATTTAGAAATTTTAACTTATTCAGCAGGTATCTACTTGATATAATTTATGTCTTTTTCACTTTTTATTCATTATTGAAAGCAGATGAATGGAAAGTGTAAATCTTGGTTTTCCAGAAAAAGGATGCTGCCCCTTTAAAAAAAAAGGTAAAGTAAGCAAAGAAAGGTTCTACCAGGATCTAATTACATATATATATATATATATATATATATATATATATATATATATATATATATATATATAAGAAACCATCTGTAGATAAATACAACTCATGTAAAAAATGTTTTATTCTCTAAACCACTAAAACATGAAAGCAGTACTTCCATAAAATGATGTTCTGATAAAATGTAAATAATATATGGCACCAATTTTGATGCAATGCATACTAATGATGAAATAGTCATCCTACATTAATAATGAAATAATTCAGAGAAATATTCTATCAAATATTGTAATATTGTGTTAAATACAGAGAGGTGGTAATCAGATATTCCTGGTAGAACCTCAGTTTCCCGACCACCAGCATTGCTGTTACTAAGCACCCTATGTTATAATGCTGATTGCCTGTATTTACCAGTACCCTATATCTTGGAGGTTGTAGTTGGCCGCTTTTAAATAAATAATAAAAATAAACAATTACTATCAATTTTCTACCATATACTGACCAAAAAACAAATCTCAAGTCTGAGAAAAGGATTGAATTTTCAGTTCCGTATTTAAATGGAACTTAGGGAATTAATATTCCGTTAAACCTGGTCATGTTATATGATCAACCCCACACATTTTAATATGATATTTGCAACTGGATAAAATGTAGTACCTTATACTTTGTAGACTAGTTTTCATTTGTGTTTTGGATTTTTGAGGACATTGGAACATGTCAAAAGAGTCAACTGTGTCTTAGAAATGCTTTTAACAATCTACATACATAAGCTTTAAAAGACCATGTGAACAATGAAGCAACAGAATTTTACAGTATGTTTCATGAAAGACCAGGGTCTCTTTTCAAACATTTACAATCTTATGGTTATGATGGTCTAAGGAAAAATTCTTACTGGAGATGAATGAACTATTGACACTATATCTGTGAAAGTTTTCCCTGATCGATTGACAGAACAGAATGACAACTCAGATGTTAAATGATGTACATTTAACACAGGTTAAATGGTGTACATTTAACACAGGTTAAATGGTGTACATTTAACACAAACAACAAAGGAAGAAGCACTGATACAAAGTCTGAAGGGAAATGGGAAATAGTTAACAGTACAAGAGGAGGTGTCCAGTGTGTTAAGCGTGCTGAGCTGTGATCTGCTGAGCTGTGATGTATTTCAAAGCTTCTTCTGATTATCTCATGTTTATGACAATGTTATCTCACAGTGTATCAAAATGTTATCTCACAGTGTATCAAAATGTTATCTCACAGTGTATCAAAATAAATGCCAAAAATTAAGATTCTCTTTGATTGCTTTTTCAATCCTAATTTAACATGTTTATCAGTTAATCATTTAAAAATACTCAAATAAAACATCAATTTTTTTTTTCTTTTAGATGAGGTTTGTGGTGAAATGTAGTGCATGAGCAGCAAAGTATAATTAAATATCATTTTTAAAAGAGATAGTAATTCTAATTTTCAAATTATGCCTAAATTGTTTTTAGGACATCCAGTTACACAAACAAACTGTCCAATGTGAGTTTTTAACTTAGACATCAGTTGATCAGCTATAACAAGAAATCCTCAGTCTCTGCCATTCTAACAATCATTTCTACATGCTCCATTTATGTTTTCCATTAAGACAAATTAATAAGTATGTATTTAAACATTCTCCTTTATAGAACTTATCACAAAACCAAAAAAAATCACCAAGAAATCAATATTCAAGTACAATATAAGAGCAGAGCAGTTTTTTCAATTATGTAGATGAATTCCGCTGCCAAAAACGACTAGCGTCATAATCAGGGAATGCAAGGATTTAAAACAAAGACAAATGACGCATCCATAATCAACACTGCTGACTGACATCACAATTTAGTGACGCCATGAATATGTATATGTTTGGCTTTAATTCTACTTGAAATAAGCTTAAACTCTAATTGAATTAAGCTTCAACTCTACACAAAATAAGCCTTACTAGTACAGATATATTAATATGTAGCATAGTGTCTCTGTTTAAAATTCAAGTGCAGAGAAAAATGATTTCAGGAGAAAAACTGGTCAGAGATAATCTTACTGAAAATTTTATCTTTGTCAAGTAGGAATAAATTCCACTTAATAAAATTTACATGTATGCTTAAATTATTAAAAGCAGTTTGCCTTAAATAGGAAAAAAACATAGAAAGCATTAATCTTTTACACTTAGAGGATAACTGAAAGACAAAGTACTAAAAGGATTGACACAAAATAAATAACATTGGACATAGAGGGTCCCCTTGTGAAGTGACAGAATTCAGTGGTTAAGTCTCTGTTTAAAGAAACAACAACACAGGACCCAACAGAACCGGGTTAATCTGAGCTTACAAAGATTCTACATCTCTACATGTGTTACACGTTGAATACACATGGATGCATTACACATTTCTACCTTAATTAGGATAGACATGTATGGCGTCACTACTTGTGGTTATTGTGGGATTATCAACACATAATTTGCCTTTGTTTTTATACTTACACTTAATAAATATCCATGTGCCTCTGGATTCTAAAAGACATTAACAAGCTTTCATCTCTGCTGATATAATGATTTTTACAGTGCGGCCACATTAGTTTTACATCCATTTCCCCTGTGTTTCAATTACACGTACAACCCAAAATAACCAAGGTTAAAGAAAAACTATTTTAAATGCAAAATACCTCACTTAAATTGCTTTTTGATTGCTTGTTTTATATTTTTTGTTTATAAGTCAAACCTGAAAATATGTTATACTGATTTAATGATGTATTAAAAGAAAAGTATGAATTAAATTAATACAGTAAAACTCATTTAGTACGAATAAGGATCTTGCATATTTAGGGATATATATGTATATATATATATAGCAAAGTTTTTTGAGATCCCGGCAAAAGTTTTAACCCATTGCTCATAAAATTTCATGCTTATAATTAACATTGATATAACAAATTTATGGATATAGCTAACAACTTTTGCTTTATGTTGAGGTTAAAAATAACAAAATTTATGTTTTGCGACAAACTTATAAAAATCTCAAATTTTATAATATTGAACTGACTTTATTTTTTGTAAGTATCATTATCTATTTAAAATATAATTCAACAGAAAATTTTAGTGCTTTTAGGTAAGTTTTTTAATTAAAATTTCACTAAGCATAAATTGTAGTCATAGTTGAAGGAAAACAGGTAAAATGCAAATTTGCTACATAAACTTAAATGATTTAATGCATTACAAATATAGCAAATTCACAGATCCCCCAGATTTTGTCATAAACGAGTTTTACTATACTGTATCTACATCCAGATGAACAAAACATTCACTCTTAGTTCCATCCCCCAAGGAAAAAGGTCACTCTTTCTTATCATTCAATGGAACTCATTTTTGGATGCAAGAATTTTACTGTCTTACATTATGAACTAATTATTACCAAGCTCATTTAAATTTTACAGTAAATTTCCAGCATAACCAAACAGTAATGTTAGTAACATCAAACACAGACAGCTGTTCAAATAACAACAGGAACACAAACACCTTCCCTAGTTTTACACCCCCATTGCTTACCTGGGCTCTATACTGTTGATCTGGTTGTCGCCGTCTCCGGCGGAGCGTGTCGGTCAGTTTTACAGCTGGTTTTGCGTTAGGATTGGAGCTTGGTGTATGTATGGCACAGAATTTAATGAAAAGACCCATGAACAAAATAAGACCAATGGCCATCAACATCACAGCCCACCAGTATTCCTGTAAATATTTCCATAACTCTATTAGTATTCCTGAAAATAGTGTCAATATTCCTATTATTCGAACAGAAATAGGATTGCGTTTAATAAAAATCAGTTCTGTCAACATTACAGCACTAGATATCAGTCTGTGCTTAATATCACTCAGGTCTTGATGTTGGTCAACTTCTCTTCACTATAATACATGTATCACTCTGTACATTAATTATACAGTGTTGGACTGACTACAGGTACATCTGTACTTACAATTATCCAGTTTTTGATATTGGTGAGTGTCTCTTCACTAAATATAAGATTTTTTAGCCTTTGTAGTGGCCCCTCATTGTCAACCCCTCGACAACGAGAAAATACATCACAGTAGCCCTGGTAATTATTACAGGGGGAACCTGAAACAGAAATAACAAGGATGCTGTAAAATATTTAAACAATGCTTTGTACTGCAACAATTATTACATGAACTCAATAACTCTTTCTCAGAGACAATTTATTTAATTTCTAGAGTCTTTTGGCTGCCCCTGTATGTGATGTAGTGTGTAATATTCCACACTAACTTCTCCCTGTATGTGATGTAGTGTGTAATATTCCACACTAACTTCTCCCTGTATGTGATGTATTGTGTTATATTCCACACTAACTTCTCCCTGCATGTGATGTAGTGTGTAATATTCCACACTAACTTCTCCCTGCATGTGATGTAGTGTGTAACATTCCACACTAACTTCTCCCTGTATGTGATGTAGTGTGTAATATTCCACACTAACTTCTCCCTGTATGTGATGTAGTGTGTAATATTCCACACTAACTTCTCCCTGTATGTGATGTATTGTGTAATATTCCACACTAACTTCTCCCTGTATATGTATTGTGTAATATTCCACACTAACTTCTCCCTGTATGTGATGTATAGAGTAACAACAAGTTAACTGCCCCTGTTTGTACTGTGTAAAGACCACAGTTACCTGCCCTTGTTTGTTATGTATAAAGACCTGAGTTACCTTCCCTTATTTGTAATGTATTAAGACCACAGTTATATGTCCTTTTCGTATTGTATTAAGACCACATCTACCTTCCCCTATTGATAATATTGAGTACATAGTTACTTGTCCTTGTCTATAATGTATTAAGACCACAGTTACCTGCCCCTGTTCATAATGTATAAAGACCTGAGTTACCTTCCCTTATTTGTAATGTATGAAGACCACAGTTATATGCCCTTTTCATATTGTATTAAGACCACATCTACCTGCCCCTGTTTGTAATATATTAAGTACATAGTTACCTGCCCTTTTTGTAATGTATTAAGACCACAATTACCTTCCCCTTTTTGTAATGTATTTAGACCACAGTTACCTGACCCAGTTCGTAATGTATAAAGTAAGATCCTATTTACCTGCTGGTAGTTTCACTCCTCCGGATGACCCTTTTTTACTGTTCACTTCATCCAACAGAGCCTTAAATTCTGGAGCTGGATCTAAATTCTGATTGGATGCAAAACAAGTTGATGCTGATGTGGTATTTGTTTTTCCTGCAAAATATAATAGCAGTAACTTATAAATTGACCAAAAAATTGTCACAACTAGGAACAACAGGCAGACAGGCCTTGATGGTCAGGTGTCTTGACTTTGATCAACTCAGCCCCACCAGGGACTAGAACTAGACCCCTGAGAAATCAGTTTTTAACTGAAATCAAATATTTTGGTTCATCAACATGTAATTAGTTTCAATGTCACTCCCATGCTTAAGAGTAAAGAAAACCTGATTAAAAATATAAGGAATTTTTAAGATATGGTAAGAGTTGTCATAAATTCTTCTTTGTGTAAAAAAAATATACTTGATTGTCCAGTATTGATTTATATAGTTCCAGTAAATACCAGACACCAAAGATAATTCCAGACTAGTGAACGGTGTGAACTTATTTCAAAGCAAGAAAATCATAAAAAATTAAGGATTAATCCAGAGAGTAGGCAGGTCTGCTGTAATTAGTGAGAACATGTAATATTCAGAACAGTTTCTGTCTTGATTAACTTATAACAACCTACTGGTAGATAACATTGTGTAACTTACTATAATCTAGGTAACAGAGTTACTTACTACAAGCTAGGTAACAGAGTTCCTCTTTCTGTGTTACAGTCAGGTCCCCCTCCTTTGTAATGAAGCATTCCTCCCACTCTCTTGTTTTTCCATTTGTACTGTTAATTCTTAGACATAGGGACCCAGAACAAAACTGGAAAAGAAATATTTCTTACGAAAGACATTGAAAAGCTAATTTTATTTACAGATCCTGTAATAAGAAACCTTGAACTTTTATAAAAGCTATTATTTGAAATCACAAGATAAATGTTTGAACAGAAACAAACTGGTAGGAAATGACATCTGGCATACATCAACACAATTCTTAGAAAGACTATTTATAGTTACTTACCCCTTGAACACACACTTGTGAGAAGTCATTACACAGAGTGAGTTCTGGCTCCCTCACAGACTCTGGACATGTTGCATTAGTCCCAGTGATTAAGAGTTAAGGTAAATATAATCTCTAATATAGGTTACTAAGTGAATGTAGTAAGTATTGCACTTATGTAATTTTGACGTAATAATATACAGAGAGCATTTTTTGTAGTTGGATATAGATTTCCATAAGTGGGACAGGATTTTGGGTTATTTTCATGAATGAAAATATTAAAAATCATGTCTCACAAGTGATATAAATTCCATATTCAACTAAAAAATATTAAATTTCCTTAAAACATTTTCTGTATAATACAGTGTCATTGGCTGTGAGATTAAAGTTGATTGGTTGAGACACCATAGGTAGATTGAAAATTGTAAAATGGAATACAACAACAATTTGGAGAACTTTGGCAGTTTTAGTCTAAGTCAGTATGGTTATGGTTTATTTATTCTCTCTATTTTATAATAAGCAATGGAGTATTACTTTTTTTACAAAGCTGTTTGTAAAGGGAAGGAAAATCTCAAGTTTTATGATTTTTTTTCTTCATACTATGAAAAAATTTCACTTTCATTCAATGGATAAATTACAATATTTCACTGTTGAAAATGTCATTAAAAGGTTAAACCCAGTTTTGTATCGTTTGAAGCATTAGAATAAATTCGATAATTCATTTCCGGACATTTAAAAAGGAATCAGATCAGAATTCTCCATCCACATACATGTAATTGATTATATTTCACAATCTAAGTCAATGATTCACACTTCTGTATATAGTACATAACTAGCTGTACTTTGTTTCCTACAGAAGTCATTTAATACTGTACATTTCTTTTACAAAAAAAAATACCACTGTTCATTTTTTGAAGGTGGATATTTGTAAAAAGGATATTCGCATTGTTGAGCCCTCATACAATCTGTCTTGGCTCGACACTCCCCTCCAGATGTAAAGGCGCACTCAGAACTACAACAAGGACCCTGTGATGGACTACAATTAAACAGAAAGTAGACTACAATTAAACAGAAAGTAGATATATACAATAAGGACCCTGTGATGGACTAAAAATAAACAGAAAGTAGACTACAATTAAACAGAAAGTAGAACTACAATTAAACAGAAAGTAGAACTACAATCAAACAGAAAGTAGACTACAATTAAACAGAAAGTAGATATATACAACAAGGACTCTGTGATGGACTACAATTAAACAGAAAGTAGATAAATACAACAAGGACCCTGTGATGGACTACAATTAAACAGAAAGTAGATATATACAACAAGGACTCTGTGATGGACTACAATTAAACAGAAAGTAGAACTACAATTAAACAGAAAGTAGAACTACAATTAAACAGAAAGTAGACTACAATTAAACAGAAAGTAGATATACACAACAAGGACTCTGTGATGGAATACAATTAAACAGAAAGTAGATAAATACAACAAGGACCCTGTGATGGACTACAATTAAACAGAAAGTAGATATATACAACAAGGACTCTGTGATGAACTACAATTAAACAGAAAGTAGATATATACAACAAGGACTCTGTGATGGAAGTAGATATATACAATAAGGACTCTGTGATGGAAGTAGATATATACAATAAGGACCCTGTGATGGACTACAATTAAACAGAAAGTAGATATATACAACAAGGACTCTGTGATGGACTACAATTAAACAGAAAGTAGAACTACAATTAAACAGAAAGTAGAACTACAATTAAACAGAAAGTAGATAAATACAACAAGGACCCTGTGATGGACTACAATTAAACAGAAAGTAGATATATACAACAAGGACTCTGTGATGGACTACAATTAAACAGAAAGTAGAACTACAATTAAACAGAAAGTAGAACTACAATTAAACAGAAAGTAGACTACAATTAAACAGAAAGTAGATATATACAACAAGGACTCTGTGATGGAATACAATTAAACAGAAAGTAGATAAATACAACAAGGACCCTGTGATGGACTACAATTAAACAGAAAGTAGATATATACAACAAGGACTCTGTGATGGACTACAATTAAACAGAAAGTAGAACTACAATTAAACAGAAAGTAGAACTACAATTAAACAGAAAGTAGATAAATACAACAAGGACCCTGTGATGGACTACAATTAAACAGAAAGTAGATATATACAACAAGGACTCTGTGATGGACTACAATTAAACAGAAAGTAGAACTACAATTAAACAGAAAGTAGAACTACAATTAAACAGAAAGTAGACTACAATTAAACAGAAAGTAGATATATACAACAAGGACTCTGTGATGGAATACAATTAAACAGAAAGTAGATAAATACAACAAGGACCCTGTGATGGACTACAATTAAACAGAAAGTAGATATATACAACAAGGACTCTGTGATGAACTACAATTAAACAGAAAGTAGAACTATAATTAAACAGAAAGTAGAACTACAATTAAACAGAAAGTAGATAAATACAACAAGGTCTCTGTGATGGACTACAATTAAATAAAAAGTAGATAAATACAACAAGGACCCTGTGATGTACTACAATTAAACAGAAAGTAGATATATACAACAAGGACTCTGTGATGGAAGTAGATATATACAATAAGGACTCTGTGATGGAAGTAGATATATACAATAAGGACCCTGTGATGGACTACAATTAAACAGAAAGTAGATATACAATAAGGACTCTCTGATGGACTACAATTAAACAGAAAGTAGATATATACAATAAGGACTCTGTAATGGACTACAATTAAACAGAAAGTAGATATATACAATAAGGACTCTGTGATGGACTACAATTAGACAGAAACTAGATATATACAATAAGGACTCTGTGATGGAAGTAGATATATACAATAAGGACCCTGTGATGGAATACAATTAAACAGAAAGTAGATATATACAACAAGGACTCTCTGATGGACTACAATTAAACAGAAACTAGATATATACAATAAGGACTCTGTGATGGACTACAATTAAACAGAAACTAGATATATACAACAAGGACTCTGTGATGGACTACAATTAAACAGAAAGTAGATATATACAACAAGGTCTCTGTGATGGACTACAATTAAACAGAAAGTAGATATATACAATAAGGACTCTATGATGGACTACAATTAGACAGAAAGTAGATATATACAATAAGGACACTGTGATGGACTACAATTAAACAGAAAGTAGATATACACAACAAGGACCCTGTAATGGACTACAATTTAAACAGAATTCTATGATCACTTTGGTAAGTGAGACAAACTATTTACTTACTACTCATATCATGCATACAAAGAATGACTTAATCAGTTGATTATGAAAACTTTTGATCTTGTCTTGATTGTTATGGTAGTTACTGCTCGGTTGGTCTTGAGGGTACATGTGTATGTGTGTTAGTATTTAACCTGACCTGTAGGCATATTTCCCAATGATGCCAGGTTTGATTTTGAGGGTATATGGGTGCGTGTATCTATATGCATGTATAAGTATGGTATATTACCTGCAGACGTATTTCCGATTGTTGTTGGGGTTGATTTTGAGGGTACATGTGTGTATGTATTAGTGTGGTATGTTACCTGCAGACATATTTCTGATTGTTGTTGGGGTTGATTTTGAGGGTACATGCGTCAGCGTTGGAGTTTCCTGTCCGTCGTGGATTACAGCATTTATCTGTACAGTCTGTATCATACCCACAATCACACTCCTCCCCCTCCTCAACGATTCCATTACCACAGAACGCCATGTTGGACTCTGTAATATATAACACTGATATAACACAGAATGCCATGTTGGACTCTGTAATATATAACACTGATATAACACAGAACGCCATGTTGGACTCTGTAATATATAACACTGATATAACACAGAATGCCATGTTGGACTCTGTAATATATAACACTGATATAACCACAGAACGCCATGTTGGACTCTGTAATATATAACACTGATATAACACAGAATGCCATGTTGGACTCAGTAATATATAACACTAATATAACACAGAATGCCATGTTGGACTCTGTAATATATAACACTGATATAACCACAGAACACCATGTTGGACTCTGTAATATATAACACTGATATAACACAGAAGGCCATGTTGGACTCTGTAATATATAACACTGATATAACCACAGAAGGCCATGTTGGACTCTGTAATATATAACACTGATATAACACAGAAGGCCATGTTGGACTCTGTAATATATAACACTGATATAACACAGAACGCCATGTTGGACTCTGTAATATATAACACTGATATAACACAGAACGCCATGTTGGACTCTGTAATATATAACACTGATATAACACAGAACGCCATGTTGGACTCTGTAATATATAACACTGATATAACACAGAACGCCATGTTGGACTCTGTAATATATAACACTGATATAACCACAGAACGCCATGTTGGACTCTGTAATATATAACACTGATATAACACAGAACGCCATGTTGGACTCTGTAATATATAACACTGATATAACACAGAACGCCATGTTGGACTCTGTAATATATAACACTAATATAACACAGAATGCCATGTTGGACTCTGTAATATATAACACTGATATAACCACAGAAGGCCATGTTGGACTCTGTAATATATAACACTGATATAACACAGAACGCCATGTTGGACTCTGTAATATATAACACGCAATGAGAGAAATTGTTTGTGTAGTACAGAACCACTTTTATGTATTACATTTGTGCAGCTCTGGGTGATGCACCCAATATTTTGGTACTTGTATATCAAAAACTAACCATTTTTAATTACATGTACATTTATGTCAATAATTAACATTTTTTGTTCACATGAATATGTCAACAATTAATTTTTTGTACTTTCATGAAAAAAATATTGACCATCTTGGTACTCATGTACTTACGTGTAAAGCAGTTGACCTTGCCACTTCTCTGGTTCATGACAGCATCAAGGACATAGGTGATGTTGTCACGGCTACACGGGGAGAAGTCGTCGTTATTGCCAAGGTTTCCTTGTGTGGCGCTTGCAAACATGATGTAATTTCCCTGACTAGACGTGGGCTGGGATGTGCCATAAGGGGCACAATACTGACCATCATCGTGCTGATGAAATAAAAACAAAAACATCAATGTATGGGGTTCAATATTCACTGTCATCATGCTGATGGAGGAAAATAAAAGTCATCAACGTACAGGGTGCAATAAATGTCATCAATGTACCAGGTGCAATACACACTGTCTTCATGCTGGTAAAATTAAAAGCTGTGATACAGAGTTACAAGCTTGTTTTTGTTACGTTGTACTTACTGGGGACCCAAAGTTATGTCCCACTTCATGAGCGAAGATTGAGCTGTGACACAGAGCTATACATTTGTTGAAGTTTTGTCATACTTACTGAATACTGTAAACCAACTATTATTATGTTCCCCAAACGGAGTTTGGGAACATATTGTTTTTACTCTGTTTCTTCTTCTTATTATTATTATTATTATTATTCTTTTTTCTTCTTATTTCTTCTCCGGTACTTTTTTGTCCGCGAGTGTTCTCGGAAACTGCTCATCCAATTGAGTTAAAACCTTTTTAGGGTTAATAGGCATTTTATGTAGATTTGCGGAACAAAGGTCATTTTGCGCGCACGTGCGTGCACGTGCGTGCGCATGCAATGGGTAAAATGATCAATATACTTGATATAGCTGTAATTTTTATATTTTTTGGTGAAATGCTTTGATACTCAGAATATAAGGATATATTAAAAGTGTGAACAAGATGACATGGTCAACATGCACATGCATGCGCGTGTGCGCACGCGCAAAGCGTAAAATGACAAATTTACTTGATAATATCGTAACCTTTATACTTTTTGATGAAATGCTTTGATACTCAAAATGTTTATATATATAGAAAGAGTAGACAAGATGACATGGTCATCATGCACATGCATGCATATGCATGCACGTGCGCGCGCGTGCAATGTGTTAAATGACTAATATAATTAATATAGCCGTAATTTTAATATTTTTTTTATGAAAAGCTTTGATATTAAGAATACATAGATATATTAAAAGTGTAGACAAGATGATTTGGCCATCATACACATGCATGCACATGCGCGTGCGTGCAATGTGTTAAATGACCAATATACTTAATATAGCCGTATCTTTTATATTTTTTGATGAAAAGCTTTGATACTATGAATTAACAGACATATTATAAGTGTACACAAAATGGCATGGTCATTATGAACATGCATGCATGTGCGCGTGCGCGCAATGCTAAGATGACCAATATGCTTGATTTAGCCGGAACTTATATTTTTTGATGAAATGTTTTGATACTGAGAATATAAAGATGCACATATAGTATAGACGTGGGATGACATGGTCATCCTGCACATGCATGCACGTGCGAGCGCGTGAAATGCAAAAAATGACCAATATACTTCATTGCCTTATTTAATGAAGCTTACAGGAAAAAAGTCACCAAAAGGGAGTTGGGGAGCGTTTGGGGAACATCTGTAACGGTCCCCGTTACAATTATAACTAGTTCACATTGTTTTTTATTCGCGATTCATGAGTTTAAAATCAATCCACAATAATTAATTTCCACGACTCGGGAAACATTACCTAAAAATACAAAGCAAAATATATGGTTCGCAGTGATTTATATTCACAAGTAAATGTAGGTTGCAAAACTTGCGAATATTTCTCGCACTCGAATAAAAGTTGGTTTACAGTACCCAGTTATGTCCCACTTTGTGAGTGAAGGTGAGCTGTTACACAGAGCTATACGTTTATTGTTGTAGTAATACCTACATGTATGTTTGTTGTATTAATATATACTTACTGGAGAACCAAAGTTGTGTCCCACTTCATGAGTGAAGGTGAGCTGTGACACAGAGCTATACATTTGTTGTAGTAATGTAATACTTACTGGAGAACCAAAGTTATGTCCCACTTCATGAGTGAAGATGAGCTGTGACACAGAGCTATACATTTGGTGTAGTAATGTAATACTTACTGGAGAACCAAAGTTATGTCCCACTTCATGAGTGAAGGTGAGCTGTGACACAGAGCTATACATTTGTTGTTGTAATGTAATACTTACTGGAGAACCAAAGTTATGCCCCACTTCATGTGCGAAGGTTAGCTGTGATACCCGGGGAGCCACGCGTTTGTTGTAGTTGATGATGGTGACGATTCCAGTGTTCAGACTTTTCTGGATTTGCTGGTTCCCCTCCGTGTAAGATTTGTATTTCTCACATATGCCCCCTGCTGATGCTAAAAATACACATCATCAGGTTACTCAATTTCATTGAAATGATAAATTTGATAAAAACTGTACATCAATTAAGTAAGTGTTTCAAGTTAAGTAAACAATGAAATATGGTGTAAATCAAGACTTGCACTTCAGTAAAACCGAAAACCAACTATTATTCGCGCCAACTTTTATTCGCAATTCATTAGTTTGAAATCAATCTGCGACGATTAATTTTCACGACTAAGGAAAAATTCTCTACAAATACAAAGCAAAATAAATGGTTCGCGGCGATTAAAATTCACGAGATAAAGTAGGTTGCAAAAATATTTTCACACGCAAATAAAAGTTGGTTTACGGTACTTTAGGGTAACATCCTCATTGCACACTTCAATATTACTTTTAGGCCAACATTTTTTTATTAAATGATTTAAGGGAATTTTTTTTTAAAAATTGGGTGGGGGGGGGGGGGATAAATAAAAATAAAAATAAAATTCCATATTTTACGCAGTCGACTAAAAAAATAAAAATAAAATTGGAAAAGGTGTTTGATTTTTTTATTTTCAATTACTCGATAAAAATTGCCATTTATACGGCGTGGAGCTTAAAATATGATAACTGCAACACAATAATTGTAGTAGACTTTTAAACCCTTGTTAGAAATGGGGGAAATCTGAGGAATTTCTTATCAAAATATTCATCATGACCACAACAAGATGACCAAAGAAAAAAAAGTTTACAAAGAGAACCTCACTACGCTCAAAGTACTGAAAAAAATCATGAACCAACAAATCAAAAATGGAAAATATAGTTTTATAAAGAGAATCTCAATAAGTATAAAACTCAGAATCATGATTTAAACCTGTATTATACAAAACAGCATATGTTTATGCATATTAAAAACTTCTGAAAGCTTGAAAGTATTAACAAATTAAATACCGTTTCGTTTGCAGTGTCTGTTTATATCTATTCTAAAACTATTTAACACAACACGAATTCCCAGTCTGTACAGTGCTGCAAATGATCTTTTTAAAATGTTAGACCTACAAGTTTGAAAACGTTTCTTGCATCAGGGACCTATATATACTAGTAGTAGTATATAGGTCCCTGCTTGCATATACATGCAAGTTAGATACATCACATTTTATTCTTCACAAAATTCAAACGTCTATTTTCGATTTCCATTCTTTTACCACGTTCATCAAAGGTATCAAAATTGTAACAGTGAACTACTGTATCCGGTACCCACAGCGATAGTGACAGTTCTGTCATCATATCCTCTACCGAGTAAACTTATGCTGATCATTTCTTTAATTTCTTTTTAACTCCAACTTAACTTCTTCAACGGACATACTCTAATTTATTTTCCTGTTAGCTATGGTTGACTTGGAAAAACTATCGTGTATAAGGACAAAGTATTCTCAACTTTTGGAAAACTTGACATTTCTGCATCCATGTTGGCACGTTTTATACACTTCCGAAACAGTTGATAACAAACGTAAATTGATTGGATGATAACAATGGCTTTCAATAAAGCAGCCAATCAGAATTACCGACTTATTTGCATATTATTTTATTTTCTTAGTGCACTTGCATTGACGATCAGCGGGAAATTCAAAAATAAAAGCAACAACAGGGACTTTTAGTTTTATTTAGTTTTAGCTAAAATTGCAGTCGGCGCTCCCGTAAATCATTTTATTAAAAAAGTTGGCCTTAGATTAAAAATGGGGAGAGGCTACTCGACACCAGAACAAAGAACACATTTTTCTGTTACGTCCTGTGGATTTTCACTCAATCCAACAGACTCTTTTTCTTGTAATTTTTTTGGAATTATTTTTTATGAATTGTTTTGAATTCACAACTAGCAATTCTTATGTTTCGTCACAAACAATAACAGTTTAAGGATATGGCTAAAGGTTTTAGGAAATAAATTTGAAAATGGGTTACTTGATTGACTATTTAAGAGATATATTCCAAAATTTTATGGGTTACTTCATTGATCATTTATAAGATAAGAATTTATGAATATTCCAAATTTTTATGCTTTATTTGATTGATTATTCATAAGGTATACATTTCCTACATAGTTTACTTGATTGATTATTCATAAGGTATACATTTCCTACATAGTTTACTCAATTGATTATTCATAAGGTATACATTTCCTACATAGTTTACTCGATTGATTATTCATAAGGTATACATTTTCTATGTAGTTTACTCGATTGATTATTCCTAAGGTATACATTTCCTACATAGTTTACTTGATTGATTATTCATAAGGTATACATTTCCTACACAGTTTAATCGATTGATTATTCATAAGGTATACATTTCCTACATAGTTTACTCAATTGATTATTCATAAGGCATACGTTTCCTACGTAGTTTACTTGATTGATTATTCATAAGGTATACATTTCCTACGTAGTTTACTTGATTTGATATACAATGCACAAGTTACTGGATACACATTAAAAAATTACAATCACCTTTCGAGTAATTTCCTCAAATCTATGTATTTATAGGGTTTTAACTTTATAATACACTTGTATTGACAACAAAATTAATCAAGATGCTATCTCGAGTTTTAATATAGAACATATTCATAATTACATATCATTGTTACCATAATTATAAATAAGCATGTACAATCTAAATTGTAAAAATTACAGATTGAATTTCTTGAATGTGTACAATACTTACCAGCTGAAATAGAAATCCAAATTTTTACTAATTTTTAATGGAATTAAAAACAAAAAAAAAAGGAAAAATCTTTACAAATCACACAGTTGCTAACCTATTTCCCTCCATGAGCAGAAAAATTAAAGAAAATGCAAATTTTTCGGCAATGAACATCCTTTCCAAGTTTGTAATTAAGAAAACCTACATCCTATAACCACTGGAGTTTATATATAAATATAAACTATATAGTATATATCTTACCTGAGGGGGACCCAACCCAGGCCAGGCCCAGTGTACCATGTGAAAAGTCCCGATACGTGAAGATATACGCCAGACAAAATGCGTCGTGATTGGTCAGGGAGTTCAGGTTCAGGAAGTTACTCACGTCAATGTTGGGTTGACAGAATGCTGTCTTCTCAAGAACATTTCCACACTTTTCTGTCTCATCTGTCATAATCTGTAACAAAAATCACACATCTTGTCTTAAAAACCTAAATATCAATGTACAGATGTTAAAGCTTAAAGGTGCTTAAACACAGATTTGAACTTAATATTTTCTCAAATTTTCTGTATATCACGACTTAGATATTGCAATAGCATTTCACAAGAAAATATAATTAAAAACTTATTTTATCTGGAAATTATTGGAAGTACGAATTCCGGGACGCGTTTGATTAACACATCTTTGCACTTACACAAATTTTAACTTTATCCTCGATATTTAAGAAAAGAAGCGATTTTGTTATGTAATAATGAAAAAATATTACATCTAAAATCCAGAAAATTCAGAGTAGAAATGTTCAAAAGCAAATCCAAATCACCAGTATTGTCAGTACGTGCTCTGTGATGTGTATAGAGTTTAAAAAATTGAACACACCCATGAAACATCAAGTGTTTTTGTAAACAGGGCACGAGCTCTGTTATTGTTAAGGTTTACGATTCACCAGGTGTGTTCAATTTTTAAACTCTGCACACTCCAATGAGCACGGACTTACAATACTGTGAGTGGGTTTTGCTTTCGAACATTTCTACTCTGAATTTTCTGGGTTATAGTTTTAATATTTTTCATTAATACACAAAAAAATTGCCACTTGAGAAAATATTAACTTCGAATCTGTGTCCAAGCACCTTTAACAATTCAATACTACTCCTTGTGAACAACATGTCTCATTATCTTTAACAAAAATAGCACGCCTCGTCTTAAAGATCCAAACATTAGTGCATGTATGGAATCCAATACTGGGAACCAACTTTTATTTGCGAGTGATAAATATCCATGAGTTCAACCATACTCATTGTGAATATTCTTTGCCATGAACCAATTTACGTTGAAAATTTCTCCTATCACAAAAATTAATAGTCACTAATAGTTTTCAAACTGACATAGGACAAATAAAAATTGTCGTTAATAATACTTAGTAGTTGTTTTAGGGTAACAATACACAAGTACTAAAATCAGCACAAAACTTTTTGAAATTAAACATAAATAAAATGCAAGATGAATGAATATTCTAGAGATTGGCTTGGGGTGTACTGTATATGCTCTTTAGATAAACTGACTTCTTTCCCTCTAGAGGAATTCAAATCATGAATGAGCAAATCTGTTTCAGTCAGAATACAAAATAAAACAGAAACAGTAGATAATTTATGAAACATACAAAATTTTAGAAAGAATCACAATACCAGTGTACAAGTGTTAAAGAGATGATGATCTTGCATTTCTGTGGCTTGTAGCAAAAACGAGAAAGGTAACAATAAGACTTGCAAACAAAGAGATGACATGTACTCACCGTGGTTCGCTGAATCTGGAACTGGACGCCCTGAAAACACGGTGACTGTCCATTGAGGGGGGAGAATTTTGTTCGACCATAAATATCATTGATAGCAGCAACATGACTGGCAAAGAAGGAGAGAATTTCATCTCTGGCTGCGATCTCATTCTGAAATTAAATTCTCACCATAGTCAAAACAACACTAACACCATCATAAAACACATGTAGGAATTTAGGCTGGACTGAGGACATCGACCTGGACAGCTCAGTGGTTAGAGCACCTGACTAGTAATACAGGGGTCCCGGGTTCGATTCCCGATCCAGCCACGTTTTTCATTAATTTATATATGTATTTATGAATTTTCAATGTATGTTTACTCATTCCTCCTTTCTTACATAATAGTCTTAAAGTTAAAATACCAAAATAAATACACCTATACATATTATATATAGCTGTCAGTGTTAAAAATTTAATCAGAGTGTAAACTCATAGTTTAGTGACAGACAAACTGACAATTTTAATGACAACATCATACAATAAGCTGTTTATAACATTATTTTATTTACACTTATACATTACCCTGGAAATTAATCCTGCTTTTTTATCTTAACTTACACCATTCAGGTCTGATTTGAATTTGTTGAACAGGATTGGGTCTGACCTCATATAGAGGATACAGGTGTTCTGGGACCCGATACTACAGCTGGCTGTGGCTCGACGCTGTCGGTTATTGTAAGAATTGCTCTCCGCAGAGTATTTATTGTGTCTGACGGATTCCTTATAACTAAAATAGGACTGAAGAAAAAAAGAAGGACAAATTATCTTCACTGAACCAGGCATTTCATCTTTTTCAATACAGCAAAAAATTATTTTAGTTACTTCTCCATGATGAACTGTCTAATCATGTGATGTAACTATTTATAGACTACTCACTCTTTTCTGTCATATGTTGACCTCCGCCTCTGTCCGACTATTTATAGACTATTCTATTTATAGACTATTCTATTTATAGACTATTCTATTTATATACTACTCACTCTTTTCTGTCGTATGTTGACCTCCGCCTCTGTCTGACTATTTATAGACTATTCTATTTATAGACTATTCTATTTATAGACTACTCACTCTTTTCTGTCGTATGTTGACCTCCGCCTCTGTCTGACTATTTATAGACTATTCTACTTATAGACTATTCTATTTATATACTACTCACTCTTTTCTGTCGTATGTTGACCTCCGCCTCTGTTTGGTGGACCATCCAGTCCCGATATTTATCAAACGCACACTGCGCTGCTTCAGAGTCGGCTTCACGTTTGTGTCTGTCAGAGAAAGTATGTCAATAATAAAGAAACATAAAACAAGGTGAACAGCCTTCTTATTCTTGTCTTTAGAGAATTTTTATGGAAATAAAGAAAAGATGCCTCAAAATAAACAGTATTATTATAATATTCTTATAATATTTGTACCTGCAATGAGGTAGCTCTCTCTCCAGTTTTTTTTTCTGATTTTACATTGGAGAGGGCTACATTACTGCAGCTAGAATCTCCATTTTTAATAACTATTTAAGAGAATCTGTCTTGGGTTTTTTTTTGGCATTACGAAGTACAGAGAAGCATGTTCATATGTAAATAAGAACGAATAAATATATCTGTTAATATAGAAGAGAATACTGTTTATCTTTATACATATTAATAACAGAGTGGTATGATAATTACCTATATGTGTACATCTTTATATATAACACAATGATATGATAATTACCTATATGTGTACATCTTTATATATAACAGAGTGGTATGATAATTACCTATATGTGTACATCTTTATATATAACACAGTGATATGATAATTACCTATATGTGTACATCTTTATATATAACAGAGTGGTATGATAATTACCTATATGTGTACATCTTTATATATAACACAGTGATATGATAATTACCTATATGGGTCTATATTAAGGTGTTCTTCTTTATATATAACAGAGTGGTATGGTAATTTTTGTGCCTCATTAAGGCCGTAAAATCTGTACGCCGGCTCAATGTGGTACAACGTGTCACCCAGAACATGAATCGTACCCCGGAAAATCCCCAGAATGACCGCTCCATGGACACTGCTCCCAGGCTCACCTGAAAAAAATAAAGGGGTGGAACCAAATATTTTACAAAATGCAGTGTAATAGAAAGTCATCTATAAGAAGAAAAGTAGTGTCAGCTCTTATAGGATTCATACATATTGTATACTTAAGCACTGGATGGTAGATGAATCTCATTGACAAGCACTTGATACAGATATCAACTGTAGCCTTAATTAACCAGAAGACTCTGGGGAGACTGTAGCTCAATGTACTAATAATATATGATCTTCCTTTGAATGGGGGCAAATCTCTGGCATTAATAATCAGGTATTGACTACAGCATTAAATTCGACCAAAAGTGTCACAACAAACAATCAATCAATCAATCAATAGACCAAAAGTCTATTGGGTCAGCGTACTTATATGGGTTTGTACTAATAAAAGATGCATATTGACAGGTAACAGTATGTGTTCCTTCTGGTTTGTTTATGGATTTAAAGACAAACAACCAGCTAGACTGACAGAAAATTAGAAGAAAGACACTTTACCATCACATATGTTCCTCCATCTTTCACCAGAAGAGCTAAAAACTTTTCATAAAAGGTTAAATTTTGAATTTTCTTAAAAGATTTTAATTGTTAATTTTTTTTTTTATCTAATGGTTTACAGTTAATATGACTTACCCCTAACTGACCCCTCGTATATTATAGATAGATCCACTGGATCCTCCGTCCCATTGTTGTGGGTGGATCTAAAGTTTTTGGTAAAAACAGAGGTGGACGGCTTCAAATCTAAATGGAAATCTCTGGAAAAAGAGTGAAAGAAAAATAAAGTCTGTAATTTAAGTACCGTATATACTCACCTATAAGTCAGTTTTTTGGGAGTTAAACTTTTGTCCAAAACTCTTTATCCGACTTATATGTGAGTTATAAAAAGACTGGTATTAAAGGGTCAATCCTTCTAATTTAAGCTTAAAAAAGAAAACCAACTTGAAGGTCTGGTGTGTTTTAATCTTTGATTGATTTAAATACATCCACAACATAAAGACATGATGATTGCAGACAAGTGCACTCACATTTATTAAATGCAATAATTAACTATAAAGAGGAAATAACATGTCAAGTTACCTATTGTGAGCTTTAAATTTCAGCTCCAACTTCTTGTTTTGTGTTGACCTTTTTGCCCTCAGATGTTTGTTGTGGAGATCCTGTGTATCGTAACTCAATTCCTCATAATGTTTAATGTAATCGTCTAGTGATCTCAATTCTACAAACATACATATATAAATAAATATGCAGTCTTTAATGTAATAATCTGACTATCTAAATTCTATAATCAAAAAGATATTTTTATGTTTAATTCAATCATCATGATCATCTATTAAATTGTAAAAACAAAAAAAACATCATGTCCAAATTTATAAACTCATAAAGACACAAGTTTTTAAACATATCAAATGAAAAGAAAATCTAAAATCTAAATGATTTCCTGAGAAAATGCAAATGAGACTCACAAACTGACTACACCCTAATTCTGTCTGTAAATTAAATGATCATAATCATGACAATCAACTAATACAATGACTACCCCCTTATCTGCATGTACATTAGATGATCATAATCGACTCACACTAACTACCCCCTAATTCTGTCTGTTAATTAAATTATTGATAATTGACTAACAAACTGACTACTCCCTCATCCTGCCTGTACTTTGAATGATCATAATCAACTAACAAACTGATTCCCCACTAATCTTGTCTTAATTTTGAATGATCCCCACCTATTGAGAGAATCCCAGTCTAGAGATCCTGGGATTCAAATCCTTGTCTGTTCTATAATATTTTCTCCTTTCCTGTTACATTTAGGAGTTTGTGATATATTTATCCTTTAAGCCATTTCAAGCCAAGCACTATATAACTAGACGAAAGAAAATATGACAGACCAGAACAGGGTTTGAACCTGAACCCCCTGAATTCTAGACAAGGGTCCTACTTATTGAGCTTTCTGGGTAATGGTGAACAAACCAGTGTCTTGTGATTACATACAAACAGCTGGCTTCAAATGGAAACAGTCCTAGTTGCAAAGAGCATTCATACCTTTCCTTACTACTATATAGTGTGTGAAATTAACAATAGATAAACGAAAACCTGCATCCTATCTGTATTTTAAAATTGTTTAGTCTTCAGGGTGAACACAGCCATTGAGTCAGTTATAGTTTCTTCCTAATATTTCTCATATGAGTCAGAGTTATGAAACAATTATTTTTATATCAATGTCAGTGTATGATGTACCTGGGCCTTATCTCATTTGTTTACAAACAATCAACCTATTCAAAGAGTGCTCTGCCCCCCCCCCCCCCCCCCCACTGGAAAAAAGGAGAGACAGGGAAATCAGACAATTGAGAGTGTGACTAAAATGGATAGCAAAACCCGGACCGGACTGGGAATTTCGAAACTGAAAACCGGGTTTTTGCCAATTACTCACATAATACTTAATTCTTCATCATGAAATTTACAGATGTAATTTAATACAACAAAATTTGTCTTTGCTGAGAGTTTTAACTCCAGATTTCATGTTTTTTAGTGATTATTAACGATTGACATTTTCCTGGTGACTAAAATGGGTAGTAAACCCGGTTTATTCATTTTTGTGATTTAAAGCAAATTGCACGCAGAAAATGGGATTCCTTAAGTTTGTGTCTTATAATTGTTTATTAACTTTAAGAACTTAAATATTACAACCATTGCAAAAATAAATATTGATAATTAAAATAATCGCCAATTTTTTAATATACCTGGGACATGACAAAACAGGACAAGTTTTCCCGGGGCAAACTGGAATATTCCGAAATATTGCCATCAGATAACCGAGTGCAGAGAAAAGAATGTAGAATTTATTATGATGTTAACCTGTACATAAGGCCAAATAAAAAAATATGCATGGTTCCGGTTTCCAGACCGTCCCTATTTTATACCCCTGACCCTAAACTTTTTTCGGCAATTTTCATATTTTTCCAGAATTTTATTTGTGTTTTTATTATTTTTGATTTAAAAAAAATGTTTGATATTTATAACTAGGGTGCCCCCTACCAATGTTGACTAATATATTATCACACCACATCTAAATGCCATTTGCAAAGCAGTGATAGAAAATCATTTTGTAAAAAAAAAAAAAATCCCTACCTACCTACCCTAATTTTTTTGGAGGTGTAACCAGAACCACACATCTTTTTTTGTTTGGCCTAAACAAAAAAAATATACAAATGGAAATAAAAATGAAAAATACACCCCAAAAAATCTTGATTTTTTTTTTCAAATACAAATACTTAATATGGTGTTGTTGATTATCTTTACGAATATTGACAAAATAAAGACTGTACACTGTACAGCTACATGTAGCTTGGTATTCAGTTATATGATCATGTGTTTAATTTAATTATTAATAAGATTGATGATTAACATATTACCAGTAAATTTGATAAAATCTGCGAAGTTGGCTAATTCACGGGTATTAAGTTGGAGTTATGGTTTTAAAAAAACATAATTCGGAAATGTGAGGTTTGTCCCAGGTAAACGTATCCGGTTTTGGTCAGTCCGGGTATTCAAAAAATGCATTTATTTTCAACAATCGGTATATATTTATAAAATGGTCATAATTTGTTGGTATTTTAAGTTAATTTTCATCGGTCCAACACACAAAACTGCAATTATTTCATCAATATTAAGTACAAAACACCAAAATATGTAACCAGGTTTACTACCCATTTTAGTCACTGGGATAATGATGATCGGTGATAATAATTGAAAAAAAGTAATATTTGGATTTGAAATTCTCAGCGAAGGTATATTGTGTTGTAATAAATTACATCTGTAAGTTTCATGACAAATAAACGAGTATTTACCAGTAATTGGCAAAAACCCGGTTTTCAGTTTCGAAATTCCCGGCCCTGCCCGGGTTTTGCAACCCATTTTAGTCACATTCCCCAATTGAACATTAAAAATGTCCAGGAGAAGTTAACTTTACTGTAATTCTTCAACATAATATGGTAATGGTATGTACTGTATTCATTCACCAATATAGGACAACCACAGTAAATATTTATACACAAGCTTTATAAAATTTATTGATAATTTATGAGCGTCCATATTCCTTAATATGTGCCATTTTCACAAAACATACAAACGATACCCGCCCGTCTGTGACGGCACACCCCGCCCGGCTATCAGCTGACAAAACACAGGTCACGAACTTACCCGCCAAACTAAGCGCCAGGTGGACAAAGACAAACACAAAACCCTGTAATATCCGCATTCTGTAGTTCACTCCCTGAGCGAAGGAAAAACAGCAGATTCTCCTCAAACTTAAACACGACTATTGACTACCTTCGCATCTCCTCTTCTTTCTACTAAAAACAAGGAAGTCACTTTCCCGCACATGCGCATTTGAGATGTACACAACAACATCGTGACGAAAGGAAGGTTCCGGTGTATAAATAGCCGGTGAATCACCTTTGTGGCGGATCGAACAATTTAAACAGATAACAGATTACCCACAGAATATATGCATATTTTATATCCTTTCGCTAGCATTCGACAGATGGTAAATCTAGAACGCAAGAAATAGAATTATTTAACATTCTTAATCATATACAGTTGGTGAGCAAAGGCGCGGATCCAGTAAAATGTGTTCACTTTTTCCACACCGTCTTCCACGCGAACTATATTGAGTAGAAATAAATAAATTAATTAATAAAGAAAGAAGATAATAATATAGCTAATGCGATTTATTAATTTATGGGGAAAAATCCTTTTCAAATCAAGAGCATTGAATATTCTGAAATCAATTTTACATAAAAAATTGAATCTTATTCAAAAATTGATAAATACTTATCCCTTTTGCCGCACACTTTTCATCGCTATAGTATACAAATACTCTATTAAAGCCTTTTATATAAAGCTGTATTTCACCTACGTGTATTTGTGAGGGTTAGTCTGATCTTTTTCTGTCTTTTTACCTTTTTCTGGCTTTGTTTGCCTTTTAGTCTTAATCAACATTTCACTTTTAACACCTAATCGGTTGTTCCAATCAGCATAAAATATTTTATGTTTTGAATACACTCATTGTTCCTATGAAGAAATGACTATTCATCCTGAGAATAGACTTAAGTCAAAAATTTGATTTTTAATATCTTGAGTTTTATTTAATGTATTTGCTTAAAATTTTGCAATTTTATATAACATTTAAATTCAAAATATGATTAAATTTTGTTCCATTATCAACATTATTTCAAAAGTTATATTGGTTTGAAATTTTGACTTAAGTCTGTTCTCAGTTTATGGTCTTGGGGCCTGTTCAACAAACGGGAATAAATAAAATACACACTGGCGAGTCTTTATAAATATTTAGACAAATACGACCAAGATCATAAAGAAAAAAAAATCTATACATATTTAAAAATTTCATTTCAATTTATTTGATATTAAATAGGGGCATGATAACTAAACAAGTACATGTATATGAAATAGCAGACGTACACGAATACATTAAATTTAAAGGCTGTGTTTAATACTGATTTTTATAGGTACCTATATATATGTAGCACATCAAAATATTCTGGTGTTCATGCTGTATCCTAAAGAAATCACAAAACACAAAGTCGAAGTTCCGATACATGTAGTAGGGTGTTTTTGATAAATTACATATAAGGCTGATATGCAATTTTAAAAACTTCGTAGCCATCAAAGTGTAGAATTTTATAATTGTATATACTAATATATGCTATTAACATGAAATATCTCAACTTTAGAGCAATGGGGGGGGGGGGGGGGGCACCCGGCCAGCTCCTTCCTAAACTTAAAAAAAGTCTAGATAAAACGTATGTTTTTAAGCTCATATTAACTAGAAAATTATTCTGGGTTTCTATTGTTATTTAACTTGTTTTAAAGACCCTACCGGCCCCACCCCCCAATCTTAACCTAAAATCCTGGATTCGACCCTTTATAATGTTACAAGATCGAGAAGTCAATGCCTATAACATATAGGTAAAGGTCCGGACACCCTAGAATTTTCAGAACATATAGAAGACCAAAAAAAATATATTTGGGAAACACGGACACACGAATCGGTAAAATGCGTACATAACGTTTCGTCAGTAAACTCTCTGTTATAGTTTTGGAACAGTAGGCAAAGTTTAAAGAGATTTTTTTATTTATTGCATGCGTGATGTGTACTTTCACTGAGTTAAAAAAAAAATTGATGCAACTGAACTACATGTGGAAAAAATTCTAAATGGCAGCGACGTGAACCTGAATGCTTTATTGGTCAGGGGGTTATTATCTATAAGCCATAAGAAAAAAAAAAAAGAGGCCCATGGGCCACATCGCTCACCTAAGCACATTGGCTAGGAAAAAAAGCAAAAATCAGTACAGTATTGAAAAGTTTACAGGGAGGGGGGTGTTGAATTTTAAACTACCTGATGATGCTTTCATATCAATATAACAAATGGCTTTGTTGTTCTTGAGCAGCAGATTTTTTTCCCATATATTCATTTGTAAAAATTTGATCCCCCATTGTGGCCCCACCCTACCCCCGGGGGCCCTCATTTGAACAAATTTCATTCTACACTACCCAAAGATGCCTCCATATCAATTTGACTAATCATGGCTTTTCTGTTCTTGAGAAAAAGACTTTTTCCTATATATTCCTCTGTAAACTTTGATCACCCATTGTGGCCCCAACCTATCCCCAGGGTAATAATTTGAACAAACTTGAATCTTCACTATCTGAGGATGCTTCCATATAAATATGACCAATCATGGCTTTACTGTTCTTAAGAAGAAGATTTTTAACGATATTTTCCTATATATTTCTATGTAAAACTTTGATCCCCAATTGTGGCCCCACCCTACCCCCGGGGGTTATTATTTGAACAAATTTGAATCTTCACTATCTGAGGATGCTTCCATATAAATATGACCAATCATGGCTTTGCTTTCTTAAGAAGAAGATTTTTAAAGATATTTTCCTATATATATCTATGTAAAACTTGGATCTTCCATTGTGGCCCCACCCTACCCCCGGGGGTCATGATTTGAACAAACTTGAATCTACACTACCTAAGGATGCTTCCATATAAATATGACCAATCATGCCTTTGCTGTTCTTAAGAAGAAGATTTTTAAAGATATTTTCCTATATATTTCTATGTAAAACTTGGATCCCCCATTGTGGCCCCACCCTACCCCCGGGGGTCATGATTTGAACAAACTTGAATCTACACTACCTGGGGATGCTTCCATATAAATATGACCAATCTTGGCTTTACTGTTCTTAAGAAGCAGATTTTTAAAGATATTTTCCTATATATTTCTATGTAAAACTTGGATCCCCCATTGTGGCCCCACCCTATCCCCGGGGGACATGATTTGAACAAACTTGAATCTACACTACCTGAGGATGCTTCCATAAAAATATGACCAATCTTGGCTTTGCTGTTCTTAAGAAGAAGATTTTTAAAGATATTTTCCTATATATTTCTATGTAAAACTTGGATCCCCCATTGTGGCCCCACCCTACCCCGGGGGTCATGATTTGAACAAACTTGAATCTACACTACCTGAGGATGCTTCCATATAAATATGACCAATCCTGGCTTTACTGTTCTTAAGAAGAAGATTTTTAAAGATATTTTCCTATATATTTCTATGTAAAACTTGGATCCCCCATTGTGGCCCCACCCTACCCCCGGGGGTCATGATTTGAACAAACTTGAATCTACACTACCTGAGGATGTTTCCACATAAGTTTCATCTTTCCTGGCCCAGTGGTTCTTGAGAAGAAGATTTTTAAATGATGCCATTATTTTTTCACTAATTCCTAATTATCTCCCCTTGAAAGAGGGCGTGGCCCTTCATTTGAACAAACTTGAATCCCCTTTACCCAAGGATGCTTTGTGGCAAGTTTGGTTGAATTTGGCCCAGTGGTTATTGAGAAGAAGTTGAAAATGTGAAAAGTTTACAGACAGACAGACGGACAGACAGACGGACAGACGGACGCCGAACAAAATGTGATCAGAAAAGCTCACTTGAGCTTTCAGCTCAGGTGAGTTAAATACCTCAAGTGACAAAGAGCAATCAGGAGAGTACAATAGTCCAATTATAAATATATATACATGTAATTTTTTGCATTCACCTTATTATACACGTATACATTTCATTTTTTACAATTCACCGGTATCTTTACAGAGTTACCGTTCCTTGTCACTCAAAGAAATAGAAGTTGTCTAATAGAAATCCGAGGTACAACACAAATGGTTTTAAAGCCAATCACAGGAAATGTCAGTGAAAATCTGTTGGTTGTTCAACTAAATAAGCTGACTTGATTTAAAATTTTATGTGTTAGAAATGTTCGTATTTTTTGTCTTTACTTCATTCTACCTTTTTCTGTGTCCCTGTGGTGGGCCTCCGGGAGGGGAATATGGCGGAGGGAATTCCGAGGAGCGCTACAAAGAGGTTAAAAAAAACAACTTTAGTAACGTAGTAAATGTTCGATACATAAAAGTTATATATGTTTGTTATAAATAGTAAAGTTTAAATCTAGGGCGAATAGAAACGATTGACTAAAATGACAAGTTTGAGTTTTGTTATCCGTATGAAAAAATGCAGTATTTTTTTCCGAAAGAAGAGGGAAGTAAGTAGAAACCATAACACAATGCATATAATTTTTATTCTTAAACCCACTTTATGAAAATAATTAAAATTGAGAAAAAATATAGATGAATATTTTTGTCAATTATTGAAACAGTTATACCCTAAAACAAAACAAATAAAGATATTTTATCGTGTCAACTGCCTCCATAACTTACAACTTGCAAATTCCCTAAACTCAGTTTACTTCAAACATATCCACTTTCCTAACCCTGTCTGTTTCAGGCCTATTGATATTCTGACCCAAATTTACCCCCATCTTATCCACACTCTTAACAAGTCTAACGTTATCCTTCCAGTTGATAAACACTCATAACCATGCCTGTACTTCCAGATGGTGAACACCCTTAACTATGTTTATACTTTCAGATGATAAACACTCTTAAGTTTGCCTTTACTACCAACTGACTACCACCCTTAACCATACCTATACTTCCAGCAAATAAAACACTCTTAACTATGCCTATGCTTCTAGCTGATAAACACTATTAACTATGCCTTTACTTCCAGCTGATACTCTTAACTAAAATTATACTTCCGCCCAATGAACACCCTTAACCATACCTATACTTCGGTCTTCCCACATATTTTTCTGTTAGCTTGAAGCTTAACCACACTCTCAATACTACCACGTTATCCACACTATTAATTATAGCCCTAACTCTGACTCGAACCATGCATATACTTCCAGGTTATCACGACCCTAAGCAGGTTAACACGTCCACGTATTCCACGCCTTGAACAATGTCTACCCTTCCATGATATCCCCACTTTTCACAATATCTTAACGTCTAGCTATCCATACCCTTCACCATATCTATAATTAATTCTCGCCCGTAACCATGTCTAAACGTATCCAAACCCTTAACTATGTAATCTACACCCTTCAACTTGACTATACACGTGTACTTCCCTGGTATCCCCACTATTTACCGTGTCTGCTATACATCCAGCTCTTCCACACTTTTAACTCTGTACACACACACACACACACACACACACACACACACACACACATCTTCCACAATCTTATCCTTCTTTCTTCCCAGCTGAATTAAACTTTAAACATTACTCTTATATTATAGACACTATTAACTTTGTCTACGCCCAGGTTTTCCAACTTTTGTTCCTGTCTACTACCAGGAAATCCTTCTTCCTGTGTTCTCACGACTTAACTACACGTTGTACCCTACACACGCCCACTTTATCACCTCTCTTATCTTCCCTACTTTCAGCTTATCATGTTTACGCCCAGCTTACCTTCCTCCTGCGGTTGTGCTCAGGCTCAGGCTCGCGGAGTGGGATGTTGTGATTCTGTACCGGCCTGTCAGGATTGGTACTAGGAGTATGTACAGAAAATACTTTTATGAAAATTCCCATAAATACGATCACACCAATCCCTATCAGAATAGTGGCCCACCAATGTTCCTAAAATAAGAAATATTAAACATTTATAATTTAAATATACGGTAAAAATTGTCTAATCTGGCACCTGTGCATTCCATTTCACTGTGAATTCCGACCCTTATTTTCATTCCTATTCTACTGTCTTCCATATTCTTTTCACTAAGCATTATGACACCCTGCCTATTCCGACACAAAAAGGGTCTCCCTGTGCATGTCGGACTAGACAAGTTTCTCTGAATATACATAAAAAATGACTTCCATCATTCATTCTTATAATATGTATACATAATTGTGTATAATAAAAGTTGAAAGCCAGGAAAAAGAAAGAGGAAAGATACAAAGAATATGAAGAAAAATAAACTTAGTTTTATAAAAGAAGATGCCTTCTTTTTATCATATTCTTAATACTGATTGTACCTGTATTTGTACAGTGTCTAATATATAAGAATGCTCACAAAATACTGTTACATGTACTTACTATAATCCAGTTTTTGATGTTGGCCAATGTTTCCTCACTAAACAACAGATTTGTCAATCTCCTTAAGGGTCCTTCATCACTAACTCCTCGACATCGAGAGAAAGCGTCACAAACACCCTGATAATCATTACACACTGCACCTAAATATCAATAATATCTCCTACATAGAGCTAGTAATAGAACTTCAAAATACTATGTATTCTTTGGAAATAATAATTTAATAACATGCTTATAGGAAATCCTGAAAAAAGTATATACAAAATATACATTAAAATTCTTTTCTAAATCTCTCTCTTTCTCTCCGTGTGTGTGTGTGTGTGTGTGTGTGTGTGTGTGTGTGTGTGTGTGTGTTTTCTGTTCTCTGTCCCCATCTCTCTTTCCTTGTGTGTGTCAATCTCTCTTCCTCTCGTTTTGTGTTATTATGTTCTCTACCCCACTCCTCTGCCACCCCTTTTGAATTTTACCTGCTGGCATTCTCACTCCACCTGAGGAATTTTTCATCATGTTGACTTCCTTTACTAAAGTATCGAATTCTCTGGCTTTCAAATGATCTAGATTGCTATTTGATGTATAGCATTCAGTGGAATTATTCTGTCCTAAACAGAGGAATTTAACATGGATATTGAAAGATAAATATGAAAGCCTAGCATCAGCTGAATGCATTTATCTATGCTTTATTGATAGAAACGATGACAATCTGATAACAAAGCGATTTGAATTGTTTTGCTTCATAAAAACAAAGATTTATTGTAATCTCTATTATTTAGATAAAAAAAAATCGTTTCTTAATCCTGTAATGTAAAGATGTGAAATTTCTTCCCCCTACAAAGCACCTTGATATTTCCATATCAATGTACAAACATGCAAAATAATATGTCAATGTATGATTAAGAAAAATCATCATGGTCTTTACCCTAAATTAAGTAAACAGTAATTAAACTTGTATCAGCTTATCTTTTAACTCTTCTGCCTAAATGATCATTGAGTGAGTAGCTTAAGAATGACTAACTACAAGCCAGATAACACAGCTCCACTCTGTCCTGCACTGTGAGATCCCCAGTTCTTGGGATGAAGCATTGCTCCCATCTTGAAGTGGTACTATCAGAAGTATTAATATTAGTACCATTAATTTTTAAACAGAGGGACCCGGAACAAAACTGAAACAAACAAACGTATGATATAAAGACCTGCACTAAGAAACAATCTGATCAGCCTAAAAAAGTGAGAAGTTTAAGTTTAGGTGACTGGTCGATAGGGGATGCTTACTCCTCCTAGGTACCTGATCCCACCTCTAAAATTTCCATGGGTCCTTGTTTTATGCCCTTTTCACATCGATCACTGTTCTTTACCTTCGCTTTGTCATTGACGTAAGAAATAACCGATTCTGTAGATATTGGTTAATGATAACTCCATGTAATGATACTAACAAGTGTTAGTCATTTTATTGAATAACATTTTGTTTAGTGATTGGCTAATGATTGTTCTGTGACAAATAAGCGATATTATTCTATAGCACTATGTCTCTAAATGAGTGGAAAATTTTTCGAAAGGACGTTAAACAACATACAAACAATAAATCTATGGCACTAATAAGAGCATAAAATTGTCACAGAAAAACAGTATAATATGGTCATTGGGAAAGAATAAGTAAACAATGTTCAAAAAGTTCTCTTGGAAGTAAACTTGGTTGAACATGAACATGATTATATTCCATACACTTGGAGGGTTTCCCACGTAGATTTGCTCAGGTATACATTTATCCCAGATTTAAAATTTTATTAAAATTTTTCAGGGAATCATGGACCGTAAATCATTAATTGTATGTCTTGAACTTAGGAACTGTTACAAATTGTTAACAAATTTGTTTTTTTTTTTTTTTTTTAAAAAGCAGCGTTGTAGAATATATTTACATTTCATTTTAAAAAAAAAAGAAAAGAGGACTATAGATAAACAGCATGTACCTTTTTATCAGCTACACTCCATATCATTAAAACCTATTTGCTTTTAGTTTGTTATATAAGACAGAGATACTGCTAAAAAAAAATTATTTGTCCAGCTTCAGTCGAGGGTATACGGGAAATTATCTCGGGGTTGTATACCATTTACTTTGAGACCGAAGGATATATGGAGTTCTGCATTTATGTCTACCTTTATTTAATTGAATCTGGATAACAAAATTATTTCCAAAGTAACCAAATAAATTCTTTGTAAACCCAAGTCTGATCAAATGTGTCTCAAGCCATCCATAAGATTTATTATGTGATACAAATTCATCGTTACGTCATTCTTCTGCCTTTTGTGATGGAAGAACTGTGCATTGTGACGTCACATTAATAATTCCTCGCTAACAAATCAAATTTCGAGAAACAAGCTATAAATCTTTATTTTACCTACCCCATTAAGACAAACTTGGGAGAAGTTATCACAGAAGGTTAGATCTGGTTCCTTCTCTGATGCAGGACAAGTTGATGAATCCCCAGTAATCGATCGTTAAGAAAACCACTGCGTACGTACGAAAATGCTTGTCAACATGTTTAAATAATTTAAATAATATGAACATTGACACAATCATTAAGAAAAATACATCTATCATTGTCTGTCAACGTGTATAAGTACGAAAAGAAAAAATATGTACAATGACTAGATTTTTACGTTTCTTATTTTTAAGGTTAACAATACTTACAGGAACATATTTTCACTTAACCTTAACGAAAATTAAAGCTATTTATGGATAATTTTTAAGTAACTTCTCTAGCTATATCAGAAATAAAATCAGATTCTTACTTCTATTAATTAAATAAATGTAAGTTAAAAAATAGCAAACTACATGTATATGCAAGTATATCTTTTTTCCCGTTAATCAACTCCCTGCTTATCCACAGAGGAGTGCCCTTTACACTGGCATCCGTGTAGGTAACGAAAAATCGTCCTGTTTTTAAGGATATGTACAATTTTGAGCCTTCATGCATTCTGTTGAAGGTCGACATTGATTCTCTGTGTCCATATAGGTACATTCTGATGAACAACAAGCTCCTTGGGAAGGGCTGTCATTTAAGAGAAATTAAATTAAACACAAATATATAAAGATCTGATACAGATTAAGAATTGATAATTTATTGTTGGCAGGTTTACCTGCAATTATATTTCCGATTGTTCATTTGGTCTATTTTAAGTGTACACGCATTGCTGTCGGGACCACTTGTTTGTTGTGGATTACAGCATTTATCTGTACAGTCTGTATCATAACCACAGTCACACTCCTCTCCCTCCTCTACAATTCCATTACCACAGAACGCCATGTTGGACTCTGTAATATAACACAGAACGCCATGTTGGACTCTGTAATATATAACACTGATATAACACAGAACGACATGTTGGACTCTGTAATATATAACAGTAATATAACCACAGAAGGCCATGTTGGACTCTGTAATATATAACACTGATATAACCACAGAACGCCATGTTGGACTCTGTAATATATAACACTGATATAACACAGAATGCCATGTTGGACTCTGTAATATATAACACTGATATAACCACAGAACGCCATGTTGGACTCTGTAATATATAACACTGATATAACACAGAACGCCATGTTGGACTCTGTAATATATAACACTGATATAACCACAGAACGCCGTGTTGGACTCTGTAATATATAAAACTAATATAAACACAGAACGCCATGTTGGACTCTGTAATATATAACACTGATATAACACAGAACGACATGTTGGACTCTGTAATATATAACACTGATATAACACAGAACGCCATGTTGGACTCTGTAACATATAACACTGATATAACCACAGAAGGCCATGTTGGAATCATTCTGTAATATACAACACTGATATAACACAGAACGACATGTTGGACTCTGTAATATAAAACACTGATATAACACAGAACGACATGTTGGACTTTGTAATATATAACACTGATATAACCACAGAAGGCCATGTTGGAATCATTCTGTAATATATAACACTGATATAACACAGAACGACATGTTGGACTTTGTAATATAACACTAATATAACACAGAACGCCATGTTGGACTCTGTAATATATAACACTAATATAACACAGAACGCCATGTTGAACTCTGTAATATATAACACTGATATAACACAGAACGACATGTTGGACTCTGTAATATATAACACTGATATAACACAGAACTTCATGTTGGATTCTGTAATATATAACACTAATATAACACGGAAGGCCATGTTGGACTCTGTAATATATAACACTGAACGCCATGTTGGACTCTGTAATATATAACACAGAACGCCATGTTGGACCCTGTAATATATAACACTGATATTACACAGAACGCCATGTTGGACTCTGTAATATATAACACTGATATAACACAGAACGCCATGTTGGATTCTGTAATATATAACACTGATATAACCACAGAAGGCCATGTTGGATTCTGTAATATATAACACTGATATAACACAGAACGCCATGTTGGATTCTGTAATATATAACACTGATAAAACCACAGAACGCCATGTTGGATTCTGTAATATACAACACTAATATAACCACAGAACGCCATGTTGGATTCTGTAATATATAACACTGATATAACACAGAACGCCATGTTGGACTCTGTAATTTATAACACTAATATAACCACAGAACGCCATGTTGGACTCTGTAATATATAACACAGAACGCCATGTTGGATTCTGTAATATATAACACTGATATAACACAGAACGCCATGTTGGACTCTGTAATATAACACTAATATAACACAGAACGCCATGTTGGACTCTGTAATATATAACACTAATATAACACAGAACGCCATGTTGGACTCTGTAATATATAACACTGATATAACACAGAACGCCATGTTGGATTCTGTAATATATAACACTAATATAACACGGAAGGCCATGTTGGACTCTGTAATATATAACACTGAACGCCATGTTGGACTCTGTAATATATAACACTGATATTACACAGAACGCCATGTTGGACTCTGTAATATATAACACTGATATAACACAGAACGCCATGTTGGACTCTGTAATATATAACACTGATATAACACAGAACGCCATGTTGGATTCTGTAATATATAACACTAATATAACCACAGAAGGCCATGTTGGATTCTGTAATATATAACACTGATATAACACAGAACGCCATGTTGGATTCTGTAATATATAACACTGATATAACCACAGAACGCCATGTTGGATTCTGTAATATATAACACTAATATAACCACAGAAGGCCATGTTGGATTCTGTAATTTATAACACTAATATAACCACAGAACGCCATGCTGGACTCTGTAATATATAACACAGAACGCCATGTTGGATTCTGTAATATATAACACTGATATAACACAGAACGCCATGTTGGACTCTGTAAAGATAATTAAATATGAAGATTAAGGTAGTAATGAATCTTAAAAGTCAAAATTAAACAAAACAAATTGAGACAAAAACAATTATGAACCCATGAAAACTTCAGAGGTGGAATCAGGTGCCATTGAGGAATAAAAAAACTTGACTGGGCGTGCGGATTTATCCGTAGATTATTCGCTATGCAAAAATGCCTAATTGTCAGTCCTGGTTCGACCTAACAATAGTTTGTAACTGTAATTAGATCACCGTATCAACTATAGAACTTGCAAAATGTTAGTTTGAGATTCTCGATACCCTTGTAACATAAAGTCATTTGTCAGTAGCCTGCATAATGTAAGAAATCGTTCGTAAGCAGAACATGCTCTTGTGTATCGAATCAACTGGGAGACATTAAATAAGTGATGTTGATAATGGAAAAGATTTCATTACTTTTATTTTAGTTTACCACTGAAGTCTTTCTCTAACTACCAAAACATCAAAATATGAAAAAGATGTTTCAGACACTGTTGTGTTTTTTATTTGGATTTCATTGTGATATACCGAATCAATGGATAAATTAAAATGAAACTATTAATTACTAAAATATCGATGATATTTCTAAATTTTAAATTAAAACTACTAAAGGGATTTTTTTTTTGGAGTCAAAAGGGATACTAAAAGGGATTTCTTTTTTCCTGTAAACGCTTTTTGAATAAATTTTGCCCTCCAAGAGTACAAAACAGATCCGTTAACAATGGGACACAGTCAGTGCCTATGGGAATTCCAACAGATTGGTGGAAGACCTTGTCTCCATAGAATACTTTGATTTGTCTATAATAAACTCAAGCGTCTTTTTTTAATATCAACTTCAGAGTTTACTTGGATAAAGAAATAGAATGATTTTTTAAAAAGTAATTTTGTAGATGACCAATAATTTCCAAATACTTATATTTAGGGAAGTAGCTCTCAGTGACTTTAAATATTCTAATATTTAATTTCTCTCCAGGAATGGCTAAAAAGTGTTGAAAAGTAATAATCTTTGAAGATACTCTTTGTAATATAGTCTTTTAAAATACTTTTACGTCTAGTTTTACACAATTCAATAAAAAGTTGAGGGAGAGCTCAAATTTGCAGAAAAAAACTACTTTTACGATAGAACTATGCTTCAAATCTAAAAGTTATCAATGTAATTAAACTCTATTTTTTACTTACGTGTAAAGCAGTTGTATTTTCCCTTATTTGGATCAACAACAGCCGTAATGACGTCAGTAAAACTATTTTTACTACAGAGAGAGAAATCATCGTTGTTTGGAAGGTTTCCCTTTGTTGCACTTGCAAACATGATATAATTTCCCTGATCAGAAGTGGTCTGGGCACATGGTTTACCGTCATCGTGCTAAACAGAATACTTTAAGTCAGCAGTGTTCTGATTTCTTGTAGAATAATGATAAAAATTACAACTTTAATTATCTTTTGATATGAGACAAGAATCCCACTGGCCTTAATGCGCACATGAGGAAAAGGTATCTATTTCTCTTGGAAGCATTTTTTTGAATCATTAAAAAAGTAGCATTTCTTATTCAACAGAAAATCTGTATGTTCCCCTGTAAATTCTTTGGACGCCATCAGTGAAGTCTTGCTTACTTTTAGGGTTCATGGTTTGATTAAATCAGCAAATATGAATCTTATTAGTTTAAAAAGTTTTCATACAACTTACATTAAAAATTTACTTTTTTATTAGGCGTTTCAACAATGTTATGGTCAATATTTTTTATATATTTACATTTACACAAATTATCCTATTTTTTACTTATCTATAACAGTTTTAATGAAAGTTTGTCGCAAGACCACAAATTCAAGTATTGTTATAAACAGGAAGCTAATTCCTATTGGCGATATAAGCGTAAGCCACGTGATTTCTCGGTTATAGAAACCAAGGTAATTTTAATGGATTCAAGTAATATAAGCGAAATTTAAAGATAATACATTTCAGTAATAAGGTATCACTTTTAAACATCTATTCATTCGTGATCATGATCAAATGTGCCATGAAGTTCATTGTGATTTATAGGAATTGAACACCTAATTAATCTATATCCCCACAGATGTACAAAAGTGATACATCATTTCTCTTATATGCATAAGAAAATATTTTTTTTAAAAATATAAAAATAAAAATTAATGATTTTTTTCGCTAAAATTTGAGAGAACACAATGATAAAGACATAACATGCATACTAGGGCACTGTTAGAACATATAATAAAGTTAGACGAGTTTATCTTCAAAAATCAAATTATGTGTACTCAAAGAGGGGAGTTAAGGAAGTCATTCTTTTTATTTTTATACAAAGGTCTTTTTCAAGTGTAAGAAACAATTTGTGTACATTCCAATAACGTAAAAATAGCATTTAAATAACTTCAATAGCTAAATAGGAAATGATATACTTTCAGACAAGCTCTCGTCTTTCGCGACAATTGTAAAACGATTTTATTGTATGGCTTGCTTGTTTTAAATCACAGTCCAAATATTTGTAGACTATTTTCTTACCTGTAAACTATATATCAGGCGGAGCGTTTTCTGCATATTGAACACCTGATCTTAGTAATAAAAAGTTTAAGAAATACTAGGACTCCAAACCATTTTTTTTAAAAGCGGGGTCCCAAGAACTAAAGAACTGGAATTTTTCGTTTCAGTGTTGAATTGAAAGAAAAAAATACTGGCTTACGGGAGATCCCATGTTGTGTCCGACTTCATGAGCGAAAGTGAGCTCTGAGATACGTGGGGGGACACGTTTGCCATAGTTGAGTAGAGTAACCACTCCCGTGTTGAGACTTTTCTTGATTTCAGTGGTACCTTCCCTGTAGGATTTGTGTCTTTCACATACGCCACCTGATGATGCTACAAATAAATATTATTGTTAATTATTCTCTTATATACCCCTACTGATGATGCTATAAGTAAATATTACTATTAATTATTCTCTTATATACGTTTCCTCATGATGCTACTCACAGCCACGGTAGCTCAGTCGGTAGAGCGCTCGCTCCGTGATCGGACGGTCGTAGGTTTAAACCTCGGTCGCGACTGACCTTAGTCGATAAAAATAGGTAGCAACCGCTTCTTCGCTAAGCGCTAGGCACTTTGAAGTGAAAGTTGTGGGTCTTTAGGATGACACCTTAAAATCCAAGGCCCCATGTCACGACAGGCGTTGGCAAGATAAATATCCCACACTCTTCAATGGCCTTAAATGGCGAATAAAGATCTAAATTAAAAGCCCGTTACCCTAACCCTAACATTAACCCACCGGTATATGGTGATGTTTTTATATGAGTGAAAAATTATTGAATGGGATATAATACACCAATGAATCAAGAAATCATCTTGCTAAGAGTAATTATTACTGTTATCACTCTGTGTTCTAGATTTTACAGATCTTTCTGGCACTGACTAGCTATTACTCTGTGTTCCATATTTTACAGAACTTTCTGACACTGATTCTCTATTACTCTGTGTTTCAGATTTTACAGATCTTTCTGACAATGATTAGCTATTACTCTTAAGATCTTGGTTTAATTATCTGTTTAGCTTGTGTAGCCCTAATTGCTTATCAAAGGCTTTCACTAGTGAACTTCAATTTGAACCTGTAACACGTCGATATCGCAATGTCCACAATGATACTGATGTCGTGTTTACATCATCTTCATTCATATCAATTCTAGCTACATCTTCACAGTCGACATTGCAATGTCGACAATGGTGATATGATATAGAGTTCATATCGTATACATTGCTATGTTAAAAGTTTTTTTTCCTATTCTTTTAAGTAACGACTTTTTTGTGCTCCACTCAAATGATTATGGGTAGTCTCGAACATCACTAGATTATTGTTATTCATATATTAAAGATTGTGAAGCATCCCACTCTTTTGATAAGGGTCAAATCTTGCACACCACTCGATTGGAAAAGGTTATCTCGCCCATCAGTCGACTCATTAGGATTAGTCTTTTTTTATATATGGCATAGTCTTGCACATCATTATTTAAGCTAGATGTAATAAAGTTAAATAAAATCAATAAATTCATTATAGCAGTCGCCTATGTCCACATTATACTTTCTCCACATTATGATAGATTCTAATGAATACCAAATAAAAATGCAAAAACTATATTTAATACTCGAAATTAACATGATGTCAACTCGATATCGTTCAACATTGTGATATCGACGATTTGAGCGATGTAAACAGGATAAGACGCCGGCATCGCAATGTTGACAAGATGTCGTAAACATTGCTATGTATACGATGCAAACAGGATATGACGTCGGCATCGCAATGTTGACAAGATGTCGTAAACATTGCTATGTATACGATGTAAACAGGATATGACGTCGGCATCGCACTGTTGACATGATGTCATAAACATTTCTATGTATACGATGTAAACAATGTAAGGATTATCTTAGATACAGTATATACTTGTTGGATGTTGAATAGAAAGTACATGGCGAAGTCGACAACATCGATAAAACATCGTACACTGGACATACCTCGCGGATTTTTGAATGAAATATGTGGAGATAACGAACAGTATTCGAACTCAAATGTCCATTAAACAGTACAAAATAAGAGCAAATGCGGACCTCTGAGACATCACAGGTGGGATCAGGTGCCATGAAGGAGTGAGCATCCCCTGCCGACCGGTCACACCCGCCGTGTGCTCCTTGTCATGATCGGGAAATAACGGAAAAATCCGTCGACAATTCAGTGTGTAAATAATGGCCTAACAATTAGTATGAAAAAAGTCAGTTAGCATCTGACTTAATGAAAGATTGTATTTGCTGACAAGGTCATTGTATCGACCATAGAACTTACGAAATGATGACTTTAAAATGATAAACATGGGCATTAGTTTTGATTGGATAATGTAAAATACAGTTTGGAACTTCTAAATTTCTTAGTTATCGGAGAACATAAAACATGCTTTAAAACCTTTATCTCACATTGTGTAAAGAACACTTTGAACTAATATTTTTATGAATTAAAAGGTATTTGGCTTTTCAAAGGTTTCGACATCGATGTCTTTAACGTCATTTTGCCTATTAATTTACATTTTGCTCAACCGTCAGTGAATGGATTTATACCATGTAGGTTTTTAGTACAAACACTAGTGATACCTGTAGAAGATCCAACCCAGGCGAGTCCCAGTGTTCCTTGTAGAAAATCTCGATAGGTAAAGGTATAGGCCAGACAGAAGCTGTCGTGGTTAGAGAGAGAATGAAGATTTAGAAAGTTACTGACGTCTAGGTTCTCCTGACAGAACTTTGTCTTTTGAAGAACACAGTTCTCCGTGCTGTCTGTCATAACCTAATAAGATAATAATCTGATATTAACAGCCATGCATTGTATAGCAATCTAAATGGCGGAAAATAAATCCTGTTTAAGACATTTTTATTATTGGAATAAAACCTCACAATATTAAATAACTTGCAGATACAGGTAATCTGGGGGTAGTAAGCTCTCGTGTTACACCGTAGAGACGCTTTAACCTGGGATTGTTTTCTAGTTCATGGTAAATAATAGCCTGTTTAAAATGTTGCATTGTTGATAAGGATATTGTGTTCCGATTCCTTAGATTTTTTCAGAATTAAAACACAAAATTTAGAGAAAGAGATTTTTCGTGTAGCAAACTTTTCCAGATTAACAGATAATCTCTAATGATGGATATCAGGCAAACAATATACCTCTAAAATAAATACTCTTTCTCCTTTTGAATAAAATTTACACTTGACTCGCAATAGTAAGTACAGATCTTTAATTAAGCATAAAAACAAAACGAAACCAGATAAAGAATGTCAGCATTTAATAGGAACGAGGACATAACATAAACATGGCTCAAAAGTTGTAAAAATAAAATAAAGGAAAAGAAAATAAGGCAATTTTTAAAAAATATTACAAGAGACTTGCTCATAAATTAACATTATTAACATTAAAGCAAGAAGACATGTTTTTTTTTTTAATTACCGTAGTCCGCTGGATTTGAAATTGAACGAAACATGGGATTGTAGAAGAGGATTTAAGTCTTGTGCGTCGGAAAATTTCATTCAATGCGTTAACATGAGTACTGAAGAGGGAGAGAATTTCGTCTCTGGCTGCGATTTGATTCTGAAATTAAATTTGTATATCAACTTCCGGAATTGTTGTGGAAGACTCTTTTGTAACCGGTTACTGATATCATGTCATTTAACATTGCATTGAAATATTTTGCAATCTTTCATTTTTACAGTGATATCAAGAGAAGCGCTTACTGAAATAAATTGATTCTTGTGTATGTGTATCACAGTATAATATCGAAATTGAATTATATTTCTAAAGCGCAATTTTTTTTTTTTGCAATATTGAAACATTTATGAAGGTCAATGGAGATATTCCCATTTAATAGTAGAAAAAAGAATGATATACTTTCTCAGATGATCAATATATTAATGAAAACATTGCATAGTTTTTACAACAAAAACTAAAAAAAAAATATTTCATTAAAATAAATTGCGTTTTTTTTTTTTTGTTTTTGTTTTTTTTGGCATTTGCTTTTGTTTTAAAACCCTTGTTCAAAATTAATGAAAATAAAATGTATTTTATATAGGTTAATAGTGATTACATTGCCGAGATCAGTGTTGAATTTATTAAATAATACTGGATCTGATCTCAGGTAAAGGTTGCATGTGTTTGGTATAGTGTTATCACAGGTTTCTACTCCAGCCGACCGTATTCCTCGATTCTTATCATCGTTGCTCTCTGCAGAATACTTGTTGTGTTTTTCTTTTTGGCTGAAGTATATCTAAAACGTTATTCAAGAAAATTTTATTAATTTGCTAAAAGAAAATTAAGAAAGCAGATATCTAGTGAGTTTAATTGAATTTAACCCCCTATAAACCCTTGACACCAGAACATCATATAAAAATTAATGTCTAGTAATAAGCTTACTATTTATGCAATTTGCACTTTTTATAAACTTCTAATTAATTTGAGGGGAATATGACATGATTAATGATACATCAAATAAAATAGAGACAAACATAACGTTATTGCCCAGTCGACAACATGTGATTCTTAGAATCTAAGGTATACGTGATAAATATCCTTAAAACTGATCAAAATCAAAGAAAATGTATACCACTATGCTTTGTATCTTTTTTTAACCTCGCTCTAAGTTTAGTTTATCATCCAGTTCCGAAAATTATCGATTGTGAGACCCTTCTACTGTAAACCAACTTTTATTCGCGAGCGAGAAATATCCGCGAGTTTCGCGAGAGATTCTTTTACTTGCGAATATTTCTAGTCGCGACCCAATTATTCACTTATGTATTTATGTTGAATGCTGCCTTAATCGCGAAAGTTAGTAGTCGCGGATGGCTTCCAAACTGAAGAATCGCGAATAAAAGATGTCTTTATACATTAATATTTATAGTATACTCACACGTTTCGTCCGTAAATTGACCTCAGCCTCGGTTTGTTGGACCATCCAGTCTTGGTATCTGTCAAGGGCACAATTTCCTGTTCTGGCCTCTGTACCTTCTTTGTATCTATAATAAAAGAAAAAGAAAAAAATATCCATAATAATGAACCGGAAGGAATTTTGTGTAATTTTAACAACAGATATGAATAAGGACCAATTAAAAATCATTTTTTTTGAGCAGGTACTCTTTAGTATTTTTATATTTTTTATTTTAAACATTCTAGAAAAGTTATAAAAATTACCTATATGGGTCTAAATCAAGATGTTCATCCTTATAGATAACAGAATGGTACGGTAATTTTTGTGCCTCATTAAGGCCGTAGAATCTGTATGCAGGCTCAATGTGGTACACAGTGTCACTGGGAATATTAATTTTCCCCCGGAATATTCCCAGAATCACAGCTCCGTGGACGTTGCTCCCAGGTTCGCCTGTCAGAGTTTTAAATAATAAGGTCATTGACAGCTTTACATATAAGGACTGTGATTGGTTCCAATGGGACCAATAAGATTTTTGCTCTATATTTGATATAGGAATTTATGATAAAAATATATAATTAACCATACAGTTTCCCTCTGAATATATGGTTAAGAAAAACTAAATTGGTCTCTAAGCACAAATAAGTCCATTTAAATGAACTAAAATTTATAGATCTTAACAAAAAAAATGAAACGGAGATTATGATATGTAATAAGTCTAAACGATGAAGCTAATCTGAAACTACATGTTCATGCATGACATGTCCTAGTCGCCACCTTGTATACTTGTACACGAATAGTACTTACAAAGCACTATAATTAGCATGTTTCTAATTACGTATTAGGGGCTTTTTTGATAACAATAAGACAGGTTACAAGATATATGCATTTTATCAATATATGTAATCATGTTTATACAAGCGATATGGATTTTACAATTGTGGTAAGGTATTAATTGTAATCATCAAACAGTTTTATACAGTCAAACCTTGTTATATCGAACTTAATGGAACCGAGAAAAAACGACGAGATATCAAAGGATTCGAGATATCCAGGATAAGATACTTAAAGAATAAGGGATTGGGACTTCAAAATCTCTTTGACATATCCATGGTATTCGAGATATCGGTGTTCGAGATACCGAAGTTCAACACCGGGAACTGAACGTAGGACACGGGATTCACATTTTTTTTCCAAAATTTTGGAAAAGGTTAACTACCGATAGTAATCATGCCAACAGCTTGCCTAGATGTCCATCTATAAAGAAGAAGACATTCAGACGTATAATGTATTTGTAACGAGTAGCAGATCCTGGAACATTCCCTAAATGTGCCAGAAACACCGATTCAGCAGGTATCAGGTCCTCTTCCGGCGGGTGGCAATCATTTTTTTTTTTACATATTTTATACTTTTTAGACAATTTTTACACTTTAGAAAAAAGATAGTTATCTTTAATGATAACATAGGAAAGTTATGGTTTAACCACCAATTGCTTTGTCTATTAACACATTGGACAAAATCGGCAAAACAAATAAAAAACAATCATAAAACATACCATGCATGTATTTATTATATTGTTACATAAAGAAACTTTACTGACGGTATTTTGTTAGTTTATCTTTATCTAATAGCATATACACAGAAGAATTTCTACTTTCGTTTCTGTTCGACCATGATATTTATAATATAGAATAAATCATAAACAATCTTAACAAAAAACAGTAACTATTTTAAAGAAGCAACTGTGAAAATATTTCTGACAATTTTAAAAATGAAAAATTATTCAGAAAATCTATTGATATATGTATATTTGTAATCAGTGTGAAATATGCTGATTGATTTTTGAGCTCTCTCGAGGTTTTTTCAGTGCTTCGCTGAACTTCGAGTCTCCTGGAGTCGCCTTTGCATTCATCTAATTGCGTGTTCTGCACATAACGACGGCATAGATTCACAATCGAATGATTACACAAAATAGGAAATCAAAATCGGAGAAATCAAAATAAAGCAAATACATGTATTTTTTGAGAGGTTATTGAAATGTTTGAGCTTTTTTGGCGATTTTTTCTATTCCCGCAAGAAAAGCCAACTTTTACGATAATTACCCGATATACGGCACATCGACAAAAACAGATAGCAAAAGATGATCTGAGTGACGTAGTTGAAATAAGACAATCAAACACCACTGATATTTATGCTGTTTTTCAACTAGGTTTAACTTCTAAAGAATTTTTTTTAAATTTACTCTGATTGCAATGCATCAACAGTTTATTTTTTGTAATATTTTGTCGTACACTGTGATAAATTTAAATGTAGGTAAATGTCAATAGGTTTGTTGATATTAGGATCTCAACACGAATTGTATAATCTTAAAAGTTTTACAATGTTTGTCATCAGCGAACACAGTGAGGTTTAAAAAACATATAAAGGAAAACCCTGTAAAGGAGATCTTAAAATCTGAGAGGAATGTAACAGATACAAATTAAAACATTCTTGTCCCACAAATGCATTGAAATCAATGCAGATTGTTTAGAGCCTCAGACTCTCTATTAACCTAAAAAATGTGGTAAAGGTGAATTAATCCTGGTAGTACAGAATACAGAATATTTTCTACAATACCTCTGCACAAGGAAAAACGGTTTTATTTACAGTTTGTAACCTTAAAACGAGAGTAAGAATGTTTGCTTTATTCAATCTTACCACCAGCAGAATCACGTATTGTAAGTATTTTAAAAACGGCAATGTAAAAAAAAAACAACTCTAGTTTGATTAAGAAGGTTGGATCAGAACTGATATAAATGACACAATGTCTTTTATACAGAGGTACTAGATGGGGGATGCAATTATGACTCAGTACCAAACAGATATCATATATCAAAACATTTTAAATTTATAGTTATCTTCAAGAATTGTCTTTGTATTCAATGAATGTTATACCTCTAATTGATCCCTCATATATTATAGACATATTTTAACTACGATAATGGTTTACAGTTAATATAACTTACCCCTAACTGACCCCTCATATATTATAGACAGATCCACAGGATCCTCCGTCCCATTGTTGTGGGTGGATCTAAAGTTTTTGGTAAAAACAGAGGTGGACGGCTTCAAATCTAAATGGAATGACCTAAAGAAAACAAAGTTGGTGAACATAAGCATCTCTCAACATTTTCATTTTCAAATATTTTCCCAAAGGTCCCTTACAAATTAAGAAACAGTTCATTTAATATTTTATCATGAACTACCATGATGAGCATTGATTTATACATTATGACGTTATAATATTGTACTTGACATTAAAGCTATAGAGCAATTCTTTTTATTCAAAACCGATAGTTGAATGACATGAATCTGTGGCAATTCATCAGATAATTAATGGAAATAAAGGATATAAATTTGGTTTTTGAGAATTCATGAGGTACATGAGCTACAACGCTTCACGTCCCGCTTAATGAAATATGCCGGCGTGAATTGTCTTAGTTCATATTCTCATGAAATCTCAAAAATTAAACTCATTTCTTAAATAAATGAAGAGGGCCTTGTGTATAGCAAACACTTGATTAGAACTAATACACATTTCATCCCTAAAAAGCTGCAGGTTAGAAAAATTAACTGGATATTACCCAAATAAGCTATTGCATTTGACTGTCAGAAGCAGTATGGATTTATTATTTTTTGTAGAATAGATGAAATGAAAATGGATATCGGTACGGCACATTTTTCAGGAAATAATATATATATGTCCATTTAAAGTTTGAAATGTAGAATTACATTCAAAGTTTTGAAATGTAGAATTACATTCAAAGTTTTGAAATGTAGAAGTCCTTCTGAAAAAGATATGTCCTTCGTATCAATTTTAAATACGCAGATATATAACATCTCTTGCCGACCGGTCACACCCGCCGTGTACTCCTTGTCATGATCGGGAAAACGAAAAAATCCGCAAACAACTTTTCGAAAACAATGGTCAGACAACCTGCATGAAAAACGTCAGTCAACATTCCACTCAACGATACACAGGGTTCTCCACATTTGAAAATTTAACCATGGAGGAAGCCGCGCGAAAGGGAAATGTGATCAAAAGCACGAACGTGTGTTTGACTCTCTAAGCTTCATTATAAATGGCTGATTTCACAAAACTTAACCACAGTGACTGCAAAACAAGATGAAATACCCCCCCCCCCCACAAAAAAAAAAGAAATTTAAAAAATAAATAAATAAAAATAAAAGAATAAAAAGGATTATGTCTCTTAATTTACAAAATTACCAAAATTGGACCAAAACTGTAGGATCGTTTGAAAAGAATTTCATATATTTTTCTTTATTTTAATACATGTATATAGTAAACATTGCAACAATGTTCGTCGAATGTTATTCAAAAACTTATACAGAATTGATCTTGCCTGTCGCATGAAAAGTTTTATTTAAATAGGACCAAAACTGAAGAAGGCTCAGTAGTATTTCGGAAAAAAAAATAACAGACACACAAACGAACACATGAACGAACACCGACATCTTAACATTGCCTGAGCTTTTAACTGCATGGTCTTTGAAAACTTACTGATGGTATAAGTATCAAAACTTAATATAACCAGGGGCATAAATCTGATATAACTGTAACATTGCTTTCTCTGTTCTGCTTTCTAAAAGTTTTTTTTCGACACTGCGTTTTTCGCCGATTTTCTTCCACTGTTTACTTCTCCATGTGCCACACTGCTAAAAATAGCGCCACGCGACGTTTCATAAAAACGGGAGATAACTCTAAAATTTGGACGTGGTGATTGGCGTTCGTGTCCATTTAATCAGAAAAATAATAAAATTAATATTTAAAAACGGAGCAAGGGGTATTAATTAAATACAACGGATAGGAAAGTTCTTTTTGGCCACAGAAACTTGATTCGAATGCTTGTCGATTATTAGACATCGTTACGTTACTGTGCGCTGTTATCTTTTGTAAATTTGTTATTACATGTATATAGTGAACACGTTGGAGTTCCCCGAAATTACATGTCTACAGAAAAATTAACTCTAAAGATATTGATCATCAACTGATTGACTCTCAATTGTCACGCTTCATGGTATTCGCCGATCAACGACCGTGTTTGTTTAGCACGTACAGTCCGCTTTCTCTCAAGGTGCATGCCAGCTAGCCGTAGTATAAACACAATTAACTACTCAGGTCATTAAAAATTAAGTGTCAGTACTGAAATGCAAGAAAATTTAATCATGGCGGCCGCCGATTTTAACCATGGCGCAGCTCGTTTAACCATGGCGCACATAAATTTAACCATGGCGGACCGCATGGTAAAACCCCTTGTGGAGAACCCTGGATACACTATATTTGCCGACAAGGTCAGAGTTTGTGAAATGTTGACCTTAAACGAGACCCCGGACACCCCTGTCTCTCAACTTATCCGCCAGTAGCCTATGCTCTTGCGCATCAAATAACTGATAGATAATTAATTATAATAAGGAATTATAATAAATAATGAATACAAATATTTTAGGAATGACTCTAATTCTTGGCCAAATTATTCGAGTATAACCTGGTTTGGGTCAGTTTACGCTTTATAATCCGCGAAGCGGATTATAAAACAGCGTAAACTGACCCAAACCAGGTTATACTCGAATAATTTGGCCAAGAATTAGAGTCATTCCTTATAATTTAATTTTAAAATCATTAAATAACTATGGGTGTATAATTTCGTTGCTTTTTCTTAGTTCAAATTTGCCGCTCAATAATACAACCGTAGTTACGGAAGTAACGGAAGTGATGGGAAGCAAGGGGAGTTAAAAACTGATACATAGGCCTAGCAGCCTTGTTGTTTGTTTACATGTGGTAAGATCGAATTATTGTTTGAAGTTAAAGGTACATTTATTAAATCTGGAATTTTCCATGAATTCCGAGGACTGGAAATGAGAGGATTGTATGGATACAGATGATTCAGCTGGTTGTCAGGGGGTGTGTCCCCATACCAAACCAGGTTATACAAAAATAATTTGTGTTCCTTTTTGGATATTAACCAATCAGAGGCTAGAATACAAACAAAATTAAATTATAAAGTAATAATCTACGGATAGCAACTACATTTTAATTACTTTATTTACTCGGAAGAAAAAAAATCTTTTAAAATATCAAATCTTAGCTTACATAGTGAGTAAATTCTTAAATGATCATACCTGTTATGAGCTGTAAATTTCAGTTCCAGTCTCTTGCCTTCTGTTGTTGACCTTTTTGCCCTCAAGTGTTTGTTGTGGAGCTCTTGTGTGTCGTAAGTCAGTTCTTCGTAATATTTTATGTAGTCGTCTATAGATTTTTGTTCTACATCTAAAATTGATTGGACTCTAATTAATCCATGGAATTTTGACAATAAGTAATGATTTTCCTAAACCATTGATGTTAATTGATGTAAATGGGAAAGTACACTTAAATGCCTTTTGATTTGAAACTTGCACCTCCGCCACTAAGTCTTGAAAACTGTGGAATAGATGTTATAAGTTGAAATAGTGAAAAAACTTCATTCATTGTACAGGTGATAGTTTCTAGTTTCAAATCTGAGGTTTTGTTGAATTAAACACGTATGAATAAAATAATAATTAGTTATTTCTGATAATTTCAATGTCATTATCCATTTTAGCTCGGAATAATGAGGAATCATATTTCTTTTTGATTTTCATATTTTAAAAAAAATGCTTTATTGTCGCTATCTTACCATACATGGATGTTTTCTTTTCTTTGCAGGCAAACGCATGAACTATAATGAACTATAATACTAGCATGCAAATAGATAGATGGCAACTTTGAAATTTATTTGTACCTTTAATGACAGCAGGCCACATTTGTGTTTTTTAGGATACTATAGTGTATATTGTAGTAGAAATGAAAGTTAGAGTATTTTTGAATTGTCTGGTTTTTTTAAATATTTTGTCATCTTACCAGCTCAACACTGTGTCATCTTAATTGCTGGGCACTGTGTCAACCTACCCACTATACATTGTACCAGAAGGAAGGAGACGAGTAGATATCTTCCAACAATCTGCATCATTCCAAGAAAGAGTGTTTTTCTGTTTGGGAACGGGAAGTATAGTTAAAGATTCTGTAATAAGCAGTAAAAATAGATATTCATAAATCTCTCTTTTATTATAAACCATATCTAAACATAACATATATGTTTCTCTTTAAACATCTTAATATATATATATAAAAAAATATCGAAAACCTAAGTCATGTTTACACTAAATAATAATTGTTCTATTAATATTGGATAAAAAGAGTGGAAATTAAAATAATAACAAACCTTAGTTGATTTGGGATATACTTCCTTGTCACCACATTTAGAAATTCTTTTACAAGTTGTTACACGACTGTTCAGGACAAAGAATGTTAACAGACATGAGAATACACCCTTCTTACAATACATTTAAATATTCGAATACTCAGGTGACTTTACAATTGACTGACGGCAATACATCATGGTTGTTAAGATTATACAACCCGTATAGCTTGCAAAACAGTACAATTTGATACTCAACAAAAATTTCTGCTTTTTATCGGATATTTTATCTGTGTCAAGCAAAATCTTATATATCATGCAACATATGAAACAAAATAGGCACAGTTTTATTTCAAAACTAAATTATTCAAGCTTTTTTGCTCCATATGGGTATTACAAATTCTTGTTTCCAAATATTTTGTTATTTTTATTATATACGGGCATCACAAATCGTTTGTTTGTTTGTTTGTTTATTGTTTAACGTCCCTCTCGAGAATTTTTCACTCATATGGAGACGCCACCACTTGCCGGTGGAGAGCTACAAATTTTGACCTATACTCGGCACTCAGAGCAATTGAGCAGTGAGGGATCTTTTTCGTGCCAGCTCCTACTGCGACACGGGACCTCGGTTTATTCGGTCTCATCCGAAGGACCGGTCTCCACGTCCCACAGTGGGAGTCGAACCCGCGACGTAAGGATCAACTCCTTACTCCGCGACTCCAGATCGAACGCTCTAACCACTGCGCCACGCGGGCGACCATCACAAATCGTTCTTTCTAACCAGTGTTTCGTTACACACGAGTTTCACAAATGTTTGTTTCCACTCAGCTTTTAGGACCCCGTTATGTAATTTTCTTGGTATTTATTGGTACCCCTCATTCCGTTATTCCGTCATAATTAGATTTTGAGACCTTTTTATTGTATTTGTAGATACTTTGCAGATTTTTAATGTGTTTCTTTAAATTGATAACATATTAATCAAGTTTTATGTCGATTGACCTATTGTCAACAATGATTTGCCCTTAGATTCACTTTTAATCTTTTAAATCATTCCACGTTTTCTTTACTTTTTTTTCGTACATGTACATAATGAGCTGATGTTTGGAATGCATCTATAAAACAGCAGTTTCATTGACCTTATGGATGAAATATGACTATTCGAGCTCAAAAGTCCATTAAACATTACAAAATAAGAGCAGAGCAAACATGAACCTCTAAAGCCTCAGAGGTGGGATCAGGTGCCATGGAGGAGTGAGCATCCCCTGCCGATCGGTCACACCCGCCGTGTGCTCCTTGTCATGATCGGGAAATAACGGAAAAATCCATCGACAATTCAGTGTGTAAATAATGGCTTAACAAATAGTATGGGATAAAAGTCAGTCAGCATTTGACTTAATGATAGATTGTATTTGCTGACAAGGCCATTGTATCGACCATAGAACTTACAAAATGATGACTTAAAATGAGACTGTTGATATTCTTGTTTCATCAACTTGTTTTTCAATAACTTACCTCGTTTTAGAAATTGATCATACGTAGAGCATGCTCTTGCGTATCGAATCAACTGAGAGATTTAAACTCCGTATGCAGGTGGTGAAGGTATATTGCTGTATAAGTAAGGGAATTGACGATTGAAAAGTTAAAGTCATCACGTTTATCATAAAGCTTGCTTGTTAGATTACCATTAACGTTTTTTTTTTCTAATAAAATATCCAAATATGAAGCAGATGTGTCAGACTCTGTGGTATCTTTTATCTCAAGTTCACCGGGATATATCGTGTCGACATAAGGATGGAAATAACCATTGTTGATTGACAATCGGTATATCTAAATGTCGAGTTGAAGGCCACAGCAAGTGTTTTCTTCTTTTCAATTAAAAGATTTTGAACAGATTCTGCTTCATATGAATACAAAAATAGATCTGCTAATAATGGGGCGCAATTCGTACCCATGGAAATTCCAATAGATTGTTGGAAGACCTGGTCTCAAATAACCACAGAGATATTGTCAATCAGAAACTCGAGCATCTTTTTAAAGTCAACTTCAGAATACTTGTGTGTACAATCAGAGTGCTTTTTTACAAAATAATTTTGTAAATGACCAATGACAAGGTAAGTAAATCTACGAGTCCCATTTTTATTGAAAAAGCAGCTTCAACTTGACATTTAGATATATCGACGACGTATTGTCAATTGACAATGGTAATTTCCATTCTTATGTCGACACGGTATATCCCGGTGAACTTGAGATAAAGACTTTTTAGCTCGAATACTTATTACTGCCTTATAAAAATAAAAGTTTCATAAAATGTGATTTTTCACATAGTAAACTACAAGTTAAGAAATGTGTGTCTAACTTAAACTCTTAAGTCATCAAGATAATAATTATTTTTTTTTAAATACATTTACTCCTTAGTCCCTAGGGAGAACATATATACATATAGTGCTTGCATGATTCTCCATCAAACTCATAATATTGAATACTAAAAAATTATGGGTTCAAGCAAACTTTGTACATGAAATATAATTCAAAATTTTTAACAAGTGTTTTTTTTTTTTTTTTACCTAGAGCAAAGGCCATTTAAAGACAATTAGGAAGAGTTATGTGTACTTTGTGAATCCTCAATCCTGACCCTACTTATTATAAAAATTAGTGCATGGACACTTTTAGTGTGAATTTTTTTTCCAGTTGCCCAGCAATGTTTTGACACAGTTGATGCAAAAAAGTATGCAATACTCAGATTTTGCGAATAAATTATTGAAGATGAAAATGGTAGCAAACATGTTTCCATTGCATTTCCCCTGAAAGTGTCATTTAAATATACAAAAGACTGCAATTTTTGGGAGGGTTTACTACATGTAATTGGATTTGGAGTTAGAAACCTCATGTACAATTTTGTTTTACTATGGGGTAAGTTTTTATTAAAGAAATAAGTGCATGTGTTTTGATGATATGATAAACTGTCAAAAGTGATGCAAAAAAACTTTTGGAATTAATTTCGCATTTCGAATAGTGTATATTCTGACTATTGAATATTCAACATGTCCAATAAGCATTTTAAAAAATCAGATTTCAAAAATGCTGTTAAAATCATGAAGAATATATCATATATATATATATGTTTAGGACATACTTTTCCATGATGTGTTTAATGCTCCATACAATGTGTGGACCTAAAACCCGACAGTACATCAACCATTCTCTATTCCTGTGAGGCTCCTAAAGGAAATCCTAAAACTGACTACTTTTCCTTTTTTACTACTGAACAATATTGACACATGTATCAACTTTCCGAATGTAATAATTACAATTTGTTATTGATTGTATCGTATCTTGCTTAACATTTTTAAATAAAAAAAATTGGAGAGTTCCATTTAAAAATAGTCTATATATACTATTACAACTAAAGGAGAGGCCAGCATTTTGACCAGAAATCACACAGATATATGGCATTTTTACAAACCCTGCAAGTCTGCAGAAAATAATTACATGTTCATTACAAGGATTCAAACTTGGAATCACGTTTTTACATACCCGAAATGTGTCTTATCTTCTATCAGCTGTTTTCACCAGAAATAATGGACATTCATTCTTCTATCCCGTGGAAAAAAGATCCGCCGTAAAAACGTATGTTTAGAACTTTTGAATCTTTTTTACCATTCGTTTGAAAGGAGTCAACAAACTAAATATACTTGTTCTAAGCATAATTCAACTGTGATTAATGCATCTATCCACAAAAGAAATATGCACATGATGACGACGTGTTCCGTGGAATGATATGTCCGAGGAAACTCGAGCAAGAAACATGACGTTTTTTCCTGTTTTCGAAAGAGTGGGAATAAAATCGCGTTTTGTCATTAATTAACCATTGCGATGCAACAAATAAAATGATTAAGTTGTATAACCTAATGACCATGACTTGAAAATGTCTTGTTTTGATTTTATTACAGTCATATTTATTCTAACAAGAGGCCCATGGGCCACATCGCTCACCTGAGTAACTTTGGCCATGCTGTTCTTTATCAGATTTCCCCCCTTTTAATATACCTATCGTGGCTCCACCCTACCCCCGGGGGTCATGATTTGAACAATTTAGAATCTACACTACTTCAGGATGCTTCCAAATATGTCTCAGCTTTATTGGTCCAGTGGTTCTTGAAAAGAAGATTTTTAAAGATTTTTCTTATATATTTCAATGTAAAACTTGGATTCCTTATTGTGGCCCGCCCTACCCCCGGGGGTCAAGATTTGAACAATTTATAATCTACACTACCCCAGGATGCTTCCATATAAGTTTCAGTATTTCTGGCCCTGTGGTTCTTGAGAAGAAGATTTTTCAAGATTTTTCTTATGTATTTCAATGTAAAACTTGGATTCCCTATTGTGGCCCCGCCCTACCCCCGGGGCTCATGATTTGAACAATTTAGATTCTACACTACCCCAGGATGCTTCAATATAAGTTTCAGCTTTTCTGGCCCTGTGGTTCTTGAGAAGAAGATTTTTCAAGATTTTTCTTATGTATTTCAATGTAAAACTTGGATTCCCTATTGTGGCCCCGCCCTACCCCCGGGGGGTCATGATTTTAACAATTTAGAATCTACACTACCCCAGGATGCTTCCATATAAGTTTCAGCTTTTCTGGCCCTGTGGTTCTTGAGAAGAAGATTTTTCAAGATTTTTCCTAAATATTTCAATGTAAAACTTGGATTCCCTATTGTGGCCCCGCCCTACCCCCAGGGGTCATGATTTTAACAATTTAGAATCTACACTACCCCAGGATGCTTCCATATAAGTTTCAGCTTTTCTGGCCCTGTGGTTCTTGAGAAGAAGATTTTTCAAGATTTTTCTTATGTATTTCAATGTAAAACTTGGATTCCCTATTGTGGCCCCGCCCTACCCCCGGGGGTCATGATTTTAACAATTTAGAATCTACAATATCTCAGGATGCTTCCACATAAGTTTCAGCTTTTCTGGCCCAGTGGTTCTTGAGAAGAAGATTTTTTAATGACCCCACCCTATTTTTGTCTTTTCTTGATTCTCTTTACCCAAGGATACTTTGTACCAAGTTTGGTTAAAATTGGCCCAGTGGTTCTTGAGAAGAAGTTGAAAATGTGAAAAGTTTACAGACGGACGGACAGACGGACAGACGGACGGACGACGGACAACGGGTGATCAGAAAAGCTCACTTGAGCTTTCAGCTCAGGTGAGCTAAAAACAGTTATTTGAACACTGTGTGACAGAGTAATGGCGGATATCATGTGCACATGGCTTCAGGGAGACCACCATATGAACAAAACAAATTTTCAAGAATTATGGACAATGACAAGAAAAAAGCAAAACTAATCGTTGTAGCCATATTATTAATGAACCGAACCGACATCATTCTCATTGCATTTTTCATCTCCTGAATGCTGCAGCTGCGCAGTTCTAACGTGGTTAATTTTCCATAAATGCAAACAATAGAAAAACAATATTTACTAATTTTGGTCTCTAACAGTAGATAATAAGTGCATCAGCTTTGAGTTACTTTGAGATAGGTTGGTACTTGTTTAAGCGCATTCTTGGTATTTCTTATTTTCGACCAGAATACGAGGGGTGATCAAAAAGTTCGCGAACTTTCTCTATATTTATAATACGACAATTCAGATCAGAATGAAATTTGGCACACATATAGTCATACACATGTTCTATAAATAGCAGATGTTATGTTTGTTTTGCTCCATGTTTGTGATGTCATAATGTGAAAATGACGTCACGATGTAGATGACTTATGACAAAAAATGGGTGACTCAGTCGCACTCGAGCAATGAACGGCTGTAAATTTGAACGTATACCTTGGAAATTCCTTTGCAGTAGCATACAATAATTTTGTTCAAGGTTTATGAAGACAAAAGACTTGCCGGAAGTTCAATCATTAATTGGATTGTTTGATTTAGTAATATCTCTGAAAAGTCCAGGGTGTCCGGACAACTCCTCTCCCGGACCGTTACCCCAAAAGTGAACAATGTGTTTTGTCACTTTTGTCTTTTTGTATAGATCTGAAGCAGTCGGGCATGTCCAAGGAGGATTTTTGGTAGCATGCCTGATACAATGTATGTATACTTTTGGTAGCATGCGTTATGTGTATTTTTGGTAGCATGCGTGATGGGTACTTTTGCAATCATATGCGTGATGTGTAATTTTGGTTGCATGATTGATGTGTACTTTTGGTACCATGCATGCTTGATGTGTACTTAAGGTTGCATGAGTGATGTGTACTTTTAGTTGCGTGTGTAATGTGTACTTTTGGTGGCATGCGTGATGTGTACTTTTCGAAGCATGCGTGCGTGATGAGTACTTATCGTAGCCTGCGTAATGTGTACTTTTGGTAGCATGTGCGTGATGTGTACTTTTGGTAGCATGAGTGATGTGTACTTTTGGTAGCAAGTGTGATGTGTTCTTTTCGTAGCATGCGTAGTGTGTGTACTTTTGGTAGCATTTTACATATAAAAGGTTTGACTGATCAGACTGGTCACCAGGAAGTACTCTTACTTTCGTTGAGTTTCAAATGAAAAAAATAAACGTGATGATGTGTCTGAACTACATGCAGAAAAATTATGAATGGCAGCAAAGTGAACCTTGTTTTATTCACTGAGTATGGGGTTATTATGTATAAGCCGTAAGAAATATAAAATTCTTAACTAATAAAAAGCAATCAGAAGACAACAATATTAGATTGATAAATACATACACGTGATGTTTTGTGCATTTATCTTATTATTAATGTTTACATAGATTTTTTTTACAATCACCGGAATTCTTACAAAGAGCTACCGTTCCTTGAAACTTAAAGTAGTAGAATTAGTCCAGCAGAAATCCTATGTACAACACAAATGACTTCAAAACCAATCACAGGAAATGGTCAGTTAAAATCTGTTGGTTTTTCAACTAAATAAGCTGACTTGATTTAAAACTTTATGTATTGGACATGTCCTGTATTTTTTGTCTTTACTTACACCCTTTTCTGTGTCCTTGTGCTGGGCCTCCAGGAGGTGAATATGGCGGAGGGAATTCCGAGAAGCCCTACAGAGAAATACAAAAAAAACTTTATTTGGTGGTAAACTACGGTTTTTGTTCCAATGACCTTGACGCTTGACCAACTTTTTAAAAATATACATTTGCTTATATCCTTTGATCGAGGAAAGGTAGGGTTTTCATATTAGACATGTGCATTACCTTATTTACCTATGACAATATGTTTCCGAGTATGATATGATTTTTGACCCCTTGACCTTGACCTTCATGTTTGACCTAATTTTCAAAAAAATTAACTTTGATGATTAATTGTGAACAATATAAGATAGGCCATTTACATTTGAAAAAACACCATTCAGTCGACGAAATGGTAGCTGAATGCTCACTCAATGGCTACTGAAAGGTCACTGAAAAGATATTCTCCCGTGACTTTTCCGTGATCTTTCAGTTACCATTCAGTCGACTGAATGGCAGATATATATCATTGGCCTTTCAGTTATCTTTCAGTTGTATCTTTTCATTGAAAAATCGGCTTATTTTTTTACTTAGAAATTTTTTTTCACGTTTTCTTATTACAATGATATTAAACTAATCTATTATTGAATTTTAAAAAAATGAAAAAAAAGTTAATGTAAAAAAGAAAATTCTTGTAGAGAGCCAAGGTCAAACCGCATCCTCCCGCTTGATAGTCTGTGACTTTATCCATTACGCCACGGCGACTTGATGAATGATACATGATTTAAAATCAATAAATGTGTAGAAATCGAATTGGGACATCAGTTCATCTGTTGTATCGAGGAGCTTGGCAATGATATTTGTCACCGTGATGTTGACCTTCATGTTTGACTTAATTTTCAAACATTTCATTATTGTTGCTAACAGCATCTCTCATCCACTAAGACACCGAAGTCTGGGGAACACAATACATCAGATTTGCTTGTTTTTCTCTACTTTCAATTTATCCTTACTCTAACTCTTTCTACGCTAAGCTTACCCTTCTCCTACGGCTGTGCCCAAGCTCTCCAAGTGGGATGTTTAGATTCTGTGCCGGCTTGTGAGGATTGGTACTAGGAGTATGATAAGAAAATACTTTTATGAAGATTCCCATTGATACAATCGCTACAATCCCTATCAGAATAGTGGCCCACCAATGTTCCTAAAAAGAATTATTAAACAATAATAATTGAAGTATATATACATATAAAATGTCCTCCATCATTCATTCTTATAAAATGTATTTAAGGTCAGACGACACGTTCCTCATTAATATATAATTTTTCCCAAGACTTTGTCATTGAAGTACTGCTACTTTACCAAGTTTCCTCACAAGTTGAGGTACCTTACCAGACATTTGTGCAAGATACCAGAGGATGATGTTTCCTATATAATCTTTTTGGTAATCGTTTGAATTGCAAATATTACAATTTTAATGTACTTATTATTTACGAAACTTTGAAAACAATTTAGAAATCACAAGTGAATGACAATTATGAATAATTTTTTATATATTACGAAGAAATACAAAACAGATATTTGAGGAACGTGTCGTCAGACCTTAACGAAACCGAAAGCCAGTAAAACAGATAAAGTTTAAATGCAAAAAAAACATGAAGGAAAAAAATAAACAGACTTAGCTAATTAAAGCAGATGCATTATTTCATATATTCTTAATGTTGTTTGTACATGTATTTGTACAGTGTCCAATATTAATGAATGCTTACAAAATGCTGTTACTTGTACTTACTGTAATCCAGCTTTTGATGGTTAATGTCACCTCACTAAACAAGAGGTTTGTCAATCTTCTTAAGGGGCCTTCGTCACTCGCTCCTCGGCATCGATGAAATACGTCACAAATACCCTGGTAATCATTGCAGACTGTTCCTAAATATCAGGAATATGTACATGTATTTAAACTTCAAAGTACAATGTACATGTATTCTTCGGAAAAAAGACAAAAAAATTACTGATTAACAATCCAGAAAAAAAATACATGCAAAATATGAATTCAAATTCTTTATTTCACCCTCTCTCTCTCCCTTCCTGTCTATCTCTCTCTCTCTCTCTCTCTCTCTCTCTCTCTCTCTCTGTGTGTGTGTGTGTGTGTGTGTGTGTATGTGTGAATCTGTCTGTCCTCTGTCCCCTCTCGTTTTCTTTGTTTTTGTCTTATTCTCTCTCCCTCTCTCTCTCGTTTTGTGTAAGTACGTCCTCTACCTTTCTTCTCTGTTTCCCTTCCCTTTATGAATTTTACCTGCTGGCATTCTCACTCCACGCGAGGACCCCATGAAAGCCTTGAATTCTCTAGCTTCCAAAGCGTCTAGATTGCCATTTGATGCATAGCAGTGAGTGGAACCTTTCCTTCCTAAGTAAACAGTGGAACGTGTTGTTTGAAAGATAAACGCGGAAGCCTAGTATCAGGTGAATGCAATTATCAATGTTTTATTTGATAGAAAAGACAGGAATCTCCAAACCCTAACCCTAACCCACACTTAAAATACAATCGCCGGTAAAAGAAACATGAAAATTAGGAGTATAAAAGACATATACGGGTTTAAAAATATCATTATCATCTTATTGAATTTTCTACTCTGAATTAAATCAATCGTATCTGCTTATCTGTTATCCCTTTAAACTAAATTATCATTGAGTGAGTAACTTAAGAAAGACTTACTACAAGCCAAATAACACAGGTCCACTCTGTCCTGTACTGTGAGCTTTCCTGTCTTTGTGATGAAGCATTGCTCCCACCTTGAAGTACTATCACCAGAACCATTAATTCTTAAGCAAAGGGACCCGGAACAGGACTGAAATAGCAAAAGTATTCGATGAAGTCATGCGCTGAGAAACAATTTGATAAGTCTACCAAACTGACAAGAATCTGTTGTTGGAATAACTAATTGTATAGCGATTGACTAATGACAGGTTTTACTTAATCAGTTAGTGTAAGAGAAAAAAAGATTGCCCGATGATTAACTTATAAAATTGTAAGTCATTTTAAGAAATAACCTTTTGTTTAATGATCGGCTAACGGTTGTGAGATACATGGGTCATTCGATAGCAATTATTGTAGATCAATATATTTTTGCAAAACCTTTTTTCGCGATTAAGCTCTTTATTTTTCTAGGGATACAAATTTTTCGAGAGCTGTGGTTTCTTTGTGGTTTCCACATCAATAGCTACATTCCATGTCATTAAAACATATTTGCTTTTAGTTTGCTACATAAGACAGAGAAGCTGCCAAGGTAATATTAGTTATCCAGGTTCAATCAGGGTTGTACGGGGATTCACCCCGGGCTGTTTTCCATACGCCGTGAGGCTGAATGATGTATGGAATACATACATCGGTTAATATGATTGAACCTTGATAACGAATTCATTTCCTATGTAACCAAATAAATTTTTTGTATACCCAATTCTGATCATTGTATCTCGAACTATCCATAAGACTAACTGCATGCTACAAACTACGTATTGTGACATCAAATTGATAATGCCTGGCTCACTTCCCGTCTACAGAAATTTACATCCGGTGTAACGACGTACGGGGGTCACTTTTTGTCGTTACACCGGCTTGCTAACCAATCAGATTTTGTGTAACAAGCTGGTTAGGAAATAAATATATTTTTACCTACCCCATTAAGACAAACTTGGGAGAAATCATCACAGTAGGTTAGGTCTGGTTCCTTTTCTGGTGCAGGACAAGTTGGAGAATTCCCCGTAATCAATTATTAAGAAAACACTGATAAATTATTAGAATGCTTATCAACATGTTTATGTATTTGAAGATATTTCGAACATTGACAAACTTTATAGATGTAAAGTTTACAGATGGTAATACTTTGAATATATGATATCAAAACATTGTGTATTAAAGGATATACACAATTTTGAGCCTTCATACATGCTGTTGAAAGTCGACACTGTTTGTCGCTGGCCAAAAACTCACATTCTGATGAACAACAAGCTCCTTGAGTAGGGCTGTGATTAAAGGAAAGAGGAATATGTAGTCAAAGAGCAAAAATCAAATGAAGATCTAATACAGATAATGTTTTGATAATTTATTCTTTATATACTTCTCAAAATTTCTTAGTCCCATCCCTAACCGTAACTCTGAAAGAATTTTAAAATATTTACAAATCGTTTACGATAAGTTTTGAAATTCAAAATATCGTCTGTTAGCCTCACAACCAACACAATGGCACAAAAGAAATAGAAATCGTGGTCGTGATAAGCGGACCGCTAACCCGGTTTGTTTCAGTTGAAAAACTCGTGTTCGAATGATATTCTATACCTGTTTTTGGAACGTGAACTATTTATAACGTTCTTCGTACCTTGTTACAAATACAAAAACAGAATATAACTTCTATAAAATGCCGTTTATGTCAGTGGAAGAACGTTCAAGAGTAGTTGGCATGGTTCACACTTGGCGCAGTTTGAGAGAGGTTAACTTTTTTACAATATAAACACTAAATTTGCTCTCATTTTGGCATATAATTTTTTTTCAAAATAAAAGAACTAAATTTAATTTGTAATCATTGTTACAGTTTGAAAGTTATTTAAACAGAGACCATAAGACAACCCAGAAACCTGTCAAAAATTCTACGGAACCAGAAGTGTGAGAATTTTACGAGGAAGACCCAAACGGCTCGAGACGACCCGTCAACAGGACCAGTACCCATTTGCGGGACAGGCTCATGACGGCACAAGCAACTGCAAGACATACAATGTTACACATGAAAGTCCTCTTAGTTACCAGACGTTAAGGACAAGTCTTAAGGAGGCAGGGGTAAGGACACGAAGGCCTTATGTAGGGTTGGGGCTGTCTGCAAGACAAAGTCAACAGCACTTAGCAAGGGCAAGACATCCTCTTAAGTCTACACCGGCGGACGTGGGTCAGGTTCTTTTTACAGACGAGTCCAGATTCAAGCTGAGAAGATCAGATGCTCGTTCCTGAGTCTTCTGGAGAAGAGGTGAACGTTACACAGATGCATGTGAGATGGGACGAGGACAGTTTGGAGGGGATTCTGTCATGGTTTAGGCAGGGATATCTTACTAAAGTAAAAATAGAATGTGCCATTCCATCAGAACCTAACCGCTGTGAGGTATCAGAATCTTCTACTCCAGGGAGTAATATCCAGGCAAATCGTGAAATAATTCAAATGCAGGATAATGCAACTCTCCATACAGCTAGAACGGCCAAACAGATGCTACATCAACACAACATCAGGGAACTTAACAGTCCCGATCTGAATCCAATTGAGAATGTATGGGAAGAAATTGACCAAAAATTAGGCAATTTTCGTAGCCACAGAATCTAACGGGAAAAACCTCTGCACAATTATGTAAATTCTGTGAGGAGTAGATTTCAAGCAGTTATTCGAGCTAATTGGGGGCACTTAAGATATTAATTGAGACTTTTATTTTGAAAATTACTAATTGCTTTTATTTACACGATGCAAAAGACGATAAAGAAATAATGATTTTTCTGCAGAATGAGAGGTTATTCTCTATGTCAAACAAACTCAGGTTGAAATAAAACGATAGAAAACAGTGAGTGATGGAAACCAAGATAGGGACTTAGAATTTCTGACTAGTATAGGTTTACCTGCAAACATATTTCTGATTGCTAAGTTGGTTGATTTTCAGTGTACACGCATTACTGTCAGGGCCACTTGTTTGTTGTGGATTACAGCATTTATCTGTACAGTCTGAATCATACCCACAATCACACTCCTCCCCCTCCTCAACAATTCCATTACCACAGAACGCCATGTTGGACTCTATAATATAACACAGAACGCCATGTTGGACTCTGTAATATATAACACTAAAATAACACAGAACGCCATGTTGGACTCTCGAATATATACAGTAAAACTCGGTTATAGCAAAGTCTTGGGGACCTGAAAAATTACTTTGCTATATCAGAAGAACAAATCTTTTTAAGTTTATAAAGCAAATAAAAAAAAAATTTCCTTCAAGTATGACTACCAAATGCATTTTGGGCAGTATCAATTACAAAGGTTGCCCTAGAGTTAAAAAACAATTCGGACGAATTGAATTTCAGATCCCAGCTATGAAATTTATGAGGTCCGCGTTTGCTCTATTCCATAATTCATATTGTTTAATGGACTTCTGAGCTTGAATACTGTTCGTTGTCTCAGTATATTTCATCTTTTAGAATTTGTTATAAAAGATGTAAATTTCGTTATTTTTAAACTCTAGGGGACACAAAATCAGTTCGTTATAACCGTAAATTCGTGATATCCGAGTTCATTTTATCCGTAATAAATTTACAAGGAATTGCTAAGAATTTTTCCGGTGATTCCGAAAAACTTCGCTATACCTGTAAATTTGCTATATCCGTGTTCGTACAAAACAAGATTTACTGTAATATTAATATAACCACAGAAGGCCATGTTGGACTCTGTAATATATAATACTAATATAACACAGAACGCCATGTTGGACTCTTCACTAATACAACACAGAACGCCATGTTGGACTCTGTAATATATAACACTAATATAACACAGAACGCCATGTTGGACTCTGTAATATATAACACTGATATAACACAGAAGCCATGTTGGACTCTGTAATATATAACACTAATATAACACAGAAGGCCATGTTGGACTCTGTAATATATCACACTAATTTAACTACAGAACGCCATGTTGGACACTGTAATATATCACACGAATATAACCACAGAACGCCATGTTGGACTCTGTAATATATAACACTGATATAACACAGAACGCCATGTTGGACTCTGTAATATATAACACTAATATAACACAGAAGGCCATGTTGGACTCTGTAATATATAACACTAATATAACACAGAATGTCATGTTGGACTTTGTAAAATGAAATTAAAGGGCAGTAATGAATGTAAGAGGTTTAAATTAAATAAAAGAAATTGAAAGATGAGAAACCCTTGAAAACGGCTAAAAAAGAATCTGCTGTCAACCTATCACATCCACCGTGTGTCCATTGTCGTGTTTGGGTAAACGGAGTAATTGTAGACAATCCGGTATGAAAATAATAGCCTGTCTGTGTTATGACATCCTTTGTGGTACTTTGGAACATGTTGTTGTGTATCGAATAAAATGGGGCACAGACTCCATATGCAGGTGATATAGGTGCTTTTATATTGCCACGTACGTAAGTGATGTTGACAATGAAAAAGATATCATCACGACGTATGTGACCGTTCTACAGGGGATGCTTACTCCTCCATGGCACCGGATCACACCACTGATATTTATTTGATCCACTAATTCTATTGTTCTAGTAGACTCATGTGTTTGATAAGTGTTCGCAATCTTCATATTTCTTCATTATATTAAGATTTAGTTTACGACCCCCCATCCCCACCCCCGCCCCCCCCCCCCCACCCCCACAACCAAATGGTAAAATATCAAAATCTGAAAAATGTGATTATTTACTTTGATTCTATTGCTACTGGAGTATATATCAAATAAATGAATAAATGAAGATAAAATTGTGAATCCAAAATCGTGATAAAAGTTTATGTTGTATTTTGAATCAAAGGAAGGGTTTTCTCACTTTCTTGTAAACGATTCTTAGCAATAAATTTTGCTTACCAAGAATACAAAAAAGTCATCTAATAATTGGGCACAATTTGCAATTCCAGCAGATTGACCTTGTCCCCATATACTAAATGTATTTGTCAGCGATGAACTCGGACATTGTTTCAAATATCAACTACAGAATACGTGAATGAACATTTATACAAAGTAATTTTGTATATGCCCAATGATTTCCAAGTTCTGGATTTAAAGAGGAGAGCTATCTGTCAAGGATCTAATTCATAGAAAGGTTTGATAAAATAAAGTGTTGAAAGCAATAATTTTGTTGCTTTGTATTGCTTTGTATTTTTGAAGAATTTCAATATAATTTTACATTTAGTTTTACATAATGCAATAAAAATGTGGAACATGACTCAAATTTGCTCGAAAAACCGCATATTTTTAAGACAGTACCTTTCATTAAGTTTAAAAAAGTGAAGAAAAGTTACTGAACCTTTTTACTCACGTGTAAAGCAGTTGTACTTTCCATTAATTTGATTCACAACAGCAGTAATGACGTCAGTAAAGCTTTTTTTGCTACAGCTTGAGAAATCGTCGTTGTCTGGCAGGTTTCCGTTTGTGGCGCTTGCAAACATGATATAATTCCCCCGAGCAGGCGTTGACTGGGCACATGCTTTATCGTTGTCATGCTAAACAGAATACTGTAAATCAGTAGTTTTTTTTTTTTTTTTTTTTTTTTTGGTTTTACTGTAAATCAGAAGTTTTTTTATTTTACAGTTAAACCAGTAGTATTTTATTTTACTGTAAATCTGACCAAGGGGGCATGAAACTCACAATTTTTGAAATGGCACCCTTGCTCATCATAACCATGTACGTAGTTCATCGGCCCAATACCCAGGAGCAGAGGAGAAATTTTTTAAAGAAATAATGTATTTTCGATATATATAATCATTAGAGCCCGCCTAAACTCCAGAGCCCCTGATCCAGGAACAATAAAATTCTGGAAGACAGCATTCCTCATCATTACTACATGTATGTACTTAGTTCATCAGCTTATAATACCCATGACTAGAGGAGAAGTTTTTTTTTTAAAGAAATAATGCTTTTTAACTATATATTCAACAGATCCTTGCCCTAACACCAAAACCCCTCACCCTGGGGTCATGAATTTCACAATTTTTGTAGAGGGTTCAATGCTTATTACAATCATGCCAACAGGATGACTGCTTGATGTCAATGAGTAAAGAAGAAACCTTTTTAAAACAATATCTTATCATGAATAATCATAATAGGATTGGTCAACAGGCACTGCCTATATAAGTCCTCTCTTTCTGAATATCTGAGAAGATTTCAATGATTGCATTAGTTTTGATAATTTAAGCTCCACCTCTCAAGCCCCAGGGGATAGGGGCCATAGATATCACAATTTTTACGATATAATAATTGGAATACCTGCATCCCTGACACAGGGGCCATGAAACTCACAATTTTCGAACCCCCCCCCCCCCCCTGCTCATCATAACCACGTACGTAAGTCATCTGCTTTACACTCAGGAGCAAAGGATAAGATTTTGAAAGAATTAATGTTTTTCACTATATAATCATTCGAACCCACCCTAACACTAAAGCCCCTGACCCAGGGATAATGAAATTCACAATTTTTAATGAATATCATAATTTTTACTCCCCTTCACTTATTGATGCTATGGATGAAATTGGTTTAGCCCTTTCAGAGAAGAAGCTGAAAATGCACAAATGTTAACACACGACGGACGACGCAGGACGACGGACTCAGGTGACCTTAAAATATCAGACAGATAACAAAGATTCCCATCCATTAGATTAAATGTTGAATCCCAAGAACTCAAAAGAGCTAAATACATAGGAATGGTTCTGCCTTAGTGTTTAATGGACTTTTTTGATTTGTATGTTGTTTAACGTTCCTCTCGAGAACTTTTCACTCAAATGGAGACGCCACCACTTGCCGGTGGAGAGCTGCAAATTTTGACCTATGTTCAGCATTCAGGGCCTTTGAGCATTGAGAGATCTTTATCGTGCTAGCACCTACTGCGACATGAGACCTCGGCTTATGCGTTCTAATCCGAAGGACGGGTCTCCACGTCCCACAGTTGGATTCGAACACGCTGAGAGAAATTAATTTCAATTTCGTAAAAGCATTAAAACGTTTTTAAAAACTAATGATGGCATTCACGATGTGTTTAATTTCGCGGATAAATGATAAATCGCGAACATACTGAAATTAAACCCATCGTGATTATTTTCCAATCTACAGTAATTACAGGAGAGCCGAAGTTGTGTCCGACTTCATGAGCAAATGTGAGCTCTGAGATACGTGGTGGGACACGTTTGCCGTAGTTGAGTAGGGAAACCACTCCTGTGTTCAGGCTTTTCTTGATTTCAGTGGCACCTTCTCTGTACGATTTGTATCTCGCACAAACGCCTCCTGATGATGCTACAATTAAAGAGAATTGTATATGATATAAATACAAATACAATTTCTTATTAAGTCAATTGCTGACTGACTTTTTTCCCAAACTAATTGTTAGGCTATTATTTACAAACTGAATTAACGGTTTTTCCCGTTGTTTCCCGATCGTGACAGGGGGCGCACGGCGGGTGTAACTGGTTGACAGGAGATGATCACTCCTCCACGGCACCTGGTCCCACCTCTGATGTTTTGGAGGTCTGTGCTTGCTCTGCTCCAGATTTGTTTTGTTTAAAGAACTTTTGAGCTTGAATACTGTTCGTTATCTCCATATATTTCATGATCTTTAAAATACCGTATAGAGTGATTCTATAGAGGGTGCAAAATTTGGCGTTTTACTTTCTCAAAGGTATCCTAATAATCTTGGCGGAATTTTTTTTTGGGGGGGGGGGACACATAGTTCCGTGACTCTGCAAAAGCGAGGAAATTCATATTTAAGATAGTTTTCACTACATTTAATATTCATTTTAACTTTGCTTTTTGAAAGCAGAATTTCAATCCAATGTTTTCTCGTGTGTCCGCGTCAAATTAATGGCGGACCTCCGAAAAAACACTTAATGGAATTCAATGTTTGCTCAGTCGTCCGTATTGAGTTTATAGCGGACGTTTTAGTAAACATTGGAATGAAATTCTTCTTTACAGTTGAATTTCAATCAACTTTGCTATTCTCTTCGGCAAAGCGTTAATGAATCCCCAAGAGGACAAAAATATTATTTTAATTTCTATCTTATATACAACTAATACAATATGACTTTTCCATCCAATTTCTAAAAGAAATTAATGACGTTCACGGGGCTAATTTGACAAATAAGGACATGAGAGATGGCGTTTTTGGAAATGACTAAACCGTCTACGAAAATATGTCCTCCAAAGGCAATAAAATAAGTAAGCTGACATTGAATTCATGACATTGAAATGGGCCTTCAGTCATCTGATTTGTGAGTATCTGTAAGACATTCCAACTCTTTCCTAGCAAAAAAAATTGAGTTCATGAGTATCCCTCCTCCCTGTTTTGTTTATGTTCCTGGTCATCTCAGAAAAAATAATCTGTCTGCAATGACATAAAAAGAAAAATATCTTAGTCAATATTCACAGGTTTTCTCTCCTTTTTCATGATAAAATGGCTATTCCAAAAAGACATAATTACATTTGCTTGTATTTAAAACATTAGATGGAAAATTCTGAAATTACTTGTCTATTATTTACATTATGCGTATGAGAATAGCTTTTTTGGACTAAAATGAACAATAATTTTAATCAAAAGTTTTCTCAAACGTCTGCGTTGAATTCACCCCACCTTTTTCATTGTGATACTTTCACTAATAAGTATTTCTTTTAAAGTACGTATTCCCATGTGTGTCACTATTACTAGCATACATGTATATAATTCTTTTTACTTGCATCCAATAATACAAGGATGAAGAATAGGAGGGAGACCTCTCGTTGTTCGCAACGAGTTTCTAGTGATTATTATATTTCGTAAACTGGGGATACGATTTTTTTTCTTTACAGTGGAGCTCCATTGCTGATAAATATTTAGTTTTACTCTACAGGGTATGCTTCTTTCTTATAGGAACCTGATCCCACCTCTGAAATTTCCAATGGGTCCGCGTTTCATGCCCTGTTCAAGAGTTGTGTGTTGTTTGTTGATTTTCTTGATATCGACCATTGTTTGATATCTTTACTTTTTTGTAGTTAAGAGTTCAACTAAATGTTTTACCATCTAAGTTCGTTACACGTATTCTCCGGGTTTTTCTTTTTCATTTTCTATGATTTGCAAGGATATAAGTATTGATTGCATACTGTTTCATGAAGTTTAGAACTATATTACTACTTTGCGTTTAGAAAAAAAAGCATGTTTCAAAAACCATGTCAAATTGTTTATAGTGTACTTTGAATTGAATTTTTAAGGTATTAAGAGGGTTATATAATACATTATAACTTCTTAAGAGTTTCCTTCAAAATATTTCGTATAATTTGATATTTTGTTACACCTGTAAATCCAATTTGATTTTATTCTCTCTATACCTCTGCACAAAACGCAGTCGACAAAAAAATCACTTCCGTGTTTACAATACAAGACTTTGACGTCGTTTTTTCGAAATAAGTCAGAATTCACCATGGTTCGGACAATATTCACCATGCATCGGATATACGGTATTTTGAACCGAAAAAAAATATCATACCTTAAATTAGTGATGTCGAAATTTTTTTTATCTTTTATTTAAAAATTGACCTTAAAGTAAACTAAGAATGACTAGTTCGATCCACAAATGTGAAGTGATTTTAGGTGCATCACATCGCCTTAGAAAGGCTTTACAATGCTAGTAATATGCCAACTCGCGCCTTTGTCACGTGGGTTATCATCATCTAGTTTAAAATAATAAAGTGAGTCCACTTCTAGTCGATATATATCGATAACTTGTATTTACACTGAAAATTTAGAGTTTTTATTTTCTATTTCCGCTAAAACAGCTGTCATTAGGGTTTTATATGAAAATGGAAGTGATTACCCATGCATCGGAAAGTGTCCGATGCATGGGTTAATTTGTGTCCGATGTACGGTGAAATAAACATAGTTGTAAAAAAAAACTCTAATAAAAAATATTATACAAACATTGAAGTAACATTTTTGAAGAATTTCTTTAAAATTATCAATCATTGACAAATTTTACGTAGGTCCGACTCGTTCCGTTGAAGTCTAATTAAAATAACAACTCTAAAAAATTGCAAAATCGTAAAATTCTGGTTACCCCCCTTTGATGATGCAAAATATGACGTAATTTCAAGGCTATTCTTGTGGTATTTTTATCACAACATGAAAATAAAAATCAGCATCATTAAAAAGTTTAAATCTTCACCTTTAAGACAGAAACAAGTAAAAACACGGGGAGACTCAGGTTCAATGTAAGTTTATTGCTTAAAGTTGTCCGAAGCAAGGTATGTGTCCGATGCATGGTTAACTCACCCTAAGTAGCATTTTTACTAATTAGTACATTGCAAATGTATTTACTCAAGTTTATGTGTCAATATTAATAATATATCCGAACGCTACATTGAACTCATTGTCAGATAGACAGATAGATCGCTTAATAGCGATATCAATATAGCATGCAAAGCTAAATATATATTTCTTGTTTGAGCAATTTGCAAATGCTTATATTTGGTTTATACATGAATGCATTAATTAGTCTTAATTCTTCAAGGTAGTTTACATACATTTATATTTTTTTCACAGAGTACTCAATGTACATATACATGCACGCGTTTTTAAAAATTAGTGCTTCCTTTAAAATAAACCTTAAAATGTAGTTACATCGCAGGTATAAGGCAGTACCCAGATCATATTTCGGCGAATTTAGACTTTTTTCGTAAAATGTAACATTGATAAATCGGAAAAGCCATAGATAAAACATTTACTATAATTATCCATTGTATAGACGTCATTCAGTTTTAGGCTAAAAGAGGCACTCCACTACGACGTCATCACGTGACGTCTATAAATAGAAAAATTGCCTTAATGAAAAAGTAAAAAGTTCAACACTACCCCGGGGATAATTCAGTTCTTTTTGTGAAAATAATTATGCAAAAACACCACTGGATCATGAAAAGTGCTGCTTGAATCCTACTCTCCCGACACAGAAAAAATTATTCCAAAGTTTCGCATGAAACCTTACCAAAATTATTACATTTTGTACAAACGATCAAGGGATTGTCATCAATTTATGTTAATCACACGATTCTAGCAGCACTTTCCAAGTACTATAGAATACAAGCTTTCGATACAAACAAAAATTATGTCACAAAGTATGCCGCGTAGTGTTGAACTTTTGCAACTTTGTTGGTATAGAACGACAGAGGAAAGGCTGATCGGGATTTTAAAGCACTGCCTGTGTTCATTTTAAGAAAACATGATTAGAATATATCAGCGTACCTGATTCTTAATCTTTAATTCCTTATGAATCACACATGACATTCATGGTATATGCTTGAAAACTCCCATTTTACATATTTGTTTACATGAATTCTCGTCACGTTTAATTTTCACTCGGCAAATATTTGATCAATAGTTATGACGTCATGGGTTTGGTATTTAACCCCCGTGATAAATACTTAACTGTTTATACCACCCCAAAACGACATGATTTTGTTTATATTATGTTTTTGAATGATTCCATTCATTTTTTGGACCTGAAATTAAACTTTGAATATAGATATTAAGAAATCATTATTTCTAAACTTCACGTCATACAGCTCACTATGACGTCATATTGTTGAGGCAAGTCGTATATCTCTGGGTGTAGCCTTAACATACCCGCGATATTCTAATTTTATTCAATAGTTCATCGTATCGATAAGCACAGTTAGACCAGTTCAGGCATGTGGCGTTATTTTCCGAAAGGGGAAGGGAGGGGGCTATAATTGACAGCCCAAAAAGTCTCCAAATTAGAAAGACACAGGTTCAAAGTTCTAAAAAGAGAACCCTTTTTTTTAAATGCATAGATACTGTTATATAAGAGATTTGAACCTATTACAACAATTGAAGAGATGGGGTGTCTGTGTGTGGCAAACTGCCTTTTAATAAATTATTCCGTATTTAAAATTAACAGGATGAGAATATTCTCAGTGAATAAAAGGATCACTTTGATTCTACTGATAAATGGTTAAAGAAAAGTGTTGTGCCTACATGTATGTCTCTGGCAAAAATATAGGTTTTGATATCTCGCATAATTTAAAACTATTACATGTGTATATAGCATAATAACTTAAAGGACCTATCGCATGTTTCCAAATCATTTGAAATTAAAAGCGTAAAGTGTTCCTTATCACCACAGTTAATAAATTTTGTGCTTTTATAGGGGATAAACCGCGGTAATTATTGACTCAAATGAAAACCCTTGAGTTAAAAATCTAAGTTAATTAGATAGTGATCACGTGACCCTGTGACTTCAAAGGCGACAATGGCTGATTAGCTCTTCACGTTAATCTTACTAAAATATATGCGATACAACCTGAATTTCCGCGTTGTAGACGACGAAATCACTGATTTTATCGATGTAAAATTAAATATCCGACCTTATATTTTAAAATTGTTTGCAAGAAAAAATATGAAAAATCTGTTAACATTATAAAAATAGCAGCGACGATTGTGAGGGAGACACGGCGAAGGAAACTCGCCATCACAATACAATTTGATTTGTCATTTTATCACATGTATTAACTTATTTGATTCAGAAATTCAATATTATATAACTTTGTTATTCTTCGTTTTTAACATTATATTAATTTATGCATGTATATATATATATGCCTTCATATGTTCTGTAAAGGATGGCGGTCTTGAAAAATAATTTTCCGATCACGAAAGATTATCGTAATCAGAGCTACAGACTCGAAATGTCTGGAATAAAAAAAAACGAAAATATCTCAAAAGCCTTAAACCTTAGAACTAGTTAATGTTTCTATAGTAATTGAAAAGCACGTTAGGAATTAATTTTTTCAGCATTTTTCGTAATTAAGCTGCATTTGTCGTTGTTAACTCCGTAAATAGTGTGCATATTCTCATCTCTCTATCACTGAATTGTCGCCTATGACGTCAGAACAGTACTTCGCCGAAATCCGACTGAAATATGTTTTTAAAAGCTTTTTGTATCTTTTCGCACAGATTTTCGTATCCATTGAATTACATTTAGTAAATTTAACATCGAAAACTAGTGAACGGTGTGATTTCTTGATCTTGGAAAGCATAAAACAACTGCGCAAAAGTGCAGATGAATCTTAAAATACGAAGCATATTAATAAAAAATGAAATAATAATAAAGATGCAGAAAAAATTATTCTCGGATAACAATTACTTTTGATTCTATTTTCTTTAATTTGTTCCGAGGAGAGCTTGAAATTTAGGTTGCATTTTGTTTAGGAATTAAATACAGTTAATGTGGAACCATCACCCCCACCAACCCCCCAGCCCCACCCATTCCGACCCCACCTCCAAGAGTATTACTCAATGTTAAAGGAAATACTGTTTATATCGACAGAAGTATACTTATTCTTATATGTATGTATGAAAGAAAAGAAACAATAGATTAGGCAGTCAAGAAATTATTTACTTCCGTTAAATGATATGAAATCTTTTGATAGAAAAAAAAGTATTAGTGACAAGTGGCTATGGGTGGGGTTTCATTCAAAATGATATAAAAATTTTCAAAATCATCAACCAAATAAACATCAATTGCAAGCTCAACAAAGACAATAAAGAATTCTGTATTATGGAGAAGATGAAAAATAAACACTACAGTTAAGCGAAAGAAAGAGAAGGATTTACATACAACTTTGTAGCTGCTGATCTTAAGCTAGTTGATCTGCATAAGGAAATTGGAATGGAAAAAGTGCATATTAATTGCACACAAAAAGTGCACTGTTTCTTGATTTATTTCTCTGCCAGCTCAAAATATTACAAACCCTGAAATCCTAACATGCATTATACTTTTAGTACATGATCATCTAGGAAATATGAGGATTAAATCATTCCCCGATGGCTTGCCCGAGGGGGATATAAATTTTATTGACTGGATAAATGTTCATAATAATAATAATGATCATGGAATGAATCGTTTGCGCTATTATACCAAAAAAGCCAAGAAAATAATCACAACCATTCAGTTTGGGCACCAGTTTTTCGTTAATACACAAAATACATGGTTTTATTTGGGATAGATTTCCCCTTTTTCCGGGACATCTGTGTATTTTTTTTATGTTTTAATGTACAGGTGCTTTATATATTTTTTTTAATTGAGCTAAAATATCAAATTTTAAAAATTGCCTATACAGTACACGCATCATATTTTCGTATTAATACAATTCCTTTCTAGAACATGTCTAGACCCCCCCCTTTTTTTTTTCGAAATTACTGGATCTGCCTGTGCAATTGTACGCATGTAACAACAAAGACAAAGACAACTTCAAGGTATATATTGACGATTATGAAGCTTAGAATAATATATATATATATATATATATATATATATATATATATATATATATATATATATATATATATATATATATATATATATATATATATATATATATATATGTGTGTGTATGTATGTATGTATGTATGTATGTATATATATATATATATATATATATATATATATATATATATATATATATATATATATATATATATATATATATATATATATATATATATATATATATATATATAACATGAATAATTGGAAACTGAATTTGACGTGCGCGACGTCATTACGTCCTCATTGAATAATGTCAAGGTCGTTTTGAAGCGCCTTTCTTAAATGATCATAAAATAATGAAAAAATGAGATATTTATAAAAGTGATGCATATTTATATTTAAAAAGAGTCGGGCTATCAAAATTTACAAAAAAAAAAGTCTATTTGTGAAATTTTGACCTTAAGGCCCTTTTCTCAATTTTCATTTTTGTTGAGCGCTTGTGTACAGATTTATTATGTGGAGGTTTTATAAACATAACTTTTACCTGTTGAAGATCCCAACCAGGCTAGCCCCAGTGTTCCTTCTAGAAAATCCCGATAGGTAAACGTATAGACCAGACAGAAGTCGTCGTGATTGGATAGAGATTGCTGATTTAGAAAGTTAACGACGTCTAGGTTCCCCTGACAAAACGCAGTCTTTTTTAAATCATTGTTACAGTTTTCCGTGCTGTCTGTCATAACCTAGAAAAATAATAATCTGGATGTTAATAATCATCAAAGGAAAACACAAAGCTCAGAAAAAAACAGTGTATAAAAAATTTTGTGTCAATAAAAGCTCAGATCAGATAAGGGTAAATTTACTTTTGATTAGAAGGCCTGAATTTTTTCCAAAACATAAATGCTCAAACCAAAAGAAAATTATGCAAACTTATTCCTGAAAAATAAATTATGATGAAGACATTTTTATGAATGAGACAAAACCTGTCAACCATAGATAACATAAGGTAAAATGGATCACTTGAGTATAGTAAGCTCATATTACATCACAGAGACGATTTTTACTAGGATGTTTTCTTCTTCATCGTAAATAATACCCTGTTTACAATATTAAATTTTGAAAAAAGGATATAGTGTCCCGATCCATTAGGTAAACTTTAATATTTTTTGGGAAGTAAAGTTTTTTCCTGTGTTAAACCTTTCAAGATTTGGAGGTTATCTGTAGTGATGGCAATCAACCCACCATATTTCAGCTTAAATAAATACTCTTTCACCTTAGGGAAATGGAAATTTAACAATAAGTGCAGACATTTAAACATTAAAAAACAAAAAGCAAACAAAGAAAGTCAGGACTTTTAGAATTGATTAAGGATGAAGACTGAACATTAAGCAGGCAGGCTTCAAAAAAGAAAACATAATGAGTTTCTGTAAATGTTATAAGAGAATTGCTTATATACATAATATCATAAAGTAAGCTTTTTAACATGAAGCTTTAAATCCTCTTAATATGAAAATTAATACATGCTATTTTACCGTAATCCGCTTGATTTGAAATTGAACGAAGCATGGGATTTTAGATGAGGATTTAAATCTTGTTCGTCGGAAAATTTCATTCAATGCGTTAACATGGCTGCTGAATAGTGATAAAATTTCGTCTCTCGCTGTGATTTTATTCTGAAAATAAATGGTTATAGCAACTTTCTGTACTGTGCATAAAAGATCTGTATGAAACAGGAGAACGATTTCATGTCATTTAAATTCTTCTGCAATATTCATTTTAAAAAAATTCTTAATCTTAAACAGATCTCAAGAGTAACACATTAAGAAATAAAATGTATACATTTATACGTGCATTTTTTGTAATGTCGAAATTGAATGAAATATATTTCTTAGGGACAAAAAGGAAAACATTAGTATTGAGATGAAATATATTGAGAATTGAAGCTTAAATAAAGTCAATTAAATTAGAGAATTATGCAGCTTGTTGGAGATATTCAAATTGAATAGGGAAAAATGAATGTTATAAGAGATACATACGTTCGACGATGAACGAAAGAATCATAAAAATATGACAGAGATTATAAAACAAAATATTTAAAATAAATCATTTCAATGATTTGCATATTGCTATTTCGTTTGGTATGAAAATTTCAAATTAATGACATTTAGATGTATTTAATTAAGGGTGCTTGGAATTACATACGAGATAGGGGTATAAATTGTTGTATAACACTGGATCTGATCTCAGGTAAAGGTTGCATGTGTTTGGTATTGAATTATCACAAGTCTCCTCTCCAGTCGCCCGCCTTTCTCGATTCTTTTGATTGTTGCTCTCTGCAGAATACTTGTTGTGATTTTCAATATGACTGAAGTAAATCTAAAACGTTATTAAAGACAAATTTATAAATGTGCCAAAATAAATAAAAAATCAGATGTCTAGTGCGTAAATATTTGACTTTTATAGTAATAAATAAAGATGATGTATAAATTGAATTCTAACCCGTATAATTCCTTGATACTAAAACATCTTATTTTATTAATATTAACGTATAAGAAAAGGTGATTTCTTTTGACATTTATTGATTGTGAGGCTCTTTAAGCTACACATTAAAATCTGTTGATCAATTGAAAAATCACCCGTTTTCTCTTTAAGTCGACCTCAGCCTCAGTTTGATGGATCATCCAATCTTGGTATCTCTCAAAAGCGCAACTTCCCCTCCTCGCATCTGTCCCTTGTTTGAATCTTTATCAAAATATAAACAAAACATGGGTTTATTTGTGTCGACAGACCAGTTTAGTTTTTTTTTTTCATTATTTATTACAATACTATACGATTCATTATACATTTTTTATTGTTAAATACCAAATGAAATACAAAGCAAACACCTTAACGCTCTCATTTGTTCCAAGCACATCCATCATTTATACTAAGTAACCACCCATGTCAAAATTACTGTCTAAATTTGAAAACCTATGTCAACTAAAGACCAATTAAATTCTTTTTTCTGAAGTAAGGTACACTTTAGTACTATAATATTCTTTTTCGCTTAAAATTCTAGCAAAGTCATAAGATCTACCTATATGGATCTATATCAAGGTGTTCTTCTTTATATATAACAGAATGGTACGGTAATTTTTGTGCTTCATTAAGACCGTAGAATCTGTACGCCGGCTCAATGTGGTATAACGTGTCACCTGGAATATATATCGTCCCCCGGAAAATCCCCAGAATGACCGCTCCATGGACGCGGCTCCCAGGCTCACCTGTAAAAATATTGACTGTGTCAGAATGAAATTATGAGGACGTGGATGCTTACTTAGTATAAATTATGGACGTGCTTTGTACCAATGAGAGCAATAAGGCGTTTGCTCTGTAGTTGATTTGGTATTTAACAAGAAAAATATATATAAAAATCCGTATCGTAATATTTTTTAAAAAATACATATATATGAAAACTAAATTTTGGAGTTTCAATGAAAAAAAAATGACATGGTGAAGTTAACGAACGAAACTAAAAAGACTAATAGTTCTTCGATAGACGACATTCAACTTATGACATACTTATACTGATTCGGTAAATCCCACGAAACTTAAGTAAATGGCTCTTAGAGAACGACATATCTGTTTTATATTTAAATATTTTTTTTTAGAAAATATAGTAGGCAAACTAACAATTAAACATTAGGGTAAACATTATAACCTTTATCAACTTTTCTTTTCAATGTTTCATATTTATGTAGCCACTTCTCTTTTTTTTAAACTGTATTCGGGGAAATGTTATGTCTCCCACTTGATTCAATATGCAAGATTATGTTCTATGTACTTGTACCATTTCTCTGTCGCCTGCAGAGCGACACTTAAGGATCACTTTACCCGGCGTCTGTCAGTCTATCTTTCTGTCTGTCCGTCTGTCACACCTTATATCTCGATAACTGTAAGAGGTATGGATTTCATATTTTGCACTTATAAAACATGACACTATGGCTTTTGTAATTTACCATGTTTACCGACCTCTTGACTCCTGAACTTGACCTTTGACCTACTTTTTAAAAAAGTTCACACTGCCAATATACAACTTATTTTGGACATTTAAGAGTTGAATCTAGGCTATTTACCATGTGCATTGTTTGTCATACAATATTTTGCCAGAAAAACTAGCGTTACAGTCTACTTCACCATGACCTACTTTGCAAAATATACTGCATACGGATTATTTTTAAAAAGGCAGGGATTTAAAAATTGGCATTCATACATTTTTATGAGCTCATAAACATGTACTTTGACAATGTATGATATACAGTTACCACAAAAAAAACTGAAACCTAGTATTATGAAAATACAACGGGATCGGTATTCCAAAATAGATGGTATAGACTGACAATTGTGGTAAAGACAGACTGAAGTCTCCTTTGAAGGATTGTTGAAAACACGTACTAATTAACTAACTGATAAATAATTATTTCTAATAATTTAATTTTCAATAATATTTATTTTAGCTTTGAGGGGCTGAAGATTAATTTTCTTATTTTATTGTCAGATTACATCGCAATCTTACTATCCTTGGATTTTTTTCTTTGTTGCAAAATGCACGAACTATAAAATGCTAGTAGCAAATGAATAAGCTGACCACTCTTAGATATATTAAAATCTTTAATGAAGCTAAAAGCAAGCGATATATGCGTTTCTTGGAACACTCTAGTTTTAAAACGAGGCAGCCAGACAATTTAGGTGACAATATAAGGATATCAACAATCTTGTTTAAAATCTAGTCAACATCTCGTAAATTCTATGATTGATACACTGACCATGTTTGCAAATACCATCTATTGTTAGGTCAAACGTTGTCTGAAGTGGTTCAAGCACAATGTTAAGCAATTTTTTTCACACTGAATTGTCTGCAATTTTTTTCTGATTACTGGATCCAAACAAGGGCACATACTCGTTGTGACACATGAACAGAGGATGCTCACTCAGTGTTTGCTTTGCTTACAATCTGTATTATTCCAATGAACTTTTGAGTATATTTGATGTTCAATATCTTCTCATTTCATACCGGTAAAAACAAAAACCAAATGTAGTACGCAAGCTAAACCATACAGATTATCTAATACAATAAAACTACACTGATACTTACATTATTTTAAATTTCAAAAAGTATTGAATACTATTTTTTGTGAGATCGACCACTGTTCGTTTTTTCCACATTTTCATTAAATAAGCTTACCTTAAAAATTTCAGTTGTCATTTTTTATTTTATGTTTTCGTATCTATTGCTTTTAAACTTATTTTTTATGTCCCAGTAATCAAAGATTCGGAGATGTACAGTTTTATACCTTGTCCGTCCGTCTGTCTATTTATCTGTTTATCTGTTTTTCCGCAAACACTTTTACCTTGCCCATAATTATTGATTGGTTTGAGCTATGACTTTCATATTCACATGTGTTTTCCTGGTTTTTGTTTCCCGATCATGACAAGGAGCACACGGCGGGTGTGACCGGTCGGCCGAGGATGCTCACTCCTCCATGGCACATGATTCCAACTCTATATTTTGAGGTCCTTGTTTGCTCTGCTCCAAATTTGTATCGTTTCATTGGACTTTCGAGATTGAATACTGTTCGTTATCTTTATATTTCATTGTTACAAGACCTTACTTTTGGTACCAAAAAATTGACCTTTTGACTTTTTTGAGTTTGACCCACTTTTGCAAAAAAAAAAAAAAATTATACAACTTTAATATTTGTCATAACTTTTGAACAGTTGGTGCTAGGGTTTTCATATTTCACATTTATATTTAACTTGATAAGACCTTTCCATGGATGTAAATATTTTTGACTTTTTGACCTTGACAAACATATATCAAGTATCAACAAAATTATCCTCAAGTCTCTTTTGCATTCACTGAATGTCATACCTACAACAGATCCCTCATATATAAAAGATAGATCCACGGAATCCTCCGTCCCATTGTTATGGGTGGATCTAAAGTTTCGGGTAAAAACAGAGGTGGACGGCTTCAAATCTAGATGGAATCCTCTAAAGAAAATAAAATAAACAAACTTAAGTAAACCTTGTTTTAACAAACTTAAGTAAACCTTGTTTAAAGCAAGCAGCTTAAAATAACAATTTGATGAGAACGAAGACATATTTCATCCCTAAAAGGCTGGAGGAGCGAAAAAGAGATACAACAATTTACGCATATAACCTTCATTGCATTTGATGTCGGAAGAGGATTGTTTTCATTATTTTCCAGAAGAATGAATAACAATGAAATTTGATATGAAAACAAGTTGACTTATAGAGGTCCTTCTGACAATGATATGTTCTTTGTATCTATTACAGATTTTGTTACACAAAGAAGACAGTGTTGACAAACAATGAAAATTAACCGCCGATTCAATTTATGAATAATTTCGATAACCAGCTATAGGTGTATTGGGATCGACAATACCCTGTGTGGTTCTGGGTTTTGGTGGCTGATTACTTTCAAATTTATTAACGGTTATAACCCGTCAGTGTGTAAGTTTTTTTTATTACACTTTCAACAGTGAAATACTGTGATTTATTTATTGAATAAAAGTGATATTCTCTCACAGTGTGAAAGAATACCAAAATGATATTCTCTCACAGTGTGAAAGGATACCAAAGTAAGTAAAAAACAAGATGTGTTTGTGAATCACTGATGCCCCCGTATGGCAGCTTATGGCGAAGGTTAAAGTTTCTCAAATGCAAGTCAAAATCCAGGCCAAAAGATAAAAAATGTTGATACCCAAAGAAAGGTCTTGTCTATATAGGAATATACCTGTGAAATTTGAAAGACCTAGCTGCAACTGTTCAAAAGTTATGGCATTGGTTAAAGTTTTTAAAAATAAAAGTCAAATGTCAAGGTCAAAGTGGTTGGTATCCAAAGGAAGGTCTTGTCCCAAGGATTACATATGTGAAAAAATGAAAGCCCTAGCACCAACCATTCAAAAGTTATGGCCAAGGTTAAAGTTTTTCAAAAGTAGGTCAAACTCCTATGTCAAGGTCAAAGGGTCAAAGTGGTTGGTATCCAAAGGAAGGTCTTGTCACAAGAATTACATATGTGAAGTATGAAAGCCCTAGCTCCAACCATTCAAAAGTTATGGCCAAGGTTAAAGTTTTTCAAAAGTAGGTCAAACTCCTAGGTCAAGGTCAAAGGGTCAAAGGGGTTGATATCCAGAGGAAAGTCTTGTCACAAGGAATACACATGTGAAGTTGGAAAACCCAAGCACCAACTGTTCAAAAGTTATGGCCAAGGTTAAAGTTCTTCAAAAGTAGGTCAAACTCCAAGGTCAAGGTCAAAAGTTCAAAGTTGTTGGTATCCAAAGGAAGGCCTTGTCACAAAGAATACACATGTGAAGTTTGAAACCCCAAGCACCAACAGTTCAGAAGTAATGGCCAAGGTTAAAGTCTCAAAAAAATTTGCAAAAGTGGTCAAACTCCAAGGTCAAAAGGTCAAATATGATGGTACCCAAAGAGAGGTTTTGTCACAAGGAATACACATGTGAAATATGAAAGTCATAGCTCCAACCAATCAAAAGTTATGGGCAAGGTTAAAGTTGACAACAGACAGACAGACAAACATACAAACAGACAAACGGACAAACAGACAGACAGGACAAAAACAATATATCCCCGGGATCTTTCGATCCGGGGGCATGATAATTTCTGGCCTGTCATTACTAGTAGATAGAAATAGCAACTAAACATCTTAACAGAGCTAAAACTGCAATTTTCTTCCCAAATATGATGCTAAAATCCATGCTATGTAATGTTTTCAATCTCACAATTGCTAAGCTATGACGTCTCAACCGCTCAACTATGACGTCAAGCCTAGCTATGACACTGTGTTAAGAAAAGACAGAGGCAAAAGGGAAAATCAATCAAAATGTAATAAACAGAAAATTCAATGTTTTGTAGATGAAAATGAAATTTATTTCACTCGTGAGATAGGATTTTTTGATATTTTCACTCGTGCTTCGCACTTGTGAAAATATCAAAAAATCCTGTCCCACTCGTGAAATAAATTCCATATTCATCTACAAAACATTGAATATCCTAAATAACCATAACATAACCCTAACCCAGACATTTCAAATTCTAATGTTAGATACAAAGAAACAATGTACATTTACAGATAGCAACTCATTTTGATAATTTTTTTTTCTCTCGGAATGGTAGAAACTGGAATATCAAATATAAACTTACACAATATGTTAACACTGAAGTGATCATACCTGTCATGAGCTGTAAATTTAAGATCCAATCTCTTGTTTTGTGTTGACCTTTTTGCCTTCAAGTGTTTGTTGTGGAGCTCTTGTGTGTCGTATGTCAGTTCTTCGTAATATTTTATGTAGTCGTCTATAGATTTTTGTTCTACATCTAGAGCTGATTACAATCAAAATTAATACACAGACTTTTGAATATAAGTTAAGCTTTTCCTTAATCAATGATGTAAATGGGTAATTAGACTTTTATGCTTTGAGAGTCGAAACATTTAACACCCTCTCTATAAAACTGTGAAGCATCTGTAATGGGTTGATATAGTGATAAACTTAATTCAATTTACAGTTGATTGGTACTGACTAATCATAATTTCTCATGATTCAACCAAGCAGTACATTTGATGGCATTACTATTCTCAGTTTTAGCAAAGACATGGTGTAGACTCAGACGCATATATATCTCTATGTACTTTCATTCCTTAGAGCAGCTTTTAGACCAGGGTATGGCTGTCAGAGTGTATTGCTAAAAATTGTTGAAGATTGGAAGTTTGCTCTTGATCATAAAAAATATACTGCAGCAATTATGATGGATTTATCTAAAGCCTTTGATTGTATTCCACATGATCTAGTTTTAGCAAAATTAAATGCATATGGTTTTACAAATGCAGCTACAAGTCTAATTTCAAGCTATTTAAGCAATCGAAAACAATGTGTGAAACTGGGAAATGTTTGTAGTGATTTTTTAGAATTGTACAAAGGTGTTCCACAGGGTTCAATACTTGGTCCTGTTATTTTTAATATTTTTATCAATGATATTTTTCTTTTTGTATCTGATTGCGACCTCTACAACTATGCCGATGATAACACTCTCTCGAACTCGAGCGACGATATTATCTCACTAAAAAATACATTAGAAGCTAATTGTTCAACCCTAGTTAAGTGGTTTGAAGATAACCAAATGCAAGCCAATCCTGATAAATTCCAAGCTATATGTCTCGGAAAGAAAACAAAACAGGAAAACATTTGTTTTGAAATTGATGGTAATATGATTAATCCGGAAAACGAAGTAAAATTACTTGGCGTGACTATAGATTTTGAACTCAAGTTTAGCTCTCATATTTCAAACATTTGTAAGAAAGCTTCACAACAACTGAATGTACTTAAAAGAATAGGGGCTCACCTGACTAAATTAGGAAAACTAACAATCTATCATACATTTATCATGTCAAACTTCAATTATTGTCCATTAGTTTGGCATTTTTGTGGTGAACGAGAGACAAGAAAAATGGAAAAAATACAGGAAAGAGCACTGCGTTTCGTTTATGACGACTACAAAAACTCATATAGTTATCTTCTGGATAAATCAAAATTGCCATGCCTCAAACTCCGGCGTATTAGAACAATGGCCATAGAATGTTTTAAGATTTTAAACAAACAAAGCCCATCTTACCTGCACGATTTTATCCATATTAAAGAAACGCCATATTCTTTAAGATATAGGAAAACTGCTGTTTTACCAAAAACAAGATCAACAACATACGGTTTGAAGTCTTTTAGATATGAATCCGCAAAACTCTGGAATTCTTTACCAGAATCTTTTAGAAATATTACTACTTTTAACCAATTCAAATCAAATATAAGTAGTTGGTACGGAAATAGTTGTAATTGCTGCGCTTGTCGCTAAATTTTATTTTTAGATAATAGTAAACAAGGTTTATTTCAGTTTGTTAGTCTTAATGTGATGAATACTATGTCATATGTCATTGTAATGCATCACGGGCTATATTGATATTTTAGAAGTGTGATTTTTAAGTACTGTTTCTTGTTTATTCTGTATTATTGTATTATATGTAATATTATTATGTAGTCGGAAAATAGCTCTTCAGAGCTAATGTTTTTTGTTTGATTTACCCGACTTTAAATAAATATTATCTTATCTTATCTATCTTATCTAGCATTCTAGTGTATGATGTACACAGCTAAAATTGCAACGTACGTTCAACATATGTTTCGAGTAACATATGTTGAACATACGTTGAACAAATGTTGACCATATGAAATTTTGACAGTATGTTGAACATATGTTTAACAAATATGTTAAACATATGTTTGAAATATATGTTGAACATATGTTTGTGGTAACTATATGTTTAACGTATGTTGAACATATTTTAAACATATAGTTGTTTCAAACATATGTTCAACATATGTTTTAAGTTTCACAAAAAAATCATACTGAACATTATATAATAACCAATAGGCTTTTCACATTTATTTCATTTAATATAAAATTATCGTTATCATTATTTAATTAATTTTATTTTAATTTAACAAGATAAAATTTAAAATACGTTAATTAATTTAATATTAATCAGTGAACCGGCAATAATTTAATATTAAGGTATTCAAAGTATAATGAAGGGATTTTGAACAATTTTGAATCATCTTAAACTAGTTAAAAATGCATTGCTAGATAACGATGAAAGTGAAATGAACCAAATTCACATGACAGATAACATGTAAGAAGCCAGTCATTTTGCACCCTAAAAGTTTTTGAAGAGTTGTCTGCCCTTGATGAAAAGAAGAATTTTTTTTTTCAAAATATCAAAGGTAAATGATTCATTTCATTTCATATTACAATAAAGAGAGAGTTTATGCATATATTCACCAAGAGATTTGTATGAAATTCAAATTACTTTTTACAATATCTTAATAACACATGTGCTGCCCATTGACTTCAATGTTAACTTTAAGGTACAATTAATTGTACAATAATTAAAATTTGGTAAATTCCTTAGGTGGAGTATTTTTGTTTTATAAAACCTTCTAAATGCTACAATGATTTAACAAGAGGTCCAAGGGCCTTAACGGTCACCTGAGTATAATACAACAATTTAGAGGATCCATAGAGTATGAAATGAACTGCAAGGTGAAGCTTTGTTGCCCAAAAGCAAGAAAAATAGGGTGATCAGGATCAACAAAGTAATTAGTCTAGCATTCATTAACAGTTCATAAATTAGGTTCTAATCTGTTCCCCATTTATCACTATCACCATACAGTATATTAAGAAACTATCAGTGCTTCTCTACTCTTTTAATTCCTTGTTGAAATTGTTGCATTGTTACATTGGCCTCTCTTGGTCTTTGATGAACATTTAATAAGACAAGTTATTTTTGTCTCATTTTTATTTATCTATTACTTACAAGTCTACCTGATCATTAAAACTATGAAAGTACTTTTTGTATTATACAATAAAAATTCTTGTTCTATTAACTTTTCAAGTACATTATTTACAGTGATTAATTATCACATAATATAAATGGCAAAGGGGAATAACTCCTCTCAGTAGAATACAAATTAATCGAGCCCTGGCCTGGACCAGAACACTTGACCAAATGGTTCTGATCATGTTCAAAAATCTGGTAAAAATACCCTTCCTTGTTGAAACTTTTACTCTTTTTGCCTCTGATATGCCCATATGCAGAGAAGATTTTGAAAGCATTTTCACTATATAATAAATAGAGCCCCGCCCTATCATCAGAACCTCTGATCCAGGGGTCATGAAATTCACAATTTTGGTAGAGTCACCCTTGCTTATCATAATCATGTATTTGTTTAAATAATAACCAGGAGTAGAGAATAAGATTTTCAAAGAAATAATGCACTTTCACTAGATGATCTATAAGCCCCGCCCTAGCACCAGAACCCCTGACCCTGGGGTCATGAATTTCACAATTTTGGTAGAGTCACTCCTGCTAGGTAACCAGGTATTCAATTTGTTTCAATAATACCCAGGAGTAGAGAAAAAGATTTTCAAGAAATAATGCTCTTTCTCTATAGGATCTATATAGCCCCACCCTAACACCAGAACCCCTGACCCTGGGGTCATGAATTTCACAATCTTGGTAGAGTCACCCTTGCTTATCATAACTATGTATTCAATTTGTTTCAATAATACCCAGGAGTAGAGCAGAAGATTTTCAAAGAAATAATGCTCTTTCACTATATGATCTTTATAGCCCCGCCCTATCACCAGAACCCCTCACCCTGGGGTCATGAATTTCACAATTTTGGTAGAGTCACCCTTGCTTATCATAACTATGTATTCAATTTGTTTCAATAATACTCAGGAGTAGAGAAGAAGATTTTCAAAGAAAAAATTCACTTTCACTATATGATCTTTATAGCCCGCCCTAGCACCAGAACCCCTGACCCTGGGGCCATGAATTTCAAAATTTTGTTAGAGGGCTCAATGCTTATTACAATCATGCCAACAGTTTGACTGCTTGATGTCCAGGAGTAGAGAAGAAGAAGATTTTTAAAGATTGCATTAATTTTGATGATTTTGGCCCCACCCCTTAGGCCCCAGGGGGCAGGGCCACGAATTTCACAATTTTTGTTCCCCTTCACCCATAGATGCTATATGCCAAAATTGGTTGAAATTGGTTTGCTGGTTCCAGAGAAGAAGCTGAAAATGTTCAAAAGTTAACGACCGACGAACGATGGACGACGCACGACGACGGACGAAAAGAGATAGCAATAGGTCACCTGAGTGACTCAGGTGACCTAAAAATCGGACCATTCGTTTATTAGGTACAAAAAATGGTCTTTATACATTGAATACCTTAAACCTAATATGGATTACATTAAATGTTATATTTTAAAAAGTCAAGGGCGGATCCAGCAAATTTTGAAAAAAAAGGGGGAGGGGGGTTCCAGGTCACGGTCGGTGCCCCAACACTCATGCATAGGCATTTCAAGCCTGTAGCAACGGTTTTCAAAGGGAACAACCTCCGAACAGACCCTAACAAAAAAGTACTATAGTTAACTATAGTTTACTATAGTTAACTATAGTTTACTATAGTAAACAATAATTTACTATAGTTAACTATAGTTTACTATATTTAACTTTAGTTTACTATAGTATTAAAGTTTTTTTCACTATAGTAAATCAAAGTATTTTTACTATGGATTTCAAATCGTTATATTTTTGTTCTACAATTCATATCTGTACATTTTTTTATATCAAATTGAAATATTTTTTTGTATATTCACACAATATTACCAATTTTACATTACTATGATCGAATTTTAGAGAATTGAAGCTTTGAAATCTCATAAAAAGTTCCAGAGTAAACTTTCATAGTAAATCAAAGTATCAAAGTTTTCACTATAGTTAACTGTAGTAAATTTTTGTTAGGGGAGTTGACTATTTAAGCAAAAAAAATCCACTACATTGTAACATCCTATTTCAGGGCTGGAATGGGGGGTTCATCTAACTTTTCGGCATTTTTTTTCCTATCAAATGCTTGAATTTGTGTATTTTGACCTTCCTGCAACAAAAAGTGAGAGGGGAGCATCCAGATTAAAGCTTTCATATTAAAACTACAGCCAAAGATTTTTCTCAGAAAAAAGTGAGCCTCCTCTCCCTGCATACCTGGGGACCATTTTAAACCTTTTCTTCAGTGATTAAAATATCTCCAAAATACAAGGAGAAAAACATTCCCTTATGCATACTCCCTTTCATGATTTCCTGACTTTTTTATGCATACTTCTTAAACTTAATTACTTCAGAAGATAATCCAAAAATGGCGCAGCTAAAGTTCGCCGGAATCTTCCGATAATATCAAATTGAAACCTTGCATGTTACTTGTGGGTGGTCGGGGCCAGGGTTCTGAAGATACGCGGAGGAAGGCACATACGTGAAACTCTACCTAGCGAGCAGAATGGGCAGATATTGAATTACTTATTTTATTCAAAATATCATAGGTATAGATATTCATATTACAGAAAACTCTCTCTCTCTCTCTCTCTCTCTCTCTCTCTCTCTCTCTCTCTCTCTGCAAAAATAAAGGGTGGGGTCCAACCCCCGAACCCCCCCCCCCCCTCTAGATTCGCCAGTGCAAGTAGACTGAATGTTAAAAAAATAATTTCAATAACATATATCAAGATTAAACTGAATACATATTTATTCAAAAGAATGAACATTTCCTGTAGAAGCTTGCATAAAAAGGAGGACCTGTTAACTACTCTGTTACCCTGCACCCCTCCCCCATTCGTTTCTCCAAATTCAGCCCCCCCCCCTCCTTTCTTCAAATTCAAAATTTGTCTTCTTGAACATTGTATTCCCCAAATTAAATTTATCAAGAATTAATTAATTTGTATTTTACCCCGTTTTGTTTGGGTTTATTTTATGAGTGAAATTAAAATCATTCCGTATTTTATTTCCGGACCGGTTTTGTGTTTTATCGGATAAAAGTGTACTTAAGTCATTTTTACGTCACTGCTGCAGCAGAAGTGTTGGGTGTTGGAAACAAGTAAGTGCTCTCAGATATGTTTTTTAGGACTTAGTTCAAGGTTTTGCCAAAGGTAAACGTCCAAAAATTTATCCAAAACTATGTGGTTTATAAAGTTAAAACTTTTACAGTTTATAAATATATAATTGATTAACAAATAGAAAGTATCACTTGATAACAAATACTTTAAAAATATTTATCGAGAAAAATTCTTTTTAAAAAAAATGCATATGTTTTTAATAAATACACCTAATTAAATCCGTATTTTTGGTGAAAGCCATCATTGCAGAAACAATATATGTTAATCAATGAAGGAAAAGTTGGATTTCGATAGCCTCTGGAAAGTTGTTTTCCCTGTTTATTTTGTCCAAATGTTAAGATTTGAAACCGAAAGTACATTGCAAATTGCGGATTTTATAGGGTTCTTGTCTTTATGCATGTCATGCTTTCAATTACAGCCTTTCAGAGACCATTCACGTCCAGTTTGCCCTTCATTGATAATCATATATTATTTCTGCAATGATAGTTTTCACTAAAAGTACAGAATTAAGCAGGTGCATTTTTAAAAAAATATGCAAATTTTTGAAATTTTTTGACGTTTGGTTAAATCTTAAGAGAATTTCTTTACGGTTACAGATTTATACAAACTTCTAATGCTCTCATGACTTGCTTAACATCTAACTGTAGTTGTAATTAATGCAGTTCGTAAAAAGACGAGACACCTAGTGATCTTGTCTACGTTATTTTGGATTTGTTTTCGACGAATGTAAAAATCATTTAGCATTACTAATTTTTCAGATTGTTTTTTTTTTCCTTTGTCAATGGTTACGTTTCCATATTTTTGTACCATCTTGATATGAAAGTGAAAGTAGAAATCTTGCATAGCAGTTTGTATGTAGCCTATGTTAAGATGGTTATTTATGCAGTTCTTTTATCAAATTATTAATGGAAAATGTTTGTTTTTATGTATTATGTATTAAGCAACTGGAGTTCAATGTCAGAGTGCCATTTTTACTGAAAAAACCCAAAGCTCTTAAGACTGACGATTCAACCCAAAGCTGATTTGAAGATTGCATGATCACAATACAGGTGAAAAATAAATACATATAATAATCACAGTAATTACAGGGTGCATATGAGGAATGAGTCTTTAATAACAAAATATTTCTTTATTTTTATTATTTTTTTATTTATTTATTTATTTATTTATTTATTTATTTATTTATTTATTTATTTATTTTTGCTTCTTATTTCTACACTGTTTTGGTTTATCAACTCTTTTTTTTCTAAAATATTAAAGATATGGATAGAAATTGCTCGGTTTTAAACTATAAAATATCTGAATAGTAATAAATTTCAGCCTTATTATAGTGCAATTGGTTTTAAAGTGCATCAGCTAATTTATTACATATTTATATATTAATTGACGAAGTTTTTTTTTCAACACATCTCTTTCGAGGTATCTTAAGTTTTGATTGGAATTTGATTACAAAATATTTACTCTATGAATATTTATTTTATGATTTTTATAGGTTCAAAATACAGTCTCTCTGGTATGAATAACATGGAAGAACACCATGCTTGCTTCAGAACAGGTAAGTACACCATGTATTACAAGCTTTATTAATCTCTTTCCAAACAAAGTTTTGGGATATACTGGAACCACACTGTAAGTTTCTCTGCCTGTATGTTTTATATCCAAATATTATATATTTGTATCTGAATATCTAACAAATATTAATATATTATGAATTTCACATTTTTAAATTCGTTTGTAAAAGTTAAAAAAAAAACTAATTGTTTTTTTATGATTTTATTATTAAGCATACCATCCAAGAGTGAAATTGTCTTTGACATAACATTATATGGTGTTACACAACACCAAACAAAGTTTATGAAATTAGTTTTTAACTCATATAAAAACTCGATAACTGTTTAGGAGAATGGGGTATGCATTTGTCTGCGCATCAGTGTATTAACTTAAATTACATGTAGATTTTAATTTGTTTTTCAGAGAATCTGTATTAATCAACGAAACCTTAAAATTGGAGACTCAACTGAATTGCCACCCAGTACCTTAACATGTGACAATTTCAAATCCTATGATGAGGTTCCAAGGGGTTGTAAAATGGAAGAAAACAAAGAACATGCTAAGAAAAAAATTGTAAGTGCTCAAATTTATTACTCTTTGTGCTAAATAATATAAATTTATTAATTATATATGTGATTGACAAGAAATTTGGACTTCTTAATTTTTATTATCTTTTCTTTATCATTTCAGAAGCAATGCAGTCCCTGTCAGGGATATAAAGCCAGAATTATGTAAAACAAAAAAAAAATTAAAAAATAAACACAAGATTAATGCTTCAGATTGTGTTCTTTGATTTCTTATTATTAAGTGTTTAGATGACAAGATATATATTAAAGGATAAGAGTACTATTAAGTTGACTTTGCAATCCCAAGAAATACAAAATAATTAAATAATAAATGTGAGTAAGAAATAAAATTAACATGTTTAACATATGAAAAACATATGAACATAAACATATGTTAATCATATGATCATAAAAAACGTATGAGAAAAATATATTAAACATATAATCAACATATGTTCATAAACATATGTTTAACATATGTTGCTCGTTTTATATGGCGAACATATGTTTCAGAACATGTTCAACGTATTTCAACATGTGTTTAACATGCGCTGCAATTTTACCTGTGTAGGCGAAAAGATAGCAAGAGCCATATTGGCTTATTATTTTTTAAATACTGTGTCATCTAAATTGCTTAATATTGTATCAACTTACCTGCTAAACATTGAAGTAAGAAAAGGAACAAAGAACTTTGAACAATCTGCATCGTTCCAAGAAAGAGTATTTCAGTCAGGGCACGGGGAGTAATAAAAGATTCTGTAAGAAAAAGTAGAAACAGATATCCTAGAATAAAATGTGAAGACGACAAACGATAATCGTTATCAACCAAAACAATTTGTGAGAAAAGCAAACACGGACCTCTGAAAACAAAATATCTCTTAATACTTATAAATCATATCTTTATATATTCCAGTTTTTGTGAAAAAAAAAATTTTCTGGTGAAAATCTTAATATATAGTCAGAGGGAAAAAAGAATGAAGTATTAAGTAATGATCTGTGTCAAAGTTCGATAAAAAGATTGCAGAACCCTTAACAAACCTGATAAGAATCCTATACAAACCTCTGTTGATTTGGGGTGGTACTTCCTTGTCTCTACATTTAGAAATTCTTCTTTAACAAGCAAGACCAGGAATCCTAACAATCATAAAAATGCACACATTCTAACAATGCATGTAAATATTTCAAATAAACAAATGCCTTTACAACAATGCTACACCCGGTATTAACTTTCAACGATCCGTGTTTGTTTACAAAACAGTACTATTTGATATCCTTGTATGAACAAAAAAAATGTCGGATTTTACTCGACATTGTATTTGTGTCAAGCAAAATCTAATTTTTCATGCAACATGTGTAACAAAATAGACACAGTTTAATGCTAAAAAAAAATAAATTATTCAAGAGATATTTCATAACTCACCTGTTGTTTTGAAAGATTTTCCTTACTGTTTTTCTGTATCCAGCAAATTGCTTAAAACGCACATATTTTAGGAACATATTATATCACAGTCACCTGTTTATTCATGTTTTGATAGGTGTTGGTATCATTAGTACAACTTTATATATTTTTTTGTATAGGGGTATCATAAATATCTGTCTCTTCACGATGTTATAATAAGGAAAGCTTAAAGGAATTTTTTCATCTTGTGACAGAGACTTGGACGATAATTAAATTGCAGACTGCATTATAAGATCAAGCCAGGCTACCAAATTTTGAAAATGTTGACATCTCTATAGTAAGATGCTATTTAAGGGTTTTTCAACTTATCCATTATGGACGGGTTTGGGATTCCATGTTGGTTTCTTCTGTTGCTTTCGCGTCTAATAAAGTTATATTATTTCATTTTCACTTCACAAAAAACTTCAAGGTTATTTTAAACAAAATATGAATATCAATGTCATTTTAGATTTTTGTACAAAAAATATTTGGGTGCCTTTTCACAGCCTTAATCCTTTGCACAAATCGAGAATGTACTTAACTACCCTTGATTGAAGAAAAGTTGATACATGTGCAAGAGAGGTGGAACTGATAATTAGACTAGCTGAACAGTGCCTCGTATACAGGAAAAAATGTGATTTCTTCTCCTTCTCTCTCTCCGGAACGTTAAGGGAATTTACAGTATAAACGGTCTAATCCGGCACCTGTGCAATGCATTTTACTGTGAATTCGTACCGTTATTTATATTTCAGTTTAACATGTCCTTTACCTAGTCTGATTCGATACCCTGTCTATTAGGTAGAAAAATTCTCTCTAGTGCACTGGTTCAATTATACTCTAAAATTGAAAATAAAGGAAAATAAGATCAGTTGATCGTAAATTAATGACTAAGATTTCACGTCTTGAAACATTATTTCCTAGTAGCTTAGTTGATAGACTACATAACGAAAGATATAAAAGAGAAAAAAAATTACGAAGAAACACTTTATTACATCCCCGCTTTCAAATACGCCTAAACATAGTTCTACTTAAACAAATAAACCTGTCTTCTATGAATATGACCGTTTTAAATTCGCCCACTTGCGATGAGGGCAAAAGGGTGAAATTAAAAAGGGGCGAAAAATTTCCTGTATACAGCATGATTAAAAACGAATTAGATAGAATTTCAGGAAATCTTGATTACCCCGCTATGCAAAGGGATCCGTACTTCGTAAATACAAACATTTAATCAATGTACTTAATATATTGAGATATTATCCATTATTGCAGAAAACTTCTCATTTACGAAGATAATTTTCTCGCAATGGACGTATGTCATAGTAAGTGCATTCATCTCTGATAGCGGAAAGTTAATGGAAAGGGTTTGTCAAGTAACAGTCGTTCCAAAAATTACAGATTCAACATGATATATGGGAAACTTGAGTTAATTGACTTATATGGGTGTCTTATTGAAAGGAACATTAGATTATGACATCAGGTACCATAATTATATTTGTTTATATTTATTTAAATTGAAGTTGTACAAATGAAGAGTATTGCAAACTTTGAATGAAATATCAGTCATTATATACTAGTATAAATTTACAACTGGTCAATTACTGTATCAGTCGAATTATCTGAGTTAATCCTGTATATGATTCAAATTTTTGTCATTCATTAAGACTGTCGTAATATGTCTTATAAAACTTGTATAAAAGTCTCAAGTTTTAAGCCACAAAATATACAATATAGCATATAATTTCATTCATTTACTTGTGCACTGATAAAACTTTATTATATAAGTAGAAATCAATTTCATAATCTTTACAAGGTAGAGTATTTAATTTTTTGCTCTCACTATCTTGTGATTTGTTCGAGCATCAATAGTAATTATATATAATTATATCTATTTGACGATTAACGAAAGTTTATTGTGCTTGCAAAATGTAATTATACTCCGTAAAAATAGCTGAACAATATCAATTACAGAAGAAGCTTTAACAATCAATGTTCTGGCTGGGTCACTATAAAGTGTGCCATCCGACATACTGTTACATGAAGTTTTTTTATCAACAGTCTCGTTTGAAGTCATCTTTTCGCAAGTTTTACGGTCGATTCAATGACCTTGTCAGCGCATACAACCTATCATGGAGTGAAATGCTGACTCACATTTTTCATAATAATTCAGGGTTCTCCATGAGCTGTTTTACTGTGTCGGCCCCGACACATTAAAAATTTCCCCGACACAGTAACGATTCAAATTATGCGTGCGACACAGTAAAACTTTTGAGACACAGTAAGATCTGTGATAATCAGAAAATCTAAATATAAATTCTCTCTAACTGAAATTGTAATCAAACAAATCAACCGTCTTTCAATTTTTAAGGCAGAGCACTTAATCATTTCTTCATAACATGTACGACACTTATTTTGCCTTGCTTCACCTTGCATAATCAATTATCTCCTAGATCCTCTCTAAACTTTACGCATGAAGGAACAAAGACAATTTGTTTTCACACTTTCATATAAGCGTACAACTGCTACGTGCATTTGTAAATATTATTTAAAAATTTATGCTAAATACATGTCTTTATACTTCAGAACCATGTCTCTAGAATTATATTGGCACTGTGAGTCAAACATCATTACGGTACCATAATCATTTCATTGATGTAAATGTATTGTTGAAGAATTTAAAGGCACCCCTAAAAGTATTTTACTATTCCAGAGTTTTTTTGTTTGTTTTTTTAAATTCGTAAATTCGATCAACTGACAAAAATCACGGCAAATTTACTTTTAAAGTGGGGATGCTGATCGATTTTATCGCCCAGAATTTCCACTGCTCTTCAGAGCATGTGTAAAATATGAAGATAAATATACACTGTATATACAACATCAAGGTTAAATATACACGTACAACTTGTAGACAGTGATACATATATATTATTATAACAGTAACTTGATCCGAAGAGCCGTATCACGTCTCGTTGACAGGCGCGGATCATCAGATCAAACTCGACGCTTCGCGTCTCGTTTGATCTGATGATCCGCGCCTGTCAACGAGACGTGATACGGCTCTTCGGATCAAGTTACTGTTATAATGATAAATTTATTATATACCCCTTTACAACTAGCAAAGTAAAATAAAAGGAAATTTTTTGGATCAATTACATAACTTTTATCCATTAAACACACCATTTTGTCAACGAACTTTTTGATGCGCGAGAATAAAAACGTCATTTATCTGTGTACTACGTCATCAGTTTCAGAGAGGGGTGATATGGATTCAGAAAACCACAGTGTGGTGATCCAGAACGTTGGATCACATCGTCTCGTGATTGCGTAAATTCAACAGTAAAACTGAGTGACAAACAGTTGGGTATATAATAAAAGTATATTATTTAAGGGTTTTTTTTAATACCGTACTTATTTTTTTACAGTTGTGTATTTGTTTTAAATATCCATTCCATTAATTTATTTTTTATGAATGTCTGATCATTTGTATGAATTGGCGATTCAAAAGAGTTGTGTGGGTTGGGGGGGGGGGGGGGGGGGGGCTTTTGTAATTTTAAAGAATAGTGGATTCGGTTGTGAATTTGATCGCCAAAATACCGCAAATATTAGTGGTTCACGTAAAGTCTGCAACACAGTAAAATTTCAAATGATGGAGAACCCTGCTAATTGTTAGGCCATTATTTATACACTGAACTGTCTACGGATATCTCCGTTATTACCCGTTCATGACAAGGAGCACACGGCGGGTGTGACCGGGGATGCTCACTC